GACACCGGAAAGATCTACCCACAATACGATCAGGTGCTTCGGATTCCTGGAAGAGTGATCGCAAATGAATGCGAAAGTGTTTGATGGGTCTTACTCTATCTCGGCGGGCCGAGGTCCGCAATTGTAGAGCCGATGGGATAACATAGCCCCTTGACGTTCGGCGACACGGAGACCGATAGCGAAAAGAGACATCTGAAGCAGGAATGGCTTGTTACATAGCCTTGTTCATTTATCAGACGCGGGTTTGAGACGAACTATGAGACGAACTGGGAGCCTTGCTCCGCCTAATAAGGTTTCCGACAACGTAGTTACTAAATCCATTGTTGATCATGGACGGAGCTCAATGACTTGAAATGACTCGGTTGCCCATCGCAAATGACTCGATGGTCCAACAGCAGTTAATTTGGGAGTTAATGGGAATGATGATCTGCAGCGCAAGGCGAAGTCCCACAACTAACTAATCGACCAGACTGCAGGAGACAAGAACCTATGCGGAGGACCACGGAGTAGCCCGAAGTCCACTGAAGTGTTACAGTTGATCATCTCGTTATAAATACCAGAGACTCGCCAAGGGAGAACTACAGCTATTAGACAACTCCAACTACGTCCTTCCTTCTCCTTTCCATATTTCACACTCAACTTCACCACCCCAAATCAGACATCATGAGATTCACGCAAGCATTCGTCGCCGCTTCTATGGCCCTCGGCGTCATGGCCGGCTGCAGATTCGCTCCCGAAGTCTGCAAGTCAGACGTCGGCCCCATCTCTCGCGGACTCACTGATGGCTGGGTCTGCGATCTCCCGGAAGATCTCCCTTGTCAAACTACGTGTGAGATCACTGGTGAAAGACAGCGATCTGAGCCCGGTGTTGTCGGAATGGAGACGATGAAGTGCTGCAAGCCCAGCCCGAACTGTGAGTCGTTCATAAGCTCAACACATCAACAGCAGAGACATGAACTAATATTACTGCCATAGGTTAAACTCGCTTCATGCCATCAAATGTCACTAAAGGGCTCCGGCCTTAGGAGGGCCAATATTATCCCTTACGATTGTACCAAAATTGGGGATAAACGCACATCATGCAGGGGCAGAGATTCGATGAAGAGCACGGCCTCACATTCCATACCACAAAAGGCGCTGATAATCTACAATTGAAAACTTTCAACCGCTTCTTGCTCTTGGCTCTCGTGGACGACAATTTGATGCACTTCATTCATTACAATCCGCTGCAAGTGCAAGAAATCTTCTGAAGACCCTACCTGTGTACATGGATGCACTAACTCTTGCATCATCTGTCGCGCCCTCGTACCCAACTAGGCTAGAGAGGTGCAGCTTTGTAATCCTGGTGCATAGTTCATGTCAGAAACCCTGGTCGGTGACAGATTCTTGAGCTCACCCCTTATCTGAAGGGAAGCGCAATTGCAACATAACTGTGCCTGTATCTGATTAGCGATCTGTCTTTCAAACGAACCAGCAACATAATGACGTAACCCGTCCACGCAGAAAGACCTAACTAGGAGCAGTCGCGTCAATGGGCTCTTCGTGAAGACCAAAGTTGGAATTGCGCCCTTCAATTCAGTTGATAGCCGCCATTCGCCAGTGCACCAACTGCTTGGGTAAATACCGATGCATTTCGGTCTTCGGAGCAGGGGGCTGACATACTATAGACTACACGACAACATCTTCCGCATCAGCCGGATCCGGCAAAAACTTTTTGTTCTGTCAGTTGGTGGAGTGTTAGGCCCAAGGCCATTGCTTCTGCAGGGTTAACTGCCAACTCGGTTCTAACAAAGGGTTGCAGCTGGGCCCGGGACATTCACCGCGCATCCAATGCTCACAGCTTACTTTGAACTCAAGCATCCCTCTATTCTGGGCGCTTAGCTCCAAAAACGATGCGCGAATAAACCTGGACAAATTCATTTCAGCGGTAGAACAGTCGGCAGCTGAATTTAATGCTCAATGCATGAAATTCTTTGCCACGTAGATCCTCCTGTTTGTTCAGTCGTGGAACGTAACCATGACATTGGGCGTCCATAGCAAAGAACCATCCATTACCAAAAGAAAAAGGGAGATAGCAAGGAATACACTGCCTCTTGACTTCTGCCTCCGCAGGTGGCTCGTGGCATTCATTCGCCGTAAGCTAGTAGGGCTGGTGACGATTACCCTTTGTGTCGAAGTTACTTTTTCTCATGGTAACAATGCTAGAGAACTACATGTTTGACTTGATCAGAATATTGCACGGTAGATTGATGAAGTTGACTTTGTATAAAAGAGGGAGACTCGAGTCTCTCTATCAGTGTTGCAGACCTACATATTAAAAATCATAGAACCATTCCAACCAGCCAAAGTTACTACACATCTTGCATCGCACAAGCTATCCGCATCAGGCCGCCATACTCGAAATGGATGATAAGAAACTCTCTGAAATGAACGCCGAAGGCCGTTCCAAGCTAGATGACGCTCGCAAACGCCTCAGAAGACTTGACGACCCCGAGTGGCACAACTTGCTTCTTCCGGCCCGACTTGCCCCGGTCCCTATCTGCGACACATTCGCTCCCTACCGCCCGTTTCCCTCCAAGCTCAAGTTTTACCCTGGCATGGACTTCAATCTTCTGACGCAAGTCGGTGTTGCTCACCTTGGCGACAAAACAAACCACAAGATGTTTGCAGTCTCAGGTTACAAGCTTGAATCAGGCAGCAAGTATGACGGTCGCCCCAGATGGATTCTTCACAATGGTCCCAACAGCAGCGACCCTGCCCTGGCTATGATATCCGAGATACCTGAGTGGGGAAAGGATGATGGGGAGGGCGTCCTCACATTCCCGTCGACGGAGCCTTTGGGTGGAAGTAGCGTTCCGAGCGACACGAGCTATGCGCCTGGAGACACAGAACTTATGTGGGCGTCGCGGAAACGCTCTATCCCCAAAACCCAAAGTTATACTTTGATGATTCCGCTTCTGGAAAATGGCGAAATGAGAAGCAGCTGCTGTGTTTGGACGCGGTTGCCGGAAGAAGAGTGGGGCGAGATCAACAACGGCTTTTCTCTTCGAGTCATGCAAGGGAAGTATATCGAAGATCCCCTGTGCACGATGCGAATGACGATCCCTCTCAAGCCTTGGAAGTCTCCTTTCAAACTTGAGCTGACCGACAAAAATGATCATGGAGACAAGTGGCCTGTAATGGCAGTTATTTCAGCAATCAGAGCGTGGGAACTTTGAATCATTCTTTGGGGCCGTGCTGTTGATTTTGGCCGTGAGATCGGTCGTAATACCGAACGAGCATTTTTCAACATGATATTGTAGATGGTGCAGCAGAGATCTGACTGTTCAGTTCGATCAAGACACTATTAAAGCCTCACTTTTCCATCTTCCTTAGAGCTATGAGTCATCAAAACAACAGCGTTCCTAGATCCAGAAGCAAATAGGCCAATTAATTGACATTCTCGATGAGAAGATCTGAGGCCCTTAAGTTGAACGGCCATGAATTTCAATGCACCTGTATGTCTACCGTAATTGAGGGGTTGGAATGGAGATACGTAGGATGATCTTTTGTTATCAAGCGAATTATCATCATACCAGGTTCCGTCGTACCCCGAGACTATTCGAGGTTTTGACGATATTGACTGGCGGTTTATGTGAACACTTGTCAACCTCGTCGTCAAATGTTGATGCAGTAAACTACTTAGTCTCATATCTGCCAAGAGGTGTCTGCTGTCAGTTGACAGAGACTTATCAGACAGACCTCGGGCTTAACGTGTCTTGGCTAAAATGCTTTCAGCCTTCTTGGCAACTTGGCATAGCTCGCAGCTTCGCCGTGATAACAGCGAGCAATGACTCCTCCAAACTTGAGTTGCATTTCATGGCTTCGAACGTGATGTCATTTTCTCTTTCAACTTTCTGTGGGCCTGTGATTTTCGCCATCCACGATTGCCCACATCCATCTTTTCCCACCTTCCACTTTTCAAGCTTGTTTCCCCGAGTCAAACCCACTCAATTACCTCATCTCCATCTTGAAACAAATATGTTTTCTTTCAAGGGGCCGACGCTAAAACCGAGATTTCCGCCGCTATTCCATATTTCGATGAGTGGTTCCTGGCTAGGAAAGGACCCGGGATCGGGGTCGCCCACACAAAGGCGGCCCGAAGGATCCGCGATGCCCAGAGCCCGCCGACGCCTTCGAAGCCCCTTTCCCGCAGAGTTTCATCCACCTCGATGCGGCCGACTCGTACAATGGCGGCAAAATCGTGCTATCCGACTCGCTGTTGTTGGGCGCCATTGCCGTCAACACACAAATCACCGTTGACGCGTGGCCGTCACCGGAACGACCCCTCATCACCTGCACTAGCGTCATTTAGACCAACTGAGACAAAGCCAGCAGCTGAGAGACTAGATCCCCCGCTACGTTAGCTAGCTCGATGATTCCAGGTCCCGACCAACAAAGGCAGCTCTTCGAAATCCAAATACGGAATGGGCGCACTATGCATTGTTCTATATGGAGTAATATTATGGCGCCACCTGAAATGCCGCTACCCGCAGCGTCAGCACAGCGAGCGCAAGAGTTCCTGATGGCGCAGTAATGTCAGTCGAGTGTCCTTTCCTTTGACACTTCGCATCACTAACGGGTGGAGAGGATGAAAATTCGGACTCACCGTTCACCAAACGCTTTGACTGGCAACCTGAGCTACGGATTGACGGCCCACGTAACTGGGAGCGCTCAGAGTAATACGATGCCGTACTCGGCTTTGTTGTGCCGAGAGACGCGACAAAGGGCACCCGTCAACTCAACTCCACTTGATGTACGTGATATCGGTGGAAGATCAAGCATAGACGTTTGCTTATAAGGACCGCATCGATCCCGAAGATCGTGAGTTTCTTTCCTCTTCATCCCATCAGCTTCAATCATTTCCCGCCTCGGGCATTTCAGTCTTTTAACCACACTCTCTTTACCAACACTCTTTGGTATTACGAGCCTCCCACAGGTCTTTAGTAACATTTTTCAAAATGCTCTACCCTCTCGCTCTCGTTGCCCTCGCGGGTCTTAGCTCTGCTTCGCCCACTGTCCAACCCATCGACTTCGATGCCGTCGTGGCTGCTGCCACTCCCACACTTGTTGGCCCTCCCGCCACTGCCACCGGTCAAACCGACGTCTACAACGCCGTAGCTGCCTCTTCGTCTGCTGCCGGTGCTGTTACTGGTGTTGCTTCTGCCAGTGCCACCGCCTCTGTCGGTGCCCGCAACCTTGAGGCTCTTGAGGCTCGCAGCCTCGAGAAGCGTACTTACTGTTTCCTCTGGTTCTGCTGGGGAGCCCCTGCCTCCACTACTTCTGCCAAGGCTGCCACTTCCACGTCTTGCACTACCTCTACCACCGCCAAGGCTGTTGTCACCACCACTTCGGCCACTCCCGTGATTACATCGGCCGCTTCGACCATCACCGTCCCTTCTAGCTGCACCCCCATCAGCTGGACCAACACCTTCGCGTTTACTACCGCGACTGGCTGTGCTGCGCCCTTCGAAGTCGGCACCTACTGCGGATTCATCAACCCTGAGGACCCTTGCGCCCCTCAGCCTGCCGGCAGCGGTCCTCAGGTCCAGCCTGACACCGCCAGCGCCTTCCAGGCCTACGCTCCTTTCCACTCCATGGCCTCGAACGCTCCTACTCCCAGCGGATACGCTCAGACCTTCAAGGACCTCGGTGCCTCTGTCAACGCCAACAGCTACCTCGGCCTGTACACTCTCACCTCCTACGACGTTGCTCAGTGCGCTGCTTACTGCGACAAGACCGACCTTTGCACTGGTATCAACATCTACATTGAGCGTGACCCCTCTATCAACCCCGACAAGTGCTCTTGCCAGAACCCTTCGTCCATCACCAACTACAAGTGCACTCTCTGGGGATCTGGCGTTGACAGCGCTGCCGCCACCAACACTGGTCAGACTCGTGACAGCTTCCAGGTCGTCATTGCCGGCTCCAACGGTTACCAGAAGACCAACAACACCACTCCTGCTACTCCTTCCGGCTGGACCAACCCCCAGAGCTGCGGTGGTGTCACTCACAGCCACCCTTCCACCTGCATTGGCCAGAAGTTCTTCCCTGGTCCCTTCGACGTCAGCGTTTGCGCCGCTTACGCTGCTTCTCAGAACACTGTCAACTACAAGTCTCTTGGTCTGTCCTCTTGGGCTGCCTGGTTGGGCTACAGCCCCCTGAAGTGCAACTTCTTCAACGCCTTCATGATCAAGCAGAACGGTGTTGCCAAGGGTACCTACTGCAGTCTCTTCTCCCAGCAGTACAGCCCCTCTGCTGCCTCTTACAGCCCTGGTGTGTCTGGAAGCATCAGCTGGAGCGTTGAGAGCAGCTGGAGTTTCTGCTCTGCTTAAGAGCTTTCTCTCTTTCAATATTCTTATCTCCCGTCGAGCATGACAAGACACATCGGCGATTATTGTTTAATGGTTTACCTTTGTAATTTATTATAGAATTTGTCGCGACCAAAATAGACGTTCCTTACCTGATTTAAATCCATTGCATCAACCCTCAATCGTGTCTTTCGCTGGTGAGCTATAAAATAGCTTTCTTCGCTCAATAGCGAGGTACACGAACCTTGTCAAGATCCGGCGCATCCATCCCATCTACCCTCGAGATTGAAACATTGTTCTTCCCAGGTAACAAATTGCAATGCAAGGTACTGTTACCCGCAGTATCGGTACCGTTACTCGCTGTAGGCAGGAAAGCAATGATTTGCTCATTGCCATTACATGTGACCGCCGCATACCGCTGCTGAGCTCCACCAACAGCATGCGTCAATACAATCGTCACTTTCGTGGCTGATCGTGCGTCCAACCCCGAAAACTCAACGCTTCCCAGGTTAGTCACCGACTTCCCGTTACTACATCCAATGCAGCTTCTGTCTAAGGCACCGTCGTCAAGCTGAGCCGTTTCGGCCTCATATTCTCTGTACTCTGGGGCTTCTCTCCAACTTTCTGTTTTGGCATCAAGTATCCAACTATCTCTCCACTTCAGGGAGACATTGGTCTCTTTGATCTCGAGGGGTAGCCAGATGTATGTACTGCGCAGCAAATTGTTGCTCTGCCACCGGTCGCCCATGTAAATGAACTGATCATTTCCCAGAGGAAGGACGAAAGTGGTTTGGCTCGAAAAGGTCCCTGATCCCACAGGGGCAAACGGCTCCCACGCCGACCATGGCCCACTTAGAGACTTGGAGTAACTGTAAAGCTGCGGCTGTTGTGAGCTAGGCTTCGGAAAAAGCAGTGAAACACCTACGTTATCATTTGCCTTCCAACCGGACAGAGTACTCCCGAACATAAAGTAGTACCCATTATGATGGATGAGAGCAGGAGACTCCACATTTTCGCCTTCCCAGAGGTGAATGTTCTCAGTGACGTTCAGATAATCAGATGAAAGCTTCACAATACGTAATCCGTTCGGTCGCTGCGGCTACCCATTAGACATTCTGTCATAATCAATTGTTTCCAATACTCAATGTACTCACGTCTTCAGTAAGCAGGTATCCGGATCCATCGTCATCTTCATACAGCCCAATATCACGGCTCTGTTGACCAAGAGGACGGAACCCCCCCTTGTACTCGTAGGGGCCACAAATTTGGTCAGCTGTAGCAACGCCCACCCTGGCATCCTTCCGTACTGCTAGATCATCTGTAGCCTCGCCATTGTCGATGTGGGCGTACATGACATACTTTCTAGTCTTTCTGTTGTAAAGGACCTTAGGGCGTTCCACGATACGTTTTGTCTTCAGGTCCGGAATCGAGTCGTTTCGAGAGAGAGCTGCACCCTCGTACCTCCACTCGACAAGGTTTTGGGATGAATAGCACGAGACACTCTGAAAATACGCTGTGGAGTCCTTGTCCTCGCCGAGCATGTAGTACGTTCTTCCAACCTTGTTAATACCTGCACCGTGAGCTTGAATATGCTTCCCAGTGTTGATCTAAGGAAACGTAAGCCTAGACCGGATCATTCCGCCATGAATCTTTCACTCACGTCAGTCCATGTTGCCCCTGGAACAATCTCAAGTTCTTCGGTAGTCGCCAGGTCATCTTCTCGTTGGGAAGGAAAGTGAAGCGTTGCCTGGCTGGAGCCCAGCACAAGAAAAAGGAGGTAGGAGCTCGGTCTCATTTTCATGAATATATTCGAGCCAACTTGAGCATGCAGCGAAGAAAAGACAGCTTTTTGCTTCGCAGAAGTAGGTGGTTGATCGTTGAAATCAGAAAAATGGACAGAGAGATATTCGGGCAATCGTGGGAAGTGCATACCTCGGGTCAATAATATCTGTACCGAGATTTAGCTGCCGGGTAGAAACCTGAGCAGCCCATCCCACCGGCCGGCCGGGTGTAGATCAGTTGTGACCCCGCACCATCGCCTGGTTGAAGATGTTCCTCCAATAACGAATGATGAATGGGCTACTCCGGCTACCCAAATCCATTCGAAATCTCGATTGAGTAATTGCAAAAGCGTAGAGTAGCTCAGATCCGGGCCCGGAGCCTATGTGTTTGCACACCGCTGCGCCCCACGCGGGGTCCCGACGCCTCTTCTCGGGATGCGGAGGAAGAGCGGCGGAGCTGTTGATCCAAATTCCCTTACATGTACTCTGCCAACACAGATGGATACCCAAGGTACCCATCACTTCTCGCAATTCATTTCTAAGTCGAATTTCAATGTTTTGAGATATCGTCACGAGATGCGTAAGTTTAACGCTATTCTCTTACTTATCATTGTGGCTGCCGAATCTAGAGACAACATTGTTCATCTTGACTATGGCTCATTCCTCGGGCATTTCAATGAACAGTACAACTACACGGCATGGCAGAAAATCCCATACGCGGCACCACCAACTGGACAAAATCGGTTCCGTGCACCGCAACCCCCGATCAAACAAAAGGGCCTCTATGATTCAAGGGAGAAGTTCAGCGCTTGCCCACAGGGCACGGTATGTCTCTTCCAGCCGGCCCACGTACATCAACTAACAATGTCAGTCTGGAGGATCTGAAGATTGCCTGTATCTAGGCCTCTTCGGCCGGCCATGGACGGAAGGTCAACCATTGCGTCACTTTTACTGACACTCGCTTCATCTATGGTCTCAACATGAAGCGCTCAGTCCAGAACGAGACACACTACCAGAACATGCTCGATACTGTTGCCGCCGCCTGTAAGGCCTTGTCCAACAACAATCTGCTCGGTTGGTCCTATGGTAATGAGCCAAACCTGTATGGGTTTGACAATTGGTATCCTGCTGATTACACAGCGGCGTGGCTGAAGGGTACTCGAGATGCAAAGAAGGTTCTCGAGGACAAGTGCCCAGACCTTGCCGATGACGACAAGTTCCGCTGGCTTACGCCATCACCGTCCAGCTTGTCATCAGGGCATGTGAATATTCCAGACATCATGGAGGCGGGCATTGACGAGGATGGCTCAGTCTATTTCCTTGGGGCTCACAGGTACGAATTCCGCATGTGTCAATGCAACAAACGGCAGCTGACATGACCTCCAGCTACATGGGCAATGGAAGAGAACCTGTAAACAAGCAGGCCAAGCTCATGAACCATACGTCTGTAGAGGGTTCCATTAATCGGCATGTAAGCCTGATGAAGAAGCTCGTCAACTACACACAGCCGTATTCGATAAGCGAGACCAACAGTTTGTATGGGGCGGGCAGAGCTGGTATTTCAAACACTTTCGGAGCTGCTTTGTGGGCCTTGGACTTCAGTCTGCATGCCGCAGCCAAGAACATCACCCGTCTGAACTTCCATATGGGCAGGGACTACCGCTATTCGGCTTGGCAACCTGTACAGACATCCAAACAGGACATCGGAACAAAGGCGCCCTATTACGGTAACCTGGCAACTGCAGCCATCCTGGGTCGTCTCGGTAAGGACAAGGTCCAGGTTGCGAATCTCCCAGCTACTGGAAACGGGGCCGAATCTGCGTATGGCATTTACCACTCGGGAAAGCTTGCCAAGGTGGCTATCCTGAACATGGCCGAATACAACTTCACAGCTAGCGGTAATGCAGCCGAGACTGAGCTCAACAAATCCAAGCGTAGTAACCACAGCTTTTCCATCAACCTCGACAATAGTTTCAACGGCAAGACTGCTACGGTGCGTCGTCTCATCGCTCCGGGTGCTGACTCGATTACTGGCATCACATGGGATGGATACACCTTCAACTATGACGTTGACAATGGCAAGGCTGTGCGTGTCTCAAACGTCACTGTTGGCGAGGAGGTTGCTGTTAGCGATGGCAAAGCGACTCTTTCTATCGCGGACAGCAGTGCGGTGGTTCTTGAGTTTTGAGCATGGAGTGCGCATTCCGGGTTTCTTTTATTCGAGGGGATTCTTCTCTGACGGCAGCTAACCTCAACGTGGCTGCGTATTGCTTCATATAAAACACGAGATGGCTGGAATGGCACAAGTTATATGAATTCATTCGAACTACTAGGGCAACGAAGCAGTTAACAGGGCTTGACCCGGTGATTTTCATCGAGACCTGCACTCTTCGATCTATGTAACTTCTCATTCTGCACCTGAATGTGACATGAAATTGACGATGTTGCAGCTCTTTCTCGGGCCCGTTGCTGAGTGAAGAGCTCTTCTGAAAATCTCCAGCAATTGGTCTGTGTCTTCCATCCCTACGCTGAACCGAACAAGGTACGGATCTATACCTAAACTGGATGCCCATTCTAGCTCCTTCATGTGAGCAAGAATGACATAGGGTGATGTCAATGTGAAGTTCGTGCCCAGACTAGGCCCCTTCGCTCCATCCATGTTGTCGTAAAAGGTGACGGCATCTTGCTTGCGATGAAACATCACGGACATTAGGGCCCCGTACCCACCACCAGGCATTCTACAGGCTTCATAGTTCGATTTGTCGCCGTTGTACTTCGGATAATACACTCTCTTGATCAACGGACTGGCCAGCAGTAATTTTGCAACAGCCTCCGCGTTGATATTCATTTGACGAATGCGTGTAGTAAAGTCGCGACTATTCCTTTCCATCAAGATGACGTCCTCCGGCCAGTATGTGTCTTTGTACTCTCTCTCCGCGATCGCTTTTAGACTGGGATAGTAACGGCCTGTTGGACTGAAGACGGCAGAACCTCCAGTGACATTGCATGCGCCAGAGAAGAACTTGGTGAGAGAGGTGACCACCACGTCCGCATATTGAAGAACGTTGACGTTGGCGAAAGTTCCAATCGTTTCATCCACCACAATGGCAAAGTCGTACTTGTCCGCGAGCGACCGGATGCGCTTGAGGTTAGGACATGTGAGCAACGGGTTACCAGGAAACTCGCAAAAGAGGGCCAAATATCGTTCCCCACGCTCAAGCCGATGCTGGATATCGTCCAGCTCAACCTCGGTAGCGTTGCCGTAGAAGACACACCCGGGACCAAATTTCTCGAGGATCTTCAAGGTATCCACATAGGGGAATCCGAAGCTTATGCTCTTCATGTTCCCATGTGTGCCGAGAAGGAATTGGTGGGTGTGAAATATGGCACTCATTCCGGTCGGGAAGATGTAGACGTCGTCGGTCAAGTCATGAGTACTGGAGCTGCGTGGCCCTACTTCGATCGTAGTCCCGCTCTCTGCGTGTGCATTGAGATGGGGCCTCAGCATACTGGCGATGCGTTGTTGAAGTACTTCTTTGGCTTTTTTGGAATCGCTCAGGAGGATCTCGACTTCCTGACCAAACCCCTTTTTCGCACGAGGCATGGGTTCTTGCCACATGATGCCTCGTAATGATTGGCTGATTCCCGATTCTGAAGAAGACAAAATCTCTTTCTTCGATTCTGGGGGATGATAGAGCGGGGGACCATGGCTGTTCATCTGTTTCGGCGACTGGACGCGATATTCTGGTACAAGTAGAGCCTGCTGGAGGAGACAATGGCAGAACTCCGCTCGTCTACTGGAAACACCGAGTCCACTATGCTGCCAAAACTGTTTTGCATACTCGAAAGCGTCCGGGTGAAAACTGACAGCCGCTATTGACGGGGAAAGCGGTTTCCAGTAAACAGCATCCGGATTGCAGTCGTCCACGACTACAGCGACGGTCTCAATACCAACAAGGGCAGGGGCTGGAGCACGAGCGTGCAGGAATTCTACACACAGCTGGGCAGCATATTTGTTGGGAAATAGCATGGCTCGTTGTCCTGGTGTATGGCTGAAGTTTGAAGCAACAGTCTGAGCGAAGGATTCTATGCTTCTGTGGATGAAGAATCTTGGGTACCCTGTGAGCATGTTGTCGACGACCCATCCCTCCCCCGTCGCCCAGCCGACGTTAGACTCCCATGTCGGTAGAGAAACGCTCACGGCCTGGAGAAGTAGAAGTGGTCAGGAAACGCAATCTAACAAGTTTGATAGGCGTAACGGGAACTGACATGGTCTGTGTGAGGGGGAATCGACTCTCCCAAAGGCAGTTGTCCCATTGCTTACACGTTAAGAAAGGGTTGTCGAGACTCGAACATCATACAAAGCAGAATTTGCAACAGCCAGGGGAAACATCGCCCTTTTTAAACGGCTGAGTCCACCCCAGGTAAGACAGCCAAGGATCGCCCCAAAAGCGGACAGCAAGAATTCCAACTCCTCATGGTTCTGTGGCACTTTGGTTTCACTGACGCCACAAGTGGGGATACGAGGTGTTATGGTCACCAGAATGTTCAATGAAACTCTCCAATGAGACTAAAATGGATGGAGTAGTGATGAGAGACTACTAAATTATTCTGGTGGACGAAGCTATTGGCTAAGGTCCACTTGGGGAAGGCATCATGCTTTATTTACTACGACGATGGGTAGTTCTGCGAAATCTGGAAACGTTTGCGGGGAAGCGGAACGAATTGGCCGGAAAATTGCTCCGAGACACAACATGCGGCTGTGAGACAACGAGGGGATGACGGCAAGCAGGTACGAGATGACGCGTAGCCGGATAGGGCGTAACCAGGCGATGATCCACAAGGGAATAGAAAGCAAATAATATTCCCTTTGGTTATATAGAAGTGAGTCCAGAAGAGGACCGACCTGTTGTGGTGCCACTGAAACATTGTTGAAGCTCATATCCACTTGACCTAGCTTTAGCCATGCTTCAAGCTTGTGCAGCCCTAATCATACACATCGAAGAAGTCGCTATGAGATTAGGTTGGTCGCAGAGGTCTCTTGAAACTGGTTTTTGAGTTATCATGCTACACGAATAACTCGTGTGTCCCTTCACGATTCGCATCCAGGATACTCACGCAGTTGTGTGATTTAAGGCAATCTGACAAGTCACCTTGCACTATGGAAAGACTTCCTCGGGCCCAATTTCCCCTCCAATGACAATTCATCTCGGGAGCTTCCTCAACTTTACGGGCAATCAGGCTGGGAGGATTGTGTGTCGGGATTGCGGCGGGGGTCATAAGCATGTCGGTTCTCTTGGCGTCACACAGATAGAGCCTGATCAAGCCCGTATTTCAATCAGGCTTCGGGAACCACCCAGCTTATTGGTCTAAAAGTGCAGATTTGATACGTTTATTTGGATGTGGCTGGGCTCAGCCCCCGGATAGATGCGGAAGGTCTGTCAGACGACACGGCAGGGACGAAAGCCCGCTGGATATATATTAGCCCTCTTCAGAGAGGACGTGAAGTCCGTAGAATGGAGTCTAGATTATGCATTCGCCATGTCTCAACGAAACTGGGCAGAAAAGCCCTCTGGATACGAACCTGCTCGCGTCTACGATGTGGACGACGGACCTTCACGACCGGATACTATCGTATACAAACGCTACAGCCTTTTTAGCTGCACCGAATGGGTCTTGGAGATTATCACGTCTATCGGGAGCCTGATCATTCTTGCGGCGGTGGCTGTCATCTTCAGGACAGTGAATAATCAACCTCTATCGAACTGGACCTTCCCCATTTCTCTCAACGCCGTTATCTCGATATTGACGACTGCTTGTTCAGCGGCTATTATGCATGGCGTCAGCACATTCATCAGCCAGCTGAAGTGGCTTCATTTCAAAAATGGACCTCAGAAGCTGGAACACCTGGAAAGGTTTGATGAAGCCAGCCGTGGACCTCTAGGATCTCTCAAGTTTCTGGTCTCAATGAAATGGAACCTGGCAACCATCGGAGCCTTGGTCACCATTTTCCGTCTTGGTCTGTCACCATTGGCTCAACAAGTGGTGAAGATTGAGGAACGTTTCATCCCCACCACAGACAACAATGTCACGTTTGGCTATACGCACACATACAATCGCGTTCTGGATTATCCTGACTTACGTACGTGTGTATCGGATTTTTCAAAGGAACTCCCCTTGTTTCTAACTGTCTTACCTTTCAGGTGGTATACCTCAGGATCCCGGAATGCAAGCCGCCATCCTCCAAGGACTCTACGATATCAACACCCCCGCAACATTTACATGCCCCGTTGCATGTGAATGGAAGGGATCGTATGTGTCGTTGGGATTCACTGCCGAATGCAGAAATGTTACACAGAAGACATTAGAATCGAAAAGTTGTCGAACGGAGAGCCCCTCGCGGTACAACGAATATTGCAACATGACTACACCCGGAAATATAGGCCTGTATGCCCAAAAAGTCTTTACCTCTTTGGGCACCAGATTTTATATGAATGCGTCTCTTGCAGTCGAGTTTCCTGAAATCTCCCGATTCGGCATCTACCAAGCAACTCCCGATGTAAACTTCAACCAGTCCAACATCAACATCACGGAGTGTTCACTTTCATTGGCTGCTTATAAGTACACGGGCGCAAGATCAGAGAGCACATCGTTTTCCTTCGCAAAGACGGAAATGATCCAGTTCAGTGGCAATCGTTCCGGCCCTCAAAGCGACCGACACAATATCTTAGAGGGCATGGAATTCACCAACGGGTACAAAGCCAGTGATTTGCCTGCATTTAAGATGTCTTCGTACGACCTAAGGGCCTTGGGGCAGTTCTTTACGTCTGGGGCCATCGTCACCTATTGGGTCGACGGGTACGGGCCCAGCTTTGATAATAAGGTTTCTGGCCTTAGCGCTGCTGCTTTGGCTGGCGACGTAGACATCGGAGAGCGATTCAAAAAGATGGCAGTCAGTATGACGGATTATCTGCGCTCGGGGCCGAATAGCAAGTCAGCAGTGGGAGACAGAGTGGATCAAATACCCTACGTGTCAATTCGGTGGTGGTTTTTCGCCGGCCCTGTTGCGATCGAAGCTCTTGCGCTGTTGTTCGCGGTGTTGACAATCTTCAGCAACCGAGAAAGCAGCAGAGTCCCTCTGTGGAAGTCCTCCGCTCTTGCGGTCTTGGCATGCGAGCACGAGAAGAAATCGGAACTACTGAGGACTACGGCCAAGGATATCAGAAAGATTGAGAAAACGGCCAAGAACTCTTTGGTCAAGCTGGAGTAATATTGCAGGAAATGTGGCATTGTTGTAATTATTAGCAACATAGCTTTCTGCTTGCTGTCTTTGCCTGGGGTGCCAGAGTGTCGTGACAGAGGATGGCAATAGCGATGATAGTGGCCGCTTCCTGGAAGTCACCGAAATTCCCGCTTGAACAGAGACATGCTAGTTTCGCCACATTAATACTTACTGATCTCAGTTGAACGGCTCATTGATCGCTCTTCGGGTCAAGTTGCATTGTGCTTACCTATTTGTACACGCGATCTCATTGGCTCCGGAAGAAGCCGGGTGCGCTTGAGGGTCCGTGCAGACAAATTCAACTTCGCGTCGTGTCCGATTATTTTCACACCTACAAACCATCCCGCCTCCATTCACACTCACGAACTTATGAACGGACGTCTGCTCAGGTGCTGTTCCCTCCGCGCCGGGGCTTACTCTGCATTCGCTCGTCAGACATCTAGACCGCTGCTGCGGCGCCTGTCAACGTCGCCTCAGACACGCTCGACTGTGGAGCATCATCAAAATCACCAGATGGAAGCGGACACTCCTCCGATCGCCAGCCTCGACATCAAGCTGGATGCCAACAGTATCCTTGAACCAGATGAAAATGACGATCTTGATCCGGCCCTAGAGGAGCCTGAGCTGCCCCCGCCGCCTCCGCCACCACCGGCGAAGGCACCGAAGGGGTCCCCACTTGAATGGCTATATTTCCCGACGAGAGGTCTCGCAGGCACAATCACACTTGACGAGATTTTGCCGTCCACTGTACCGATCACCACCACTGGCGGCTTTGAGACTCTGTGTTCTTATAATTGGGTGGACACCAAAGATCCTACCATCATTGTTCCAGGCAAGTGGATCCGGGTCAACCCGACGGACATCTACCCGCCTGAGTCCCCTCACGTCTCAGTGACAAATAGCTGACTTTCTGCAGGCGGTGCTGCCAAATTTAATAGCCCTGTCCTCCCGGTTAGGCTCAAGCGGGACATCGGTTACACGTTTTGTGATCTCAATCGGGCCAAGGCTCCCCGGCAGCCATTCAAGGGATTATTCACTGCCCTGGCCGTGATGTCTCCAAATACGAAGCTTGACGACGTTGACGTGATCTTGACCCGTGGTGCTTTTCAAACTCTCCACAAGTTCGTCAAGAGTGGATGCTCAACTGCATTCATCCTGCAGATGAACGTCATCAACAAAACTCTGGTTCTCACATACAGAGAGGAAAGGAACAAGCGAGCCAGCAGCAGGAAAAGCCCCAGCTGGGGCCACGCGTTCGAAGAGGGTTTCACTGCATACGATGACGATCTCAAGGAAAGCCTCGCCCATCACAGAGCCATCAAATATCAGTTTGGCAGCCTCAAAGTTGCAGTTCTTCATGAGGTAGACGCCTCATACTCTGGATCATTCGGATCGCCAGGGCCCGAGGAATCTGCTGAAAGGAAGGCAAAGTATTTGGAAAAGAGGAGCGGGGCCACCAATCTTGGACATTTGGTGAAGTCAAATCAAGATGTGGCAGTAAGACTTTTTGGGACTGGGACAGCAGCCGAGAACGTTGCGGAGATGAAAGCGACGCAGAAGCCTTTGGCGTTGACTGGTGTCCCCAACGAGGCAAAGACCCAGTGTTGGTTTGGTCGGACCGGGACTCTCATATTTGGCATACATGAGAACGGCATCTTCAAAAAACATTCCGTCAGGCAGTTCGAGTTTGAGCCCTGGTGCCAGAACGCACAGGAAGCCTTGCAGAAAGTCGTCTCCCTTTTCGAAAAGCTCCGCGAGCAGACCCGCCGCATCGGCAACTGCGGCGTAGCGATTCTCAACCCCAAAAGCTCCAGAACGCGACTGGAAATTTGGACGCCTATTCGAGCACTTGTCTTCAAGCCAGTTTCACCCGACAGTTTTTACAGGCATTGGACCTTCCAAAACGATTCCACAAATTATGGTTTTGTGCAACCTAAGGACCGTCGGAGAAAACAAGAGTTGGGGGGCCGCCAGGCATAATTCGCTAAGATGATCATTGAGGTTGCGGCGATGGCGTTGGGCGGAAGGACATATCGGCGAAAGGATTATAGCGACACCTTATTCTGGCGGGGTTTTGTTAGTGGAAAGATGCATTTGACCAACCTTGGTTTCTCTGCAGCTGGTTTCGGTGCCGAAGGAAATCCCCACATTGGCTTTCGGTGCCGAGTTGATGTAACCTTCATGTACCGACCATGAAACCAAGCGGGACCAGGCTTGATTTTCAGCCCGAAGAAAGCAGCCAGGATGTGGTTGATCGGGCAGTCTGGGTCGGGCATCTGCACAGTGATACGTTTAGAACGGCAAACGGCAATTGAGTTCATCCCGTACTTGTGGGGACGAGGTTCTTCACGGCCACATCATATAAGAAGAGTGTCCGGTATCAAGACGGCTCTCCCTGTTTGCTTTACCGCTTCACCATCACCTGACCGAACATTTCACCTGACATCATTTTGATAACTTACTTATCTTAGCTATGAGTTTCAAGGCGACTGATGTCCTCATTGTTGGGGCTGGGCCCGTCGGCCTTGTGACGGCCCTCGGTCTCGCGCAACAAGGCATCGACACCGTTATCATTGGTTAGCTATCCGTACTTGCCATCATGTTAGCCGATTCTAACATTTGTGTAAAGAAAAGCGGGAGCTGGAGGTTCAGGAATCCTTCGGTCGAGCCATCACTCTCTTCCCCCGCACCCTCGAGCTCTTGGAGCAGGTGGGCGTGGCCGAAGACATGGTTCAAGCGGGCAACGTCGCACGAGGAATCGCCGCCTACCAGGAAGGTAAAAGAATGCCAGCCGTGGGCCAGCAGACAATGTTCACCGCCATGAACGGAACGTTTCACAACTACGTTCTCAACATCCGACAGAAGAACTCCCAGGCGATCTTTGCAGCCAAGTACAAGGCCGTTTCGGGAAACGACGTCCAATATCAATGGGAGCTCATCGATTATCAAATCGACCAAAGCCCTCAGGACGGTTACAATATCACAGCTGTCCTTCAACATCCCCAGTACGGCAGAAGCTCGGTTAGGTGGTATGTCTTCTCCAACGACACGCTCCAATACCGTGGAAAAGGCTGATTTCCAAAAGCAAATACCTGGTCGGCGCCGACGGCGTACAGTCTCAAGTCCGACAACTTGCAAAGATTGAAATGGTCGGCGACGAAACGGCATACGAATGGGTCCGCTTCGACGGCCGTATCAAGACCGACGTTCCCGACACTGAGCTTGGTTTTGTAACGATCCAAAGTGCCGAGTATGGCAATGTCTTCTTGGTCAGACTCGATAAGGATGTGTTCCGCATTGGATACGTGTTCACCGCCGGGCTGAAGGCCAAGTATCCCGACGGTCTTACCAAAGAGCAGGCTCTCGAGGAGGGACTCAAATCCTTCCACCCCTTCAAAGTCGAGTTCGAGCGGCTTGACTGGTGGACCATCTACACGTAAGTTGACTGTGTTTTGGGAAGCCAAGGATCTCATCTGACAATCGAATCAGTATCAGACAAAAGGTGGCCGAGACCATGAGCAAAGATGAATTCGTGTTCCTTGCGGGCGATGCTGCCCACACCCACTCGTCCGGCTTTGGCCAGGGCATGAACACCGGAGTCCATGATGCCATCAACCTCTCCTGGAAGCTCGCCGGAGTTATCAGGGGATTGTATCAACCAGGAGTTCTTGATACCTATTCTGAGGAGCGCCGTGCCGTTGCTCAGAAGGTCATTGACATTGACAAGACTCTGGCGGCGGTGATGTCTGGCGACCTTCCCGAGACATGGAACGGATGTAGCGGCAAGCCTGTATACAGCAAGGTTCTGGGTGACTTGCTCACGTCGAACGCCAGCTTCAACATCGGCTTCGGCGTCAGCTATGGACCCTCCATTATCGTCGACAAGGCCTGCACCGGCAGTTTGGCCGTGGGTTACCGCACCCCTGACGTGCTACTCATATCACCTGGTGCAAGCACCCCCATCCGCCTGCAAAGCATCATCCACGCCAACACTGGGAAATGGAACGTGCTCATCTTCGCCGGTCGCCCTTTCCAACAGAGAGAAAAGCTGACTGCACTGCGTGAGGCGCTGAAGTCTACGAATTATCTCACCAAACACGCTCAGACGTTGAGCCTCACGACCATCGTGTCCGGTACTATTTCCAACACATGGGACGTTTTCGACGGGCTTCCCCCGAGCTTCGTCTACTGCGACGTTGACGGCCAAGGACACAACAGCTATGGAATGTCAGCCACGAGTGGCGGGCTTGTAGTACTTCGCCCAGATGGCTTCTTGGCTGCTACTTACCCGATCGAAGATGTTCAGGAAGTCGCTGCTTTCTTGGCCGGTTTCTGTTCTGACAACACCAAAGCACTCCCCATCGTTTGAAAACATGTACCTAGACCTTTGAATTCCCTAGACCCATTATAGACTTCTGCAGTTCAGGAATTCGATCGTACCTGGATTAAAGAGCTGGTTCTTTAGATTTGCGGACCAGAAATCATTCAAACATTCATCAGGACGGCTAGAGATCCCGATAGTTCGATAATTCAAATTGAACCAGGTCTTGTAGACGCTAGTCTTAGGCTGCTAGCTGATTCCCTAGGTGAGCGTACCAGAGACCACAGACTACAACCAGTGGGCTGCAAAGAAGCGCATCTGCAAAATTCCAAACAGACATAACCATCTCAATTCATCAAGCATCATTCTCAACAACCTCACAAGCCTGTCCTCTGTCGCCGCTCGACCTTAGATTGTCGAGGAAGTCAATCCCAAGAAAATCGCCAAACCACGGCTCCATTTGATCAAACATCTCTTCAAAACCATGGTCAACTGCGGCTCCGACTTGGTCGGCAGACTCATTTGTTTCCATGCCTGCACCAACAGTGCTCCCGTTTTGCCCGTCTTTAATTGCCGATAGGTTTAGATCTACGCGATCCAAAGCCCACTCAAAGATAGACAAGACCCTCTTTATGACCGGTGAGTCCTGGAGCTGCTCTAGAAGAAGCATTCCTTGACGAATGTAAATGAGCGACATTGATCTGTTTGCGTTGGACTCCGCATCGTCCAGAGCAGCTTCTATATGCAGTGCAAGCGCTATTGGAATATTTGAATTGCTTCCAAGTCGATCGTCAGCCTATCCTCTCAGTCCATAGGGCGTCTACTTGGGGGCTCACAACGACATGGGGAGGTTTCTGAGTTGTTCATTCGCAAGTGCTCTCCCAAACAGCGTGTCAAGCTCGAACATCGAAGATCGAAGCCGCGCTCTCGCCCAGTCATGTCGGGCAGCATCTCCAGTCTTCCAGCAAAGTTTGAGGGTTCTATACAGGATACACTCCAGTCGATAGCTCGCTGCAAGAAGGGACGTAAGGTAAGGGCTGTTGACTAGCTGATTATCTGCGTCATTTGCTTCTCGGAGCTGACTCCGCCAAGCGTGGAATTCGCGAGCCATGGCTTCACCGTCAACGCTACCGGCGTCAGATATTCCTACAAGAGATCTAGACCCTAAATTCATCAAATCATCAAGTCAGACACCGGTTCAATACGTTCATTGCCATCCTGAATCGCACCTAGGACAGACAACTTGCAGTACTCAATAAAATGGCATTTTTGTTCAGCGGTGACCTTGGAAGGGAAAGACGTTTTCGTGCTGTTACCCTCAGTCTCCCAGTCTTCTTCGGTTGGCAAGGTTTGTGGCTTTGTCTTGTCGCTGACGAGGGGCATGCTTTGCATGCCCAGGAATGACAATAACACATCTCGACACTGAAATGATGAGTCAGTTTCAATAGGAGATGGCCCAATAGAAGTTGTACTCGGTACAGTTAACTCACGTAGATAACCCACCAAATTCGTTTGTACAAGCCACGAAGTTGGACGTCTGGGATGCGTAGCTGATCACTCAAGTTCGCATCCGTAATCAGCTCCGCCTTAAGGCCTGCCGTGGAAGATTCACGAGTACTCACAGCTTTTGCAGTTCCAGCTTTGTGGCAAGCCGGACCGCATTGAAGAACCAGTAATGAACGTCTCGATCAATTGGGTAAAAGAATGCATTTGTGCCCAATATTAGGGATCCCTGGAGCAGACACAGTTGGCTCTTCTCACATTGGAAGTCGTGCAGTAGTAGGGCCTTGTTGAAGAAGGCTGTTTGCGCCTCTGTGATATTGGAGTATCCACATGACGTAAGGACATCAGGTGATACGTAAAGAGTAGCACTTGTCAAAACCGTCTGCATGAGAAATGGGGAATAGGAGCCGGCCTCGTAGCTGCTTAAGAAGTGGTTTTTATCCAGAACGGGCGAATATGGATGAACAAACTCAAAATACGCGGTCAGAAAGAGCATTCTTTAATTTACTCATGTCAGTTCTATACACCCATCCTGAAAATGAAATCGGTATCACTTACAGGCTGTCCCGATGCGGTAATACAAAGGCACCTTTCTTCATCAGGAACTCTAGATCCACTGGATCCAAACCAGATATACCTATCTGCGGGTTCTGGGGATAGTGCGGGGTACTATTGGCCGAACTTGTGGCAGGAGATCCAAACCTAACACTTTCGTTTCTCTCATTGCCGCTCATCGCTGTTTTGAGTATACTGAGATAGTGAACTCTGCCGTTATACTCTGCTTGCGCCTGGGGAAGTTCATCAATGTTTTGTACCCTTTGGGGCGAGCGACCTGAGACAGTAGAACTCGTCGTTCTCTCAAGTTCCCTAAGTCCATGAATCCCGTCAATTGGCCGAATTGAAGGGCGCGGACTGTCATTTGGGAGGCTTGTATCGTTCACGGAAACATGACTTGATGTCAATAGTGCGGGCGGTTGGGCCTCGGAATCCTTCTTCAGTCAGCCTTCCAGTCTCAATACGTACTGCGTAAGGTATGTGGAATCAAGGCGGCACAAAAGCACAAGATGAAGATAAGGTTAGTCTCTCACATTTGGATTACAATGTTCCTCTTGTGTTAACACATCGGCTCTTCGCCTCCTTGATGATTACCGTTAGCGGGCTTATTCGGATGCCATCCATCCAATATTCACCTACCTCTTGCGTTGTTGACGCGACACCAGTTTGCAATTCTCCGGATATCCTTTGCTGACACATCGGCCGCAGGGTATTCCAGCAACAGGCGCATCGCATTTGACCTTGCGCGAGTGGCACTCAATGCACGCCTTGCTAAGCCTCGCCGCGGCTGCTCCAACATCGGCGGCGGTCGTCATCTGTGATCTGTGATCCACTCCGCGTCGGAGCAATCCGCTGCCAAGAGGCTTCGTTGTCGGGTCCGTGAACTGGCGGCCTTTCGGCAAAGGGAAGATGATGATGGGGAGTAGAACAATCGTTGAGTACACAGGCTGGCTGGGAGAAAGGAACTCATCAATGATTTCGGCGCCGAAAGAAGACCCACTGTTCGGCAATACGGCTTTTCGGCATTTACAGACTTTCCGGAGGGACCAGGGTCCGTGACTCGTTTGGTGAACGGCTCAAACTCATTTTGAGTGTCTACTGCAAGAGGTTGCCAATTGATTGAATTTCTTTGTGTTATACAGTTGATTTCGTTTCAATATGCGCCTTGTATGTACTGGGAAAACGGAGTCAAGATTCATAGTGCCCGGCATCCACCTGGGACTCATCCGTACAGCCACCATGCCGCTCCAGCAACGGCAACAGGTCCCATGATCAGCCCCATCTTCTTGCCCAATCCTTTCAACCCGTTGACGGCGATGATCTTCACCTTCTCGTCTAGCCAGGCCTTCTCATTCAGGTGCGGGAAAGGGACTTTAGGGACATCCTTGCCCAAGAACTCGCACAGCGGGTCCCACCCATCCGCCAGATCGAACTCCAGCAACCTCTCCTTCGGCGTGACCCTCCTCAACATCTCATAGTGCTCGCAATACTTCTGTCTCGCTTTCGCCTCGGCGTCTTTGACATTCCAGATATCCAGCCACCCGCCGGTTACACTCCGGTGAATCTTGCCAATGGGATGGACGTAGAACCGGTCAAGCTGATACACCAGACTGATGAACGGGTCAAACATATTCGCAATGACACCCTGCATGTAACTTTTATGCCAGCTCTCGACCTCCCTCTCGACAAGCACGACCTTAGCCTCGGGATACGCCGCAATTAGCTCCTCCGCAAACGCGACCGCCGGCGTGTCCGACGACACGGCGCCGTACGAGTGCAGCAGCTGGTCAAACTCGTCCCGCCCGACCGGCGCGCGGGCGCCGAAGAACTTGCGGTCGACGGCCTCCTGCCACATCTCAATGTCGGCGAAGTTGGTCGACATGAAGACTGTCGAGTGCCAGCAGGGGATCCCCAGCTTCTCGAGCGCGGCGCACATTGCTGTTCCGCGGCTAAGGTTAGAGTTTCGGCAGGCGCCTGGGTGTGGTTGGGACTGGGCCTTACATGACGTGCCTGTTCGGGGGAAGCCCAGGCACAGGACCTGCATCGGCACGGTTCTCTTCTTCCCGCGCGGGGACTCGGTGCTGACCGGGCGGAAGAGCTCCGGGTGTCGTTCTTCTACGGTTGCCATGGCGGGCGGGCGTTGTTAGGGGATGATAGTGGAAGCCGTTTCTATGTCGTCAAAATTAGAATAGAAACCGTCACAACGAGGCACTCTGGCAAGATTTTTGAATCATCCACCGTAAGACCGTCAATTGTGATGTCCCAGCCCCCTCTACTCTTAATGTGCTTACGTGAGACTTGATGTCCAAGACATAGTGGCGCTGAAGGAAGAACTTTGGTCGAAAATGGCCAGAGGAGATCTTATCGATTAGATTTCAATGTCTGGATTCACACTTCATCACACAGTCGTGTTCACAAGAATATTGGGGCTTTGGTACGTAATCTCATGTTACCCATCCGAGGATTTTGCGGGGTACGACATGCTGGTTTGGGAATGCATGCATCCCGGCATGAACCCGACTCTATGGTTAAAGTAGGAAATGACGGGGCATGGCGTCGTTGGCGATGCGTGTGGAGAGAACACACGTGAGGTCCATAACAGTCGCGGAGATTTTGAAGACGACAAATGCTAGAAGTTCGGACCGCCGCCTGGTCCCATCTGAAATCCATACCTCATGCATCTTTGGAGTTAAAAGAGGGACAACAAGGGATGATTTATTTAAAGACGAACACCTCGCGACCAGGAAGCTCAGAGCGAAAGCCGAGCGGCTCAGTCAAGACAAGCCCCCTGTTGTGCCACCCGAACGACCGACCCCGAAGGCGCGCATGGATTGATCACAGTTTGTCAGCTCGTCTGTAATCCGGCCGGCCGTGGAAGTCAGAATCCCATAATGTTGTTTGAATGACGATTCGCGGGGGAGCTATCGCAGGAACACCGGTCGCTATACTGGGACGCAACATCACACATAGCTTCACTGCTTCCGCTGCCATTGTCCAATGTCATTTGCCCTTCTCCCCGGATCACGAACCGAAAAACGCACCAATTCATCAACAATAATAGCCGCTAATCATACTATGACATAATCCCACCGCCCCTCAAAACATGGCGCCCCTTCGGAGCGGGGACGGGGCGGCGCGCGCCATCGGGGTCTCCCCAACACGAGTCCGAAGTGCAGGAAAAAAGTAGGGATCGCCCGCCCGGACACTGCACTGCACCCACGTCCCTTGCAGTAGCACGCGTGTAAGCGGGGAGGGAGAGACCGCGCAGCAACATTGAACATTACCAAACCAACCAAGCGATGAACGATCCCACCGTCCGGGCCTCCGTACCTTGCTGAGGCCCGGGCGTTTGGCGGCAGTCCGGCGACGCGCCATCGAACGCAGCGACGTCCGACGGTTTACGTGAGTTGGCTTCGATCCCTTTGGCTTTGCGGTCGAGTATAAACATTGAAGAAACCCGCCCGTACAAATAGGTCGAACTTTCATCTGCTTAATCGGATTATCTTGTTCGATAAAAAACGACAATTTTATACCCGGATTTAGAAGAGTAATTTCGAATAGTAGACATAATGGCGTCCCCTGCTGGCAACATTACCTTCGATGGTAGGTCTTCAGATATGGACTACCAGCAATACAGAAACTGACGAAAACCTGCAGACTACCTCGGCCTGACGGCCTGTCTCTTCGAGTGGGCCGACTCCTACGACTCCAAGGACTGGGACCGTCTCCGCAAGTGCATCGCCCCAGAGCTCCGCGTACGTCCCCCCTCCACCCATCTCCCCCAATCCATCACTACCTACCCAACTCCCGCCCTCGCGCCCCCCCTGCGCCCCTCCCACAACCCCAACCCCGTCTCCTCGCTCCTCAGCCGCCCGGTGGAGGAGGGCGGCGACGACGATGACGACGCCCAAACCCATCATAAAACTCACATCCCGCACCAGATCGACTACCGCTCCTTCCTCGACAAGATCTGGGAGGCCATGCCGGCGGAGGAGTTCATCGCCATGATCAGCGACAAGTCGGTCCTCGGCAACCCGCTGCTCAAGACGCAGCACTTCATCGGCGGCACGCGCTGGGAGAAGGTCTCCGACACGGAGGTCATCGGGCACCACCAGCTGCGCGTGCCGCACCAGAAGTACACGGACGCGAGCCGCAAGACGGTCGCCGTCAAGGGCCACGCGCACAGCTACAACATGCACTGGTACAAGAAGGTCAACGGCGTGTGGAAGTTTGCCGGGCTCAACCCCGAAATCCGCTGGTCCGAGTACGACTTCGAGGCCGTGTTCGCCGATGGCCGCGACTCGTTTGGCGAGGACGAGGACGAGAAGAGCGATGTCAAGGTTGTGGAGAAGGAGCTCAAGTCTGCGGTGGCTCACTAAATATGTAATCTGGGCGTGGGATGGGACATGGCGAAATTGGGAGTTACTTTTTGGGAATGGGTGGAGGTAATGTGGGTGTTTGTATAGGGGCTTATTCAATGTGTATAGACGTACCCTGATATCAAAATACTACACTTGCCTTCACAAATCTTGTAATACCGAGAAACCCTATTGACGAGTGAAACTTCCTTTACTGAATAAGATGAGAACTTACTGGGGCCCCTCTGGTCCTCGTCCAAGTCCCCAACGATGTCCCAGCTGCTCCTCCCGCTCACGCTCTCGCGCATGGTTGATAGCAAGTGTAATCTCATGCTCAAACTGATGCGACCCGCGCCCACGCGCCCGCTCGCGCGCAAGCTCCAGCTCCAACGCATCGACGGTAGCGACCTGCAACATGGAATTATACGAGCACAGGGGGAACCTACATTTCATACAAGGCACGCCCGGCATCTCAGTATCGTTGCGGCAGAAGCAGGGGTATGCGAGATCGTGGGGACAGCGCTTAGAGACATCAGGACGGCCCGAGTCGTCACGCTGCTCGTCTTGGGCTGGCCACGGGTTCACGAAGGCAGGGGTCTCGACGTCTTGGAAGCGCGGCTGCGGGCGGGGGAGGCTGAGAGGATGGGCGGCGGGCCGTCGCTGGCCGATGCTGAGGGGGTGGATGAGGGGCGGTTGTTGGGTGTTGTTGGCGATGCGTGCGGGCCCTGGGTCGGTGTCGTAGACGGCGTTGGCGGGGGCGAGGGCGCCGCGGCGGAGGTAGTCGATGAAACGCGGGGTCTGTGGCTGTTGGGAGACGGGCCCGTCAGTAAATGTTCCACCGATGATGGTAGGGTTGGCTAGATGCTCAGGGGTTGTTGAGAAGGAATTGGGAGGTTGGGTTGGCGGGGTGTTGGTGTTATCTTCGATAGGGGCGAATTCAATGTCCGGGGTCTCGGGACGGATAGGGCTAGCGTTCTGGTGAGTGTCGTCTCTAGAAGCCATTTTGATTAGGTAGTATGCGATAAAATGGGCTGCTAATGCTGTTGAGTTGGCTTTTTGGGGTTTGATGAGTAATGTTGGAATGTGTTTAATGTATTGATGAGAAGACTTGACCTTCGTGAGCAGCATCTGGTGTTGTTATATCAATACTCGATGAGAGCCTACAAGTCAGGGAGGAACAAGGTAAGAGAATGAAAGTAAAGTCATTGTGTTAAAACAATGCAGTGACCCCTCTTGGGGGTTTATGAATTGGGAGCCATTGAGCTTGAACAAAGCCAAAGATTGGCCGTGGAGCATTTGCCCTTGTGCTGTTTAAAGTTGACTATGGACAACGGCAGAGTAGCAAAGGGACCGAACAAGTCATAGCTCTTTCTACTCACCGGCTTGAACAAGTCAATTACAGCATCTGCGAAAATTTGGATTATACAGATGAACGAAGCTCACAGAGGTCGAAAATTTCATCGTTTCGATCAATCCTAGGAGTTGCTCAAGCCGGAGCTCAAGAGAAGCAAAAACTTGTCATTGAAGGTGGAAATGCAGAACCTGAACCATGATGCCACGCAATGAAACATCAGGGAAAATGAAAATGCAGCTGAGTTTGAATCGATGCCCAAACGCCGCAAACATTTCCTATGATCCCCTGGACTGTTGAAGTTGGTCCGGAGCAGACGGAGGTAGTGGAGTCGACTCGGGGCCGGATGCCGGGCCCCATATATCACGTGTGTTTCTGTCCAGGAGCTTGGGCCACTAGTGCAAAAGCTGATGACATAATGCGGTGGGCTCAGGAGGGGCAGAGGTGAACTCGGCAGCGCACGGAGCAGGGGTCCCAAACGTTGACGGGGACTTGGAGAGCTCCGTCGGAAATCGGTCTCGGATTCTGGATTCGAGCAACTACTGCCTGCCACATCACCCCACGAAGTCGACGGCCTTTGCAGCAATTTTTTGAAGGGAGTTCACGGTCCTGTGGTTCATCACAAGCTGCAACATCACGGCGGACTTCCAAATCTTCCGAAATCAACTGCTGACCCTCGCCTGACGAAGCCGCTTCATCCGCGCCGTCACGATGGACTACACATCCCAGCGGCTTCAAGAAGAAGCCGTCAAGCTCCAGACAGCGAGGTATGTCCAACTGCCTCCTCCTTCTCACCTCTAAGGCAATGACTGACCTTCGATCTGCAGCTCCGACGCCTTCTTCACCCCGCTCAACATCATCCTCCTCCTCGTCCTCGGCTACACAATCTACTCGATGCTGGCGCCGACCCCGCCCCCGATCCTGCCGAAGGAGCCGCCGGCGACCGTCTTCCGCGTCTTCAACCCGCGCACGCTGCTGCCCTTCAACGGCGAGGAGGGCAAGCCCATCTACTTCGCGGTCCGCGGCCGCGTCTTCGACGTCACGCCGGGGCGCAACTTCTACGGCCCCGGCGGGCCGTACGCCAATTTTGCGGGCCGCGATGCGTCGCGTGGCCTGGCGTGCGGCAGCTTCGACGAGGACATGTTGACGGAGAACCTGGACGGGCCGCTGGACACGCTGGAGGGCCTGGGCCCGGACGAGGTGGAGGCGCTGCAGGGCTGGGAGGAGCAGTTTGATAGCAAGTACTTGGTCATTGGGCGGCTGGTCGCTGTGGGCGAGGAGCCGGAGGAGGATAAATGAGGAGCTCGTGTTGATTTTAGAGGGGAGAGTGATGGATGATGGCGGAGGTGTAGAAAGCGAGGTTTAGACCACATGGGAGGATTTGATAGATATCTGTTGTGTGGATGGGTGTCACACGCGACAGATATCAAGCCTCAAGCCACGCCGTTACTGCATGTCTTTGTGATGTCCCATTCTTGGTGTGATGCAAGGTTGGTCGATTTCTTTGCCGTGACAGGTCGAGGATGGTCAAAGATGGGTGCTCCTTGTGGCGTCGGCTGCATCTTGAACGCTTGACAAGCCATCTGCATTGTCTTGAAGCCGAGGCCACTTGTTCGCGATGCAACATTACAACAATCCCATCAGGCACGTTTCCTAAGACCCATTGTCGCAACACAATAGCGCGAACCAAGGGAGGCTTAGGGGAGGCAGCAGTGAAAGTAGCTAAGTCGGGGCTAGTCAGATTATAGCGCCAGACGCCCTCGAGTGCGAGCGTGAGATGAGACGGAGGGGACTGCTGACAGCGGTGGCTGGTGTAGTTAGTTTCTCAGAGTCAGCAGGCAACCACATTTGTGAGGGGGGAGGAGAGATTGGATCCGCGTGGCTCAACGACTTTCTGCGGAGTTTATTTCGAGCCGTCGTCGCAGCCACCGTGTCTCGACACAGCGACGGTCCTGTGGGATGATCCTTCGTTCAGGTTGTTGGCCGGGTCTGGCGGCATCCGGAGAGCCGTTGACGGGCGCAGCCACGGAGGTTTGGGCACGTTGGCAGAGGAAGATGAGACGAAATCGGACCCGGTTGGTGATGGGCAGGGCGGTGTGGGTTAGGTGCGGTGCGCTGGAAATGATGATGCGATTGTCTGAGAAAGGCTACCGTTGCCGTCGCGCCGGAAACGGATCGGTGATCTCACTCGTTTGCTGCAGAGATACGAGGTGCCGAATTGCATTGGTGCTATTTGTCTGGGTCTACCACGGACGATCTGCTTCCCATCCCCCCATCGCCCTCCTTATCTTGACGACAATGAACAAAGTTCTCCTCTAGGAAGCAAAACACCCGACTCCAAAGACCGACGATTGTTGAACACGTTGGGAGGCTGTATCGATATTTCGAGGTGCAGCAGATGCAGATGCAGATGCTGGATTCGAGCTCAGGCACGGGGAGGCTTGTGGACCTCTAAAATTAGCGACTCCTCGATGAATTCCAGGCCTAGCGCAGATCCTGCCACACGCCAACAGCCGCTGCTCTTTCCTCATTGTGCCGTATCTTTCTGCCTGTGGCACCCTGCCCTGGACAGATGCTTTGCAGCAGGTACCATGCAACACCAAGGAAAGCAGCGCAGGTGTGGCACAGCCTCTGCCGCTCAGCAGACAGACGAGCTGTCCTGTGCCTCTCTCGGGCTCCTGCGCCCTCTGATTGGCTTCTTCCCCCCCCAGCCCAGTGTCCCTGCCGTCATTTCTCGGGGAAAGCGCAGGGGAGATGCCGTCCTCCTGCCTGCCTGCACCTGCTCCGCCTTCAGCCCTAGGAAAGAAAGAGCAGCAGAGCGAGGGTGTGGGTGGTTGTTTCCTTTCTCGAACCAATTGCTGTGGAATGGAATGCGAGGTAAACATGGAAAGAGCCAGGCACCAAAGAAACAAGCTTCCTTCCTCGTCTCATCATTGGACCTGTGGAATGCGAATCTGCATCTCAGTCTGCTGCTTCTTCTTTCCCCTTTCTCAGCCTCAGCCTCCATCTCATCAACACCCCAAAACCGGTCCAGTCGGCGCCACTGCGGCCACCAGCCAGTCCATTCTGTCGTTAGTTTGCCTATCATCGGTTGCCGTCCCTGGTTTTAAAGACGCGCAAGGCGCCTCTTTCACCGTCTGTCTCGCTGCTTGACTGTTTTCCCTTTTCTGCTTCACCAAACCCTGCGTCACCTTCGATCGATATCCCTGCGAACCAACCCAGCGGTGCAGCAATCGCAGAGCTATCAGACGAAGTAGTCGACAAACATCGAGTACTTCTCTCAGCAATCACCATTGGCATTGACTTCAATCCTTCCCGTCAAGTTTGACCATCTCGAAATCGCATGGCACACTCGGTTTGCCAGTTCCAGTCCCAAAATTGCGCATACCGCCGACCACTCCCGACATCCCTGTCGACCATATCAAATCCCACTCCCGATTCGGATTGCACACTTACAACATCACCATGGCGCCGTCGCGGAGCAAGGCATTGAGCCTGCTGAGCGTTCTCCTCCTATCATCACCTATATTCGCCAAAGTACAGAACGATTTCAGCTATTATCCCAGCGCAGCACAGCCATGCCTTTACTCCGCTTCCGACAGCAGCCAGTGCGACGGCGACACCGTCGCGGAGATGAATAAGTGCCTTTGCAGCGACTCCAAGGGCAAGTTCATCACGAACACCGCAAAATGCTTAGGAAAAGACGCGAAGGGCTCCGTCTCGGAGACATACTCCGACCTCAAGACTTCATGCGCGAATTCCAACACACCTATTTCCATTACCGAGGATCAATTCAACAACCTCGCTGCCCAAGGGGTCACGGCCACCTCCATTCCAGTTACGCCGTCGTCAACGTCAGCGCCGAAAACGTCCAAAACGGCAAGCCCCACAACTTTCATGACCACAACGACCGGCGGCGCGACCGTCACCGTCACCACAACACCTACTCCAACTGATGCGACATCCACTCCCACGGCTGCGGCCTCGGGCCTGTCGACAACCGCCAAGATTGGCATTGGTGTGGGCGGTGGCGTTGGCGCAGTTGCCATCGTTGGCATTATCGCATTCGTCTGGCGACTGAAGAAGAGCCGCTCTGCACACGAGGAGTCTCGGCCGATGCTCGACGGCGGAGTCGGTGCGACCGGATACAACCCGCACAACAGCCCGTCTGCCAGCGCCGCCGCGTTTGGTCTTGAAAACCCGAACGATTACAAGACTGAGACGAAGACGGGAGGATGGAGGCCGACGAAAGACATCCCCCCTAGCGCGAGTCCCGGCGCGCAGACATGGGCAACAAACTCTCCTCAGCCCCCGTACGCGCCTTACTCTCCTCCGCCACCGCAGCAGCAACAGCAAATGCATGCTTGGGGGCACCACCCGCAGGCTGCGTACCCGCCTGGGCCACAAGTAGCTCCCCAGCCTGGCGTTTTTGAGCTCGCATCTATACCCGTGCAGCCATCGTATTCTCAGCCTCCACCTGATGCTGTCGAGATGCCGGCAACGGAGGTACAACCTCAGCCCGCACGATACCAATATCCATCACAGCGATGATCCGTACATACAAGAAGAAGGTGGCGGGAGATAATCTAGCATGGATGTAGACTATATGTGATACCTGGAGATGCATATCATGGACGGGCATTCAGGCGTTTTGGGCCTGGACTGGAAAAGTCGGGTTATTGAATACAAACATTTGATCTATCACAAAGGAAGTCTCTGAAATTCACGCAACTACTGTGATATCATTGTTATTTAAATAAGATGCGAAAATCACTCTACTTCTTTCCCGAGTTCGAGTTGGAACCACCGCCCGAGGAACCGGACGAGTTTCCAGACTTGTTGCCCAAGCCAGAGTTGGAGCCACCGCCGGATTGGTTCTTGGCCGCGGCAGCTGCAGCTCGTTTGGCGAAGGCGCTCTAGAATAGGCAGATTGTCAGCTATGCGTTTGAAAAATAAAAGTGAGAATCATTGGAGCCGATCAGGTACTTACATCCTTGCCCTTGGCGATGCGGGCCGCTGCCTTGGCGGCCATCTTATCGGAACCCATTGTTGATGTCTTTTTGAGATTTGGTTAGTTGGAGGTTTGCTTTGGAGTTACCTTGATAGGTTGAAGTAGATGGTAGATATTTGGTGGGTAGCTGTTGTCTTGGGAGGTTCGAGAAGAGCGATAGTGGTTCTTTATGTAGGGGTTCAGTTGAGTTGCTTGGTCGAGTAAATCAGTTCTTGTTGAGTGAGATCAATGCTTTGTGTATGAATAGTGATGTACTGAAAGAAGGTTCGTTCCAATTTGCAAGTTCAATTTGGCAGTGAGGAAGTGAAAGTTGCTGATCAGTGTCCTTTCGTAGACTGAATCACGCAAGGAAAAGGCAGTGCCGATGTTGTGAACGTGTCCCATTTTCATATTGCCGGAGTCTCCAGCCAGTAGGACTTGATTCGCGATTGAATACTAGACACCTAACCTGCGGAAACGCGTAACAATAGACCTGTTGGGTAAGAACACCTAGGTCCCAGCAGTGGGATGTGTAGTACAATTTCATCCCATTCACATGCTACAATTGATAGATAGATTCAAGTCAAGTATCATTTTTCCCTTGAACGTTCATGTTGATTCACTCCCACTGACTGAAGAACTGAATAACTACCTAACAAACTACCGCCGTGAACCCGCGAACCCTGTCTCCAAAAGCCACGGATCAGTCACTCAGTAGCTCTCGTGAACACATTACTCATGGCAGGAAAACTTCTTCTCAGGGTTTAGGTCTGGTCCGCCGTTCTTGCATCCAGACATTGACGAACTGCCTCCGCTGTTGTTGCTGCCGGACTTGTTGCCAGGGCTGGAGGATGAGCTGCTACTTGAGGAAGCGTTGCGTTTGGCGGCTTTGGTCGCGCGTGTGGCGAAGTCTGACTGTAAAATGTCAATGACCGTGATCAAAAGTTCTGGAAACACCAGGTAGAGGGCGAGAAACAGGAGCAAGAAGAGTACTGGGTTGATTTACGTCTGGGTCCTTGGCGATGCGGGCTTCTGCTGCTTGGTTCATTTCACCCATTCCTACCTTTCTTCTCTCTTTCGTTGTGATAAATAATACGAGGATTCTGAAAGCGTCAAGTTCCCGTTCAATAAGCCGACCTTTGTTTCGTTCCTGATGCCGGTTGAGATTGAATTCCAGACTGGCCATGATTCTTACAATTTTGGGGTGCAATTCCAAATCTAGAGTAGAAAGCATCTAAACAACATACAGTAAATCGCGACATTTTCAAGAAGCAGTCGGGATCAGTGCTATCTCGAGTGAGATTTTCATCGATCAATCGCCATGCGAGTCCCGACTGGACCACCGAACCAATGTTCATATACGAGTGTAGTGAAAGTGCTGCGTTGGCTTTGCTGTCGATGCGATGTATTCTATTGCTCGAATACCCCTATGCTGGGGTAGTTCTGCGATCTAAGTTCTGCTTAAACAATTTCAGCGGCACGCTGCTACTTATTAATAAAGGTAGGCAGAACTCGGGAGGGATGGCAACGGCAGTCCAATTATGGACTCGATTGCCATCAAATCAACTCTCTAGGATGGTATTCTGTTCCTCTGATATTCAGACCAAAGGAGCGGATGCCTTTCGCGTTGCATCCAATCCCAAATCGTCATCCCATGATCCTCTGGTTCCAGCGGCCAGCTCCCAGGAATACTCCTGGTTTGATCCTCAATCATGCCCCAAAAGTCTCCAGCATATTCATGGTTCTCGCGCGTAACCCATACCTTCCAATGCTCGGGCAGACGACCATACGTAACACCTGCTACTAGGTACCGACAGCCGCCCTTCTCCACAAGCAATCCCCCGTCTGATGATTTGGCGAAAGGGGTCGTCTTGGCAAAGAACTCTGGAAGTCTGAGTGCTTCTGCTGTCTTATGGAATCGCTTCTCCATAAATATGGCTGAAAATGGCGTGAGCTTGATGTGTCGACTCCATCCAGGCAGCTTGAAAGGCGGCCCAGCGTCTGCATGTTGTAGACCCAGTGGATCGAGCTTGATGCAGTCGGTCAGTAATTTTGCCCACCTATGCTTCTCTGTGGGGTTTGAAAGGCCCATTGAAGAGTTCATAGCAGCAACAGCCAAGGAATGAAGTACTGAGTATTCGCCTTGTGATCTGGACTGAACCAGCCATGTTTTGTTGCGGACCATGGCCTCGGGCAGCAAACCGAAGACCTGATCCAACGTCCAGTCGCCTCTTATCGTCCGGTAAGCCATGGTCCTCAAAAGTCTTGATCTTTCAGCAAATGTCAAGTCTCGATTCGGAGCGCATTGGCTTAGTAATGCCTCAAAGCCCCTTAATGTGATGCCGTGGGCCAAAGACATGAGAAGTCCATCTGCTCCATCGAGGACGTCGCCCAGGCCATTTTCGCTCAGCATGTCCATCATATGGGAGTTGAACCCCGCAGAATTTGAATCATAATACCACAGACGCCCTATCGCCTCTGTTATATACCATCTCCTTGGCAAAACAGTTAGCAAGTCTATTTTATGCATCTATGAAATCAGAATACAAACGCGATGTAATCTCCCGAGTCGATCTTCAATCCTTGTTTTATCAAGGCTTTTGTAATATTGGCAGACCCAAAGGCAACTGCTATCTAAAATTTCATATCGTGAGATTACATACATAATGGGGTTGTGCATCTGTTGAATGACGTAAACTTACACTCAGAATGTCGCGACCACTTGCACTGCGGACGAAGAGACTCATTCGCCGGTCGTCCATATAACGAAGAAATCCGTGGTAATCGTCCTGCTTCATAAGACCCCAAAAGTCTTCATCGAAGCCTCGAACGACGTCATGAGCTCTCAGGTTGATCTGCCAGCCCATGTTGGCTCTTTTAGCAATTATTGAGTACACGGACCAATTCAGCCAGCCGAATGCTGTCATTGTGGGATGAAAGCCACCTGTCTGGCCAAAGTCGAAGCTGAACTTGCGAAACCGTTTGATGATCGGGGAGTGACAAGATATCTTGCTGATTTTCTTCCCCTCTTTGGGCACGCGATCATTATCATGCGTGTCTCTCTTTACTGCCTCCCTTGTCTTTTTGTTGGTCATACTTGTCCAACTCCTCGTTGAATCTGCTTGTCCTTTTATGCTGGCCGGAGGAATAGCGTTCCAGTTTATTGCAATTGTACTACAACATGTTAGACTCCCAACGCTCTTTATCCTGTCCGTCTCATTACTCGGAGGTCAACTTACATCCGTAATTGCGCTTCGACTTGGGCCATTTGTAACAGTCTGAGTGCTCGATCAAATGTGACGGACAGGCCCTCCAGGTCTTCTTTCTTTAAAGCGGCTTTTGCAGAAGTAATTTTGTGTTTTAATCCCTGCTTGGACATGAGTCTCGTGTGGATCTGATCGACCTCATGCTTAAGTTCGTTCAGAGCAGAATGACATCTGCGGATGATTTTCTCTAGCAGGGCATGATCCGACGCCAATCCCAGCAGCAGGCTCTTTGCCAGATTCGCCTCAATGTTTGCGACGAGCTCTCCGGAAGTTTGAATGTCTTCCGCCTTTTCCCGGAGCATAACAGGAACATTTCTCACCTCTCTCCAAAGCTTTTGAATCTTAAGATAGGCGCTACCAGTCTTGGTGGCTATGTCCACAATGGCAATGACACTCGCCCCCAGACCAAGTGCTTCGGCCATTAGGATCCGCTTTGTTTTTTTAGTAGAGACGTGTATAATCAGAAGGCGTGCTCACAGAGGCAGTAAAGAGATTACACCGCTTCAGATGAAGATACGAGGATGGAGGAGCAACTTTCAGGACCTAGGCAGCAAAGCCCGGCGGACCCGGACTTTTATGTCAGTCTTCGTTCATGATTGCCTCGTCAGCATTCCTTCGGCGTTAGCCTTGATAAGCATCGGAAACCTCGGGCTTTGGCAAACAGACTCCGTGATTGGAGTTTGCAATCACGCCCACTGCAAAAGACTGCGTAATGGCGTGGTCACGCTGCATGAGCAAATATGCCTTACTTCTCAAATCAGCAACACGACGAATAGCTCAACTCGGAACGTAATCTAAATATTCCTCGTCTGCTTAATCATACGGTCTCATCTTTGTCGTGAACACCATCTCGCAACAATGCCGCTTACTAAGAGGCATCGCAGCCTATCAGTGTAAATCTCACCATTTCCTGCTCACTCAGAAAGGATAGATCAGCAGGACGAGACATCGGCCATACCGCATGAATGAATCGTACTATTCTAGATACAGCCTATTCATGGCCATTAAGGCGGGAATATTCATGAAGACGCTGATTTCAAGACTCTATCGGGCTTTCATCGATGTAGCTCCCTTTCACTAGATGTCTGTATGGCCCCCCACATGAGCGCAGAATCACAACATGCAACGGGCAAGCACAAGAGAAATGTTATCAAGTGGGAAAGACACTTAACCGGATTCGGTAACTTATTCCGCCAAGGCCATTTAATGAGGTGGAGACCGATCGCTTGCTCCAAAGGTGGATAACTTATCAACCATGCAATCAATGTCTAGTTGAGTCGGACTTTTGTTAGTGTTGATATGGATCCCTGTTCCTCTCCTACGGTATTTACAAAACTTGAACCTCTTTCCCGGGAACAAGCCATTTGACCTTCTCTGCAACCCCCTCTTTCTCAAACTCGGACCGCAAAGCCTCCCCGTGCTGGGTGAGTGAAATGGTCCCAAGCATCAAAATGCATCGGAATGATCCAGTCGGATCTGATGTCTCGAAATAGCTGGCTGGCCTGTTTCCCACCCATGGTAATCTGGCGCTTGGGGGCGGGCGGGGCCTCTATCTGGACACGAGCTTCTCCAATATTCATAAGAGCGGCGGCGATATGAAAACGTTCGGCCATTTGGGCCAGCTCAGGTACGTAGACCGTATCTCCAGAAAAGTAGATTGCGTTTGGGCGGCCGTCTGCGGAAATTCCGAAAGACTCTGCACGGATAACAAACCCAACACATTCATCTCCCGGGACGTGGTCGCACGGGGTGGCTGTGATATCGAATATCTTGCCCCCTATTTTGGCACTGACGGTTTGCCAAGGGGTCATTCCCACGACACCAGGTCGAGGGGCAAGGTTCCTGGACCCGTCTTCAGTCGTGAAGACGCGGCGGCCATCGAGAAGTTGGCGGCCAAGCTCATCAAGGTTATCCCAGTGGTCCTCGTGGCTGAGAAGAACAGCGTCAATGGGAGGCAGATCCCGAAGGTTGAGTGCGGGATTCTCGTGGACTTTGAGTGTGACGTTCGGTGACTGGACGAATGATTCGGCAGGAGAGAAAAAGGGGTCAGTGAGGAATTTAATGCCATCGATGTCGATGATGGCGGTGGCGGTACCGATGAAGGTGACGCCCACCTTCCCTCCAAATCCCGAACTGGTAGACATGGCGAGGGGGCTGGAATGAAAGATATGATGTTCACCAAATGTGCAACGAGACATGGTCTACTTGTTCATGCCTTCCCGTGGTCACCGTATCTCTTAAATAGAGCTGTAGACCGGCTACTTGAGAAACGATCGATACCTACAATCCGTAACAGATTATAAAGCAAACTAGATTATAAAGCAGTCTGAATTTCAAAGCATCTTACCTATGGACACAGTCCTTGGTAATGACGCTGGGCATAGATATGACAAATGGCTTCCTGCGTTAAGATAACCCCACAGCCTCCTTTCAGAGGAACAGCTCCACACTTAGCTTCTCAGCAGTCATATAAAAAATCTCGTATTGCTACGTTATGCTTTCAGCTTTTGTTGTACTTTTGTTCTGTGAGAAGCGTATCACTCACAGCAAGAGATGAGATTCCATATTTTCAACACACTCAGACTCAGACATGCAAAACATCGAACCAGAGCTACACCGAGGTCCTACGTCAGCCATGGTCGCCCGAAGTGTCTCTTCACACGAAGACAATGACGACCCCAATTCTGTCCACCATCCTCCACCAGACGGGGGGCTGCCTGCATATTTATCAGGTATTTGAGCTTCGTTATCTTTTTTCTAGTTGTATCTGACGCTAGGGAACTGAGTAGTTCTCTCTGGTTTTCTTGTGATCATGAACACTTGGTACGGTTTGTTGCTGCCCCCATCAATATTTGATGGATGTCTCCTTGCGGTTCTGATAGCTGAAACATCAAAAAGGGACTCATTATATCGTTTGGTGTCTTCCAAACGTATTACGTCTCATCCTTGGGTCAGTCCCGCTCGGATGTTGCATGGATTGGATCAATCACTGTGTTCCTCCTCTTCTTTGGTGGCATCTTGAGTGGCCGCCTTACGGATGCTGGCCATTTTCGGGTCGCCGTAACTTTGGGCGCAATTCTCCTTGTTCTAGGAACATTCATGACCTCTCTTTGCACGGAATACTGGCAACTGATTTTGGCCCAAGGCGTCTGCGTTGGATTAGGCAACGGCCTTCTCTCTACTCCCCACCTGACGGTCATCTCAACGTATTTCAACAAGAGACTTCCCCTTGCCTTGGGTACTGTGGCTTGTGGAAGCGTGACAGGCGGGCTGATCTATCCGAGTATGGCCAGAGTTCTACTCCCGTCCATCGGCTTTGGATGGACGATGACAAGCATTGGTTTTATTCAACTCGCTACCCTTGCGATCGCACTCGGAGTGGTCAGGCCTAGAGCTAGGCCTGTAGCGGGGACTCGATTGTTGGTCGACTGGGGTGCATTCAAAGAGCTTGAGTTCACGCTTTATTTCATTGGAGTCTTTCTCGTAAGTTGGAGTCCTACGACTATGAGTGTCAAAACAACAAGAGTAACCATTTTCCAAGGCATATTTGGGGGTCTTCTTCCCATTTTTCTTTTTGACATCCTATGCACGTGAGAAGCAGGGCATGTCATATGTCGACGCTTTAAATCTCCTCCTCGTTCTCAACGGGATTGGCTTTATTGCCCGTTTGTTTCCCAGCCTTCTCTTGGCCTATTTTGGAACACTCAATACCTTCATCGGCTTGGTGTTCGCTTCCTCGCTGTGTATATACACGTGGATTGCCGTACAATCACTTGATGGTCTATATGTCTGGACAGCCTTCTACAGTATGTCTGTTGGGGGTGTTCAGTCGTTATTTTCAGCTGCAGTCACATCTTTGAGTCCAGACCGATCAAAGTTGGGATCTCAAATGGGCATTATCTCTTCTGCGGTTGGAGTTAGAGCTTTGATAGGACCTCCCATCTCTGGTCAGCTCATTTCAATAAGTGGGGGATCATATGTACCAGCACAGGTCTTTGCGGGTAGCGCATTCGCAGCTGGGTGCGGTTTGATGTTCCAAGCCCGGGAAGTTAGAAGGAAAAAGCGGTCTGGTCAGCTACTTTCAAAACTGTAGAATTGGCAGAATCTGCCAGAGGAGACCAATGCCACAACACGATTTTGCATGCGTCAAAAGCTGGTATCGCATCTTGCAAGACTGAGATCTCTCAATGCTGATATGCCCTTAGGACCCACTATGCCATCCGCCGCGTCGCCGTCGGATGCAACAATAGTCAGCTTTGCTGATGCGTAGATGACACCTATCAGCTGAAGTTGCTCACTTGGGTGTTTCTTGTGATCTTGAACGATGTATATCACATCTACCCGTAGATAAATGTAGCATTCTTCTAGAGTGCTCGTAAGTTTGAGCATATCTCCCGTCAGAGATAAGTCGACAGCGAGATTTCCCGTCGAGAGTGCGGCAGGTTTTCTCAGTTCCTCCAGAGCACGACGGGTGATCTGTAATGTCATACAGTACGCCTGCCGAGGCAGAATTTCGCATGCAGGAGTCGACAATAGTAGCCAGTTTTCTTAGGATAGGAGAGGTCCCGCAATACTGACCATCACGACTCCACAAACCCACGATCGTGCCCCTCCCAGGTTAACAAGCCCTGTCCAAGCGGCAACCCACAACCACCAGCGATCCCAGACCACTGAACGATCGCATCTGGAAGGGTGGCCGAGTTGGTTATGGCGCCAGGTTAAGGTCAGCTTAACATCTGTTTCCTGGTGGGGCAACCCGCGCGAGTTCGAGTCTCGTCCCTTTCAAATCACCTTTTTTGCCGGGTTTAATGGTCGTCAATTTTGCGCTAGGTATGGTACTCACTACCGAGACATGGTTTTATATTTATGCTGAGTATCCTAATTTATGTAGACTTCAGTCGTTCCCGATGTCAGACCTAATTTGCTTCCTCCTCGTTCTCGACTTGCCTCAACCCCGCCTACCTGAACCTTGTACTCTGTAGCCTCCTTGGTAGGGCTGGCGCCGGCAGTAATCCACATGATTGCTGCTTCAGCTTCAGGACCGTCTTCGAGTTGCGCTACTTTCAAGGATATTGTTTGACTTTTCACATGATAGGTAAACTGATCAACTATGCCTGCATCAAGCTCAATCTCAACTCCAAGAGGTCCAATGAAGATTTTGCGACGCAGAGGGTCTCGGACTTGCACGGTTATAAGATCGTCATCAACTTTCAAGATCCCACCGTAAGCAATCATTCCATAGTCCAGGTCATCGACGAGATACGTGCCCGATCCAAGAACCATGCCGACGAAATTGGGACCGTAGTCCCCACTGAACCCGTCCCAAGAAAGATGTTCCGGCCATGCATGCATCGCACACGACGCGAAGCCATCTTCGCGGATGTTGGACAGCGCGCCGGATGTACCGCCGTATCCCACACGAAGTAGATAGGAGTTGGTCGGGTCATCACGAAATGCTGAAAGCATCACGAGAGCATTGAGCCCGGACCCGTAGTGATGAATCTGACGCTCGACGACTTGGCTTTTGCCCGCAACACTGTAGGGTCATTGTCAGCAAGATATTGGTTCATCGGATAACTGCGAAGACTCACACAAAGTCCCAGTATCTGCGGGCGTTCCCGTTGTATCCCCAGTGTGGGACCGTAGTCATGTAGCCCATCACGCTGTTCTTGACGCGCGTGGCCAAGTCCGTTTCACCGAAATATCTGGAAATAGCAGTCAATTTGGGGTCACGCACAGATAGGTCTGGTGGTACAGCTCACCTCGCCCAAAAGTATACCCCTTCTTGGCCGGTGGAGTCCCAAGCCTGTTCGCTCCCATACGGATATGCCTCCGTCAACCAAACATCGAGTCTAGCCCTCATCACATCGGTCAAGTTGTGCGCTTCCACGGACCTATTCTCCCTTTGCAAGTCTACCAAGATCTTTCCAAAGACGGTCTCGCCCATGAGTCCCTTGTCATTGAAGCCGATGTCGGGTTCCATTCCTCTCATCACGGTCCTGTAGGCTTGGTTCAGATACCACTCCCAATTATGCGTCTTCAGCAAACCCGGGTAGGCTCTTCCTGCCCGATACAAGGCCCAGTACGTCGCAGCCGGCCATATGTAGTTGTACGCACGGTTGATCTCGTACACGTAGTCTTTCTTCTGGCCGGATGTGATGGTGTAATTGTAGTCCAGCTCAGGGTCATAGTAAAACAGCTCCCTCTTAACTGCGTAATTCTCGTCTTGTATGGTTTTGAACAGAACCTTATCAACGAACTCCTCCAGCTTGGTGATCTCGGCGGCATTGGGCTGAAAGGTCTGCTTGACGGCGGCCGCGACGTATGCACCGGCCCCACCCTCGTCACTAAGGCCTGCTGGTGCTGTTCGTTTATCTTGCTCGATGATGGCGCCCTTCTCCCCGTCATAGCCCATGATTGATGGGGATCGACTGAATGGGTCCGCGTCATCGACGAACCAGTGCTTAGTGGTAAGGAAGGCTCCGAGATCAGAGACGGCCTCGGCTGCAGACTTGGTGATGTAATAATGGACGGTCTGGGTAGTGTTGTTGTCATAGTCGACGTTGAGGCGCACGCGGCCCCAGGTTGATGAAGATGGCTGAACGGTGTATGTTTTATTGCCTCGGTCGATGACTTGCAGAGCGTCTGGGGGAGATGTGGAGAGAGAATCTATCCCAAGCCCGGTTTGTAAGTGTAAAGTCGCTGGGCTGTCCCGTGGAATGATGTACCCAGGCAAGCTGATGATGTTAGGAATTCCCGTACTCGCGATCGCGGCGTCAATCTTTTGCACGCCTTCGTTGACCGCTGTAAATCGGAGGCCATATCTCCGCGATTCTCCTGGCTTGAGTACGGCGTTTGTTGGTGTATTCCAAGGCTCCACATCCATCCACTCGTTCTCAGCCCAAGCCTTGCTGTGAACAGTCCACTCGAAGAATCCCTCCCACATGTTTGATCCGATCCTGGTCTCTCCCTTGTTATCTTCCCACAGCCAGCGATATGCTTCCAACGGTGTCTTGTACAGCGGCGTGATGACGAGAGCGGGGCCAACTCCATTCAGGGGTAAAACTCGAAGATGGCCGGCGTCCTGTCCTATGTACGGCTCCATGAAGGAACACTTTTCATTAACGTCCGACACGTTTCTTTTCGTGAAGATGCTGTTGGCCGCCGCCGCAAATCCTAGCGCCCCTATCTCGACATCTTCATCGCCCGAATTGGTGATTGTGAACCGCAGCCCCAGGTCGCCAGAGACATCGATCCATTCCCGGATCACCTTCAACGGGCCAAGTGCCATGGTCGGAGATAAATCGGATGAGACCAAAGCTCCTGTTCCAGCTTCGATGACCGGCTGCCTCGCGGTGGCGGAGCTGGTTTCATTCCATGTGTCTGATGAAGTTCCTCGGTATCGAATGTTGATGTCGCCCCAATGGTAGCATCCGTTCTGGACACGCCGGCCGAGTTGCATTAAGTCATATGGGAGGATATCGAAATCGCTTCCGGTTGGTTTCAGGGATGCAAGCGTGGCGGAGTCTCTAACAATGACCGCTTCCCAGTTTCTGGTCTTGAAAGCATACGTGCCATTGCCGAACCCAATGTCATCCTGGCCGAAGACGAGAGGCAACGCAAAAATACCCAGGGCAGATACAAAATGAGTGCGCATTCTGAAAGCAAAGATTGGGAGCAAAGCGAGATTCAATCGGAATACATCCAAGTGACGGACGATGTCAGCGAGACTGTGGTTGAGAGAGGTTTTATGTCACGCCCCTGCTAGGGAATGGGCAAAAGCGGAAATACCTTTTTGCCATATGACCCTAATTTTGTTTTTGTTCAGACGTTTCGTAGCATCTCGCCGCGAAGATGCGACGGCACGTCGAGGACTCCATCTTCGGAACGATCGACATGTTAGGGCTGGCTGAATATGTCCGTACGTGGATGCGGGGCTTCGTCGCCCCCTCATGACCTCAAGTTGGAATGAGCACCGGGCGGGGGAGAGGATTGGTGGACTGTTAGAATTGCTACACAAGTAACAAATTCGGACGTCTCCTATGTGTTATTTAGGGAAGAGGTTGGCCGGGCTGATCAGTCCGCGGTCCCGACATCACACATCTCACGTAAATTAGGCGCACCAATCATGATCATCAAGACCTTAAGCTTCGTTGACACTTGAGATCTACCGCACTATATATCAACCTGAGAGCTGGAATACCACGTTATATCGCACTGTTTGTAGTGGTCTCTCACTCCTTGCTCTTCACTGCTTGGAAAACTCTTCGTGTGCATGAATCTAGAGATCGATATGAGAATCATCAGGCCAGGGTCCAGGTTATGCCAACAATAAATATTTTCAGAAGACGACAAGAGTGACGGGGAAGTGTGGGAGACAAAAAGAGAAAGAGAAGTGATAAAAGACTGAGGAAAAAAAAAGGTTGAAATGGCAAAAGAATCCACTTGAACCCTTTGACCCCAACAATCAGATAATGGCTCACCAGGGCGCTGCGATTACGCTGACCTGACCACTGGGCCATTTCGTTCTTCTCGTCGGTTGAGAGCAAAGGAGAAGAGACAGGCTCATGTAGACTGCCACCTGGGGTTGGCAGCAAGTGCCCAATCGAGACAAATCATACTCCGAGGCAAGAGCGGCCTTCCACTACACTTGCTGCCTTCTTTCACCTGGAACTGCTACACCTGGAGCTGCCAATCACTCACTCACTCACACTATCGCAGTACTGAAGTCCACCTGAAATTTTGACGATTCAATTTGTCTCTGGTATTTTTGATGTCTGAGTTACTGATGCGACCAAAAGTGAAGCCGCAACCTCTTCCCATCTCAGCCTCCACCTTCCCAAACGGCTCCATCATCCAAGCTCATGTCCTTTCCCAAGCATCACCCTCCCTTCTCCAAGATCTTGAGTAGTATCCATGCCGTGTTGAAAAATCATTCTCAAAGTCACTTTAGGCAGTGGCCTCCTCAGCAGCAGCGCCACCATCCTTCTTCTCAATGCCGGGGGCAGTGAAGTCGCAAGTGCACCAGCAGGCGTTATCGCAGCTCTGGTCGTACTTGTCCTTCCGGAAGCGGCCGTCGTTGGTGCAGACGTAGTTGTAGGGCGACTTCTCGCAGTACCAGTTGCCGAGGGGGCACTGGATGTAGCAGCCGCGCCTGTCAAGCTGGCCGAGCTCGGGGTTGGCGGCGGCCTTGTGCTCAGTGGACATGACGAAGGCGTTGGCGGTGGCAGCGAGGCCGGTGGTGAGGAGGGCTGTTATGATTTTTGGTTAGATGTGAACCTTTTTGTGTTTTTGATGGAGTGGCGCGTGGAATTAGACTTACTGGAGAACTTCATCTTGATGGGTTGTGAGAGTGAAAGGGTTTGTGAAGGTATTGTTGTTGTGTTGTGATGTGAAGTGGTTTTGGTTTTCACAAAGGTTTGGTGGTTGTGAAAGTGTAGGTGAAGGTGAAGGGTTGAGAGTAAAAGGTTTTCAACTGGAGGTCTTTTTAAGAAAGATGGTAGAGAGGTGATTCAGTTGCGAATAAACAGATTCAAGTCGCTTGACCTGAGAGAAAGTATTAGGGCTGGTGGGTGAAGGGGAAAATCTCACCTTCTTGACCGCCCAGCTTGGTTGTTTGCTGGTTTGATGTTGTTCGGGAAGGTGCAGGACCACAGGCCGCACCTTCCAAGACTTCAAACCTCCTGAGAGGGATTCCAATTCACAATACACACATCAGGTGAGAGGTTAGGATTCACAACCATGGCCTCCATTGTGGCATCTTGTGATAGATGAACACAAAGGAAGTGGCAGTCTATGACCTTGCGCTTGCAGTTTGGTCTCTCCCTGTGCAAACATCACATACCAGACGATAACAAAGACTCCAGGTATTAAGCCAAGATGGCCTTCTCACAAACCGAACAACAACAAAGGTGTCACACTCCAATTGAACTGTCAACTTTGAATCATAGCACATTGTGCTTCTCGAGTCCCATTACTAATCTTGACAATCTATCCGATGACCTTCTATGATGATGCAAGTCCATGCCTTTTCCAGCCCCTGCCATATGCTTGCCCCCAAACACCAAATACGAGAGTCGAGCCGCTTGCCTCTACATTGTTTGCGTGCACCGAGTCCATGAGAGTAATAACGGCCTCTCTCAACCATCCATTGTAGACCACATCTTGTCCTACGTCGTGACCTCACAGGTTTTTCTTCAAGTCATGCTCCTGAACAAGGGTTAGCAGCGAAATCCTCAGCAGAACGTCCGACGAAAGCCACTCACCGGCTTGTGACTAGTCTCGTAGTCAATGTGGACATACGCCCTCTCGACGCCAGGAAGCTTCTCAATCTTGATCTGCAGCGCCTCAGCCACGTCGTGCGCAATCTCCAACTTCTCGTGGCGGTCCATGACGATATCGATCTCGACAATGTAGCGCGGGCCACTGTGGTACGCGCGGACAGTGTCAATTTGCTTGACGTCGGGGGAGTGTGTCATCGCTGGCCAGGATTAGCAAACACCGCATATAATTGACAAACAAAAGTCGCTCAATGACCTACCGATGTAAGTGATGAGCTGCAGGAACTCAGGCTCCGCAGAAACACCAATTAGCAGCTGGAACTCCTCATAAGCAGTCCGCAGCCAGAGTCCGGCGATAAGGAACGAGAGGATGATGGCGCCCATCGGGTCGATCCACCACTTGATCTTGCTGCCCGCGGAGAAGGTGAAGATACCGAAGCCGTTGATGAAGAGGTCGTTGCGGTGGTCGCGCCAGAGGATCTCGACCTGGGAGTAGATGTGCTTGATGGACCAGCCTGTTCTCCGTCAGCATTCATCCTCCTACTTACATAGAACAGAAAAAAAGGCCAGACTCACAGTAAAGGAAGAGACAAAACTTGGTACCAAACGCAATCGCCACAGCAATCACACTGGTTAAATTAAACTCATTCGTCTCCGTGTCCGAGCCCGCCGCCAGATCCCTCGCAGACATCACAATCAGCACCAAACTCACGCTGAACATGATGAACGAAAACACAATATTCCCCGCCGTCGAGATACGCGCCCGACCAGACGGGTACTTCTGCGTGTCAACCTTCTTCACCGCGCGGTGCGAGAGCATGAGCATAATCCCAGACAGCGGATCGAACACAGAGTCGGCCATCGTCGTGAACAGCGACAGCGAGCCGGACGAGATGGCCGCGTACAGCTGCAGGGCCGACAGCACGACATTCGCGGCCAGACTGCCCTTGACGGCGATCTGGTACTTGACGTTGTTGTCGCCCTGCGTCTCTTTGGCCTCGCGCTCGTGCTCGTCGACGGACTTGAGCAGGGCGCGGATCTTTGTGTTCTGCGTGCGGTAGAAGTCCTGCAGCTTGGCCTCCTTGGCGCCGCCGCGGGTGAAGTTGTGGTGGATGCGCCTGCGGGCCGCGTTGGAGGCTGGGCGGGTGCTGAGCAGGCCGATGTCGGTTTCGGACTTGATGTGCGTGCCCAGGTTGTAAGGGTCGTTGAGCTCGGAGGAGGAGAAGGAGCGGGATTCGGGGTCGGCGCTTGCGGCGTTGAGGGAGGCGAGGTCTATGCCCGTGCTCGGGACTGTTTTTGTGATTGTGGACATTGTTGAGGTGTCTTCAAGGGAAGGAATTAGGGAGAGTAAGTGAGGATTAAGTGAGTTTGGTGATGTTGAAGTCGGTGGTGAGGTTGAGGATATCAAAGGAATTAAGAGGATGAGTTAAGGTGGGAAAGTCGACCCGGGGGGAAGAGGGAAGATGGGCAAGTCCAGTCGGGGACGGGGGGATGCAGTGGCAGGATTTGACGAGGTGCTGGGTGCCTGGGGGATATTTAAGCGAGAATGGCAGCTCGAGACCCCGGCCACTCGCGTAAAAATCCCTCCCTCTGATCACTCTCTCAACTTCGCGTTTGAATGCACCAGCTCCCAAATGCGGTTTGGACCAGGCAGAATACCGCCCGCGTTTGCCCTCTTTAGGACACCGACTTGCACATCTGGAGGGGCGATGAGATTAAGCTGAGATTTGGTCGGCTGCAAAGTGCCGTGGGGTTCCCGTCAAAGAGGGCACGTGGGCGCGAGTTGGAAGTGGAGAGGTCGCCTGGAAGACTGGTGTCGCCACGACGAGATTTTGCAAAAGGGCCTTGTGTCACTTGCGTGGGTGGTTTTTCAGTCGTTCAGGCGTTGTGTAATTTGAGTTTGCCGCCGTCAGCACCGTTGGCGTGAGGCAGCCGGTGAGCCAAGATCGCCATCATGACGTACCCTGTCCTCATCACCTAGGCGCAGCGTCTACCAACGGCGAACACGTCGTTTGTAAGCTCCCCCGCATTGAACCGGGGTGAGCTTCCTTCCATGTCCACGGCTTGCAGTAGCCGCATGCAACAGACGCGTCGCCAAGGAAGTTAGAGAAAGTCTCGATTTATTGATCACAGCACATGAGCTAAACTTGCTCTCGTGTCAGTGTTGCCGTACCGGTTTCTATGCTTGGATCTACAGCAAGTATCCCGCCTGCCGTCCAGTCCAGACCAAATCCATTCCCCGCAGACGCCAGCCATGTAAAAGGAGAGAGAAGACCGTATCTTCATGCATCATGTACAGTCGCGTGCCTAGAACGCATCCCACGTTCCCGTCTGCAGTTTGCAGAAACTCGTCCGCGGGTTGCAGAAACTCGTCCATGGCCCCGAAGTAATGAGAGCTGAATCTATTGAAGCTCCGCTTGCCCGTTGCCATTGGGGCTAGGTGTCGCCCGTTCGATAATCATCTGCTTGAACGGCCGGGCCATGGCCTTGATCACGGGCCTTACGTCTGGAGCTTCCGGTAACGAGGACAGCGTCAGAGATCGCACTTTTTCGATGGCCTCGTCTGTGTCGCTAGATATGGACGTCCGCTTGCCGTGTGTCACTGCTCCTTGAACATCTTTGCCATGTCTGATGGATCCGCTCGGTGTGGCAGGTGTGATGAGAGTTTCGTCCAGCAGCGAGTGCCATCTGACGAGATACACACCGGGCCCCGACATGCTCGGAGAGTTGCCGTCCAGTATTGTTTGCATTCGTGAGCGAGAGATGTTGTTGAGTTCTTTGAGGTAGTCGGCGTGAGCGTCGATGATCGGCAGGAGGGCTGCCTTCTTCTCTTCGGGCACCTGGTTGAAGATGCCGCCCAACCTCTCCTCGATGCTGTCGCCGTTCTTCTGCTTGTGGAAGGCCACGAGAGAATCCTTGGCCCATTTTCTGAACTGGTCCATCACCTCGGGGCAATTCTTGCTGACAGCGTGCAACCACTTGTAAAGAAGCTGCCTATTTTTCTTGAGAAGCTGAACATAGTCTTCCACCGTCGGTAAGGGTGGGTCAGCCTCATCTTTCGACTTGGCCTTCTTCGGCTTGCTCGTGGCAATGAGCTGATCAAGGAACGACTGGTAGTCCTTGACGTGATCCGACAAATCCACCTTGTTGTGCACAGCGCGGATGATAGGGTCCATGCCGGCGACGGCGTCGCGGACTGCCTGCGTCAACAGATCAGGGCTCTGCTTGCACAACACGTTGATGATTTCTTCCCGGTCGCGGATAGCGAGCTGTGCCGCATAGTACTCGAGGCACTGCTTGTGTTCGGCGTCGCTGACGTCCTCAAGTAGCTTGGGGTCGGTGGTCTCGAGAATGACGGCAACAACAGACTTGGATTCCCGCAAACTCCTGGCCCTGACGGTGTCGCGCTCGCTCTTGGGCGATTGGCAGTGTGCCTTGATGGCAGCGAGGGCGCCCTTGCTCGGGCCATCCTTGGCCTTGGATATTGTGTCAATCGTCTTTCTAAACTCGGCGCAGTCCCATCCGAGAATCACAGAGATCATCCTTTTGTCTGTCAGCATCACAGGCTTCATCGGTCAGAAATCTTGCCCTACCTTTGCATAAGATTCTGCCCGTCAGCAGCGTTGGAGGTAATACCGATCCAGTTCGAGACGCCGCCCACACTCAGCTTCGCCAGGAAGATCTTCATCATGCCCGCAATCATGGTCGCCGCATTGCCGATTCGCAGTGTTTGGCGAACCATGCCGTAGGGCACCATCTTGTGTAGATTATCCATCAGCTTGACGAGGTACTGCCCCTCGGGCGAAACGATCAAGACCTGGTGACAAAGCGTCGCAAGGCTACTGCGTGTCAGCTCCAAACCCAACACTGCTGAGAATTGAGGACGTACTGCAAAAGAATGTAGTCGCATGCTGCCCTCGTCATGGAAGAATGTGTATCAAATTCTTCGGTCTCGGCAAGGTAGTCCAGCAGCTCGTCACAAAGGTTCTCGTAGACGAGGCCATGCATCGCATCGTCCCACGCGCGCATCAGATCCCCCGCATTCTGTAAATCATACTCCTTCGGTCTTGTCGCGGGGTCGCTGACGGGTCCGCCGCCGATCTGGCCCCGCGCGACGGTCTCGATGACGGTGGACGAGGCGGTGGCCAGGGTCTTTCTAGTGCCCAGGGCGCCCTTCTCGTAGCTCTCGGAGAGGTCGGCTTCGGCGAATTTCTTGATCAGGCCCTGGACGCGGACGCGCCAGAACTCGGGCACGATGGAGGAGACGCCCGGCAGGGGCAGGATGAACGTGGTGAACAGGGATTGCAGGAGTGGCGCCGAGGATTTCGAGGCGTAGACGACGGCCTCGTCGGGTTCGCTGGCCTTGGGGGTGACTGCGGCGAAGGGGTAGCCATAGTTGTCAATCGTCTCTGGCTGCTTGAACTGCTCGACTTCGCGGTAGGTCTCGAAGTGGGTGAGGATGTTGAAGAGAGCGCTCGTCTGCTCGGCAGTAAGGGCTGAAGAGGAGGCCATGGCTGCTTTCTCACGATGGCGCAGCGGCCATCTGTGTCCTCAATCTGAGCTTGGAAGAGTCTGGTACTCCTGGATGGTCGCTTTGCTTCGTAGATATAGATGTTGGTGTCGCCCCTAAGAATGCGAAAACGTACTGCTGCAGGAATTCTATGTTGTGGTAGCGAGGTATTTCGGTTTGGGAAAGTCCCCGCGATGCGATCGTGTTCGCTGCGCAGCTGCTTCAGTGCTTCGGTGCTCCGGCGAAACTGTGGGCCAGGCGCTGTGACGTCACCTGACTAGTTGCGGTTAAATCCTTTTTTCCTTTTTCTTTTGGAGTTCTCACAGGAGGAGCTGGTCCGGGGGGCATTCACACTTCTTATTTGTTTCTCACAATTAAGCACCAGGAGCACCTCTGCTAAGGTATTCATGGATCCAATGTTTCTAACCTTGGAACATGGCATCTATGCGACCCCGGCCCGTCCCTGTTCCCCTCCATTAGCTTGGGCGACCCTTAGCTTACCTTAGCCCACAGCAGCTCGGCAATCTGGACCTGCATGGGCCCAGATCTTGTGCTTCTGCAGCACAAACCAAGCAAAAGCTTCTGACACAGACACAACACAGCTCACAGCATGTGCAGCGCCAATCTCCCGAGGCATTTCTCGCGCCTGGGTTTTCAGCTTGAGCAGCTGCATGCATCACATCACGTATGTGTCATTCAATGCCTTGTGCTTTGAAGGTTTCATGGCAGACCAGCACCCATTGGGTGTCTCATCGCATTGTTGTCTTTCATGGTACTGAACAAGTCGCTTAGAGGAGTATTTACACGATTTTGGGGATGGAGTGGCATTCTAGCATGTTGTGGAATAGTGCTCTGGCATTCCATCAGCAAACTTGCAACCTCATTGTGCTACTAACCTGAAGAGGTCCGGACTTCCTGTCAGATAAAACCATCCTCCAAAAATCCTCCGAATGAGACGACCGGGGCTGACTCAAGCGTGGAACTGTAACTCAAACCACGCGTAAGAGCTTCCGAAATGTCAGCCCGTCGCGTTCCAGCGTCCCTCCGGCTTCTTCAGCTCGTGTTCGGTGACCCGCGGCCGGCTCGCACTCCCGGGTCACAACGCCGCTATCCGTATGCGAGCTCTAGGACCCCCCGCATTCAGGCGGTTTCGCGTTTCAATGCCAGGAAAGTCAATGTGCTCCCCCCATTGGAGGACGCGTCTGTGTCCGAGCACGAGCTCATTGCTTCATTGGGGAACACTCTCTCAACCGTACTTATCAAAACGTCATGGCAATAATAGCAGGCGTCGAGAGTGTTCGTCTGGGGTGGCATCGACGTGGTGGATCCGGCAGCCTGGGTCATTCATCATCGCTGCCAGGGCGATCATCCACTGTCAACGGTTTCGTCAGCGAAGGTCGACGAGCTTACCAACAAGAGCAACCGCTTATCTGCCAAGCCTGTGGGTTGAAACTTTATGCCCATAATCTCAAACTCAATGCCTTTTGAATGGAGGAAATCCGTGCCGCGCATCTGCTCCGGGACTGCTTCATGGTCCGCATAAGAATGCGAGAATCAGCCTCATAGAAACGCGTATGCCCGTCATTTCAGTTAACAAACATCAGTCGATGTCACAAGCTGTCAAGAACTCTCTCTACATCCGAGGCCACGCCTGGCAGGTGTCTGCCATTTGGACGTCGGACAATCAGATGCACCGAATGTTTTCCGCATTATAGACTGCTGGCTCCATCACTCACAAAAGAAGACGTGGTTGCAATGCTGAAGCAAACGAACGGATGGAATACCGGTAGCAGCTTAGGACTCCGGGCGCAGAGGCTGGTCAACAGCGACAGCTTGGCACCAGCTTTGCTGCGAGGGAAATTTCGTCCATTTTTCCAGCTTGGCTAATCTTGAAAGGTCAACCAATTGCCCTCAGCTCATCGTCGCAGTCATTATTCGGGCCTCATATCAATAAGGCAGAAAGCCTTGTGCATACCAAACTACACAGAATAGAGAATAAAACAAAAGCCTTGTGCATACCGCAGCGAGTCTTTGCCTCAAGCTTCAATTCCCAAAGCTTGACCGATGGAAAGGGACCCATTCGAATCACGCCCACCCACATCGGAATTCCAATCAGCACTTGATCATTTCCTCCCCGGATCAGACGGACCCCTTCATTGTCAAATCCCCCGTGGGGTATCCATCCGCCCGGGTTCGTTCGGTCGGTGATCGGCCGAAAGCTTAAACCGCAACTTTTCGGGCCTCATTTCGCCGACGAATACCCACCGCCGTCCACGAATGAAAGCAATTACCCCAAACATTCACTCACCGTCAGTCGGAGAACTATCGTACATACAGTTAGCGGTCCCGCCTCAGAGATGAACCCTCGTGGGAAAACGGCCGTGGTCAGGGTGCTACGCGGGGAACCTGCCAGGGGCAGAAGCCATCTCCGCAGAGACCGCTGCGGGGGAGACGATGCCACCTCCAGATGCGCCTAATTGCCGAGATCCGTTGTCATGACATGGTCGGACGGGGCGACCGCAATAAAAAGAGAGCAGGTTCTCGTGTTCTTGGCTGGAAGATGTTTCTGTGCACCCAGTCTGTCACTATTGCCCAGCACAATCGTCGGAGTCCCGATTAATCATCGAAAATGAGGTTCTCTTTGACTTCACTGCTGCTCTTAGCGAGCTCTGCGTTGAGTGTCTCGGCGCAATGCGACGATGAAGTCAAGCACACCGTCTGGCTTGCGGGCGACAGCACCATGGCACCCGATGGCGGCCACAATGGCACAGAGGGATGGGTTAGTGGAGCTTTACACCCTGGACTGTGTGTACGACACTAATATAATCAATTAGGGCCAATATCTGCATTATTCCCTAGACTCTTCCAAGATCCGAGTCAACAACTCTGCGTATGCCGGCCGAAGCGCGCGAACATTCACGAGAGAGGGACGTTTCCAGAGAATTATCGACGAGATGAAGGCAGGCGACTGGGTCGTCATTGAGTTTGGACACAATGATGGGCGTACGTGTTGATACCCCAGAACTTTTGAGCGTGTCTGACGAAAATTCCACCAGCGGGCGACCCAGCCACGGATGTGAAGAGCCGCGTCGACTGCCCCGGCATCGGCAACGAAACATGCACCGCCATCTTCAAGTAAGCCAACTTCCCTTTGTCAACCCCACGTTTGATCTAACATCCCATTCAGCAACGCAACCGAGATCGTCCAGACGTACACAACCTACCTGCGCAACGCCTCCTCCATCTTCCTCTCCCTCGGCGCAAAGGTCGTCATCTCCACCTCGACGCCCACGAACCCCTACCAGACCGGCAACTTCACATGGACGCCCAGGATCTACTCGTGGTACTCGTGGTACGTCGTTGAATCGCTGGGCGGCCCCGCGGCCGGCATCTACTACGTCCCGCACGCGGACTACTGCGTCCAAGCCCTGAAGCTCCAGGGCCCCGAGGCTGCGGTTGCCGGGTACCCGATGGACAACACGCACATGGCCCCGAAGCTGGCGGACACGTTCTCGCAGGCCTTCGTCTTGGGCTTGAAGTGCGGGACGTCGCCGCTGCAGCAGTATATTGTCAACGCCACGTCAAGAATTGAAGGCCCTGCGTTGGGGACGTGTCTGCCTGTAAATGCGACGTTGCCTATCTAGGCTGTGTGAGCTTGGGGATTAGACGCAGGCTGAGATACGTAGAGACATACAAGGCACGCTTGTCTGTAAAAGATCAGTTAGATGGGATCATCACCATGTGCAAAGGATTAATGAAATCACTAGAAACTCAATGGGACTCTCAATTCAGGGCGTGCTATATGATTTCGAGATGGAAGGAGTGTTCCGGGCCACACGTCAAGACCCCGAGAAGGCGTGAAACTCACATTCTTTCAACACAGTCATTTAGTCATCGGAAGGGCGATGGTCCTCCAGAGAGCCTATCGAATAGGATTCATCGACGCCCAAAAAGTCAGTAGAGGGAGCGAAGGAGTAGGCGCGCTGGCAAGAAGAGCAGCAGACCAGGGTAGTACGGCGGTCGCGCTCAATAACCATGCATGAGATGCCGTTTTTGTAGGAAGGGCAGTACACGTAGTCGGACTGCGACTGAGAGATGGTGTTGCCGCATTGGCGGCACTGGGTAACGTAGAGAACGTAGTTGCACATGGTGATGTTTGAAGGGTGGCTGATCTATTTGCTGATTCGATGTCCGGGCGAGGTTGAAGCGTAGATGGATGTAAGGTAGGTAGCTGATAATGTTTATTTGGTCTGATGAGGCTGAGAGATGCAATCAAGTCGGAAGATGATCTCTCTTAAGTATGCTCGCCTGCGCATCTGGACACGCCTTGATGTCTAAAACCAGCGATTCTGGTTCAAGACAAGTATCAGGTTACACCAAGATTGTGAAGTCAACTAAGGCATTGTATTGTCCTCCCTTTTGAAAGAGTGAGTAAGTCAGGTAATGGCAAGTTAGCTGATTCAAGGAAGTGGGAGCAAAGAAGTTCTTTGTCGCAGGCAAAAGTCTCGTTCACTGTGCAATGCATTTGTGAAGGACTATTGGCCACCTCACTCACTATGAGCAAATCTACAGGTGGATGTGCTCCGCTACTTTTTTTTTTTTTTGATCCCCTCATGTTTGTCTCTCTTAGCAATATCCCACTTCAAGACCTGACCGACTTTGAAGTATGCCTCTGGCCATATCGTCGATAAAAATGGGGCCGAATCGTCGAGCCGGAATGTTCGAGGCTCATGATCGGCTCCCATGAGTACCTTATGAGAAGCAACCTGGAAGCCACCGATGGTGTTATTGTGAGAAGTTGCCCTCTGAACCAGCCGGAAACTGCGTAGGTAGAGTCCGCGCTGGGGGCACTACAGCTCTGTCGACCCCACCGAGGTCGCCAAAATACCAGCTGACTAAGGCGTCACACAGGACTCATCAGGGGATCAAGTCACCTCGGCGCGAACAGCCAGACCTCATCCCTTTCAAATCAAAACACCGACATGTCGGACACAGTATCGTCGGGGGACAGGAGACGAAGATTCGCCAAGGTAAGTCCACTTTCAACAACACTCTTTTCATACTAACATATCGAGCAGGCATGCGATCTCTGCCGCGCCAAGAAAGCGAAATGTGATGGCACCAGGCCTGTCTGCAGCAGATGTCAGGGTCTGCAGGCATCCTGCAACTACGCCGACGTTAGCAAGCCAACACGACGACAACGACTCCGTCAGCGAGCTGGTCAAACCGCTGCTCCAGATCTCTCCCCCATAACGCCGCATCATGGCACTATTATAGGACGGAATGAAGTCCTAAACCCTGGTCAGCGCCAGAGGCCAAGTTCGTCTGCCCAATTAAGCTCAAGTTCGCGATCAGAACGCGTGGGCAGTGTGTCTCCGACTGAAGCCACACCCTCCGAGGACCCATCAAAATCAGGTACGTCTTGCATAGAGATCTGTGACTTGACCCAGGCCTTAGATCGCGATGGCTAAAATGAAACAGGCCGGGACTCGTTGATGGGGGCAGGGCGAGACTTGCGGTATTTCGGTACGGTCGTCTTGTATCTTACTCCGGAGCTTTCAGCCATATACTAACACGGCATAGGATCCTCATCAGCAATTTCATTGCTCCGAGCTCAACCCGTACCAGTGGAACTCCCAACCACTCGCGAAAAGGCCGCGCGACCCGATTCTGAGGCGGGGCCCTGGTCTCTCTGGACTCACCCAAAACTACAGGGCGTCTTTGAGAGAAAGCTACACTGTCCACTCCCACCATGGACTGAGGCTTTGTCATTGGTGAATGCATTTTTTGAGCACGAACACATGGCACTGCCTCTTTTCCACCCTCCCGCCTTCATCGCTCTTCTGGGACAACAGTACTCTGTAGAGACGGAAAGCAGTCCAGCTTGGTGGACTGCATTCAACGCCGTTCTCGCAATATCCCATCGCAAACGTGTTGAAGAAGGTACTTCGACGGATAAGGAGCTCATGTGGAGTTATGCGGCAAACGCTCTGGATACTGTTCTCGACATTCTCCTCAGAGCCACACAACTCATGTCCGTCCAGGCTCTGTTGACTCTCGCCTGGTTCTTCCTTGGAACCCCCAATCCTCAGCCCAGCTTCATGCTGGTGGCAAATGCCATTCGTCTCGCCCACTCTATCGGACTTCACAGAAAGAACTGCGGCACCTCCCTGAGTCCGCTGGAAAGGGCGACAAGAATCAACGTATTCTGGCTGGCGTTTTCCCTGGATAGGGAGCTGAGCCTACGCACAGGCAGACCTCCTGCACAAGACTTCGGCGACTTTGACGTGGACCTGCCTGATCTTCAACTGCAGCCTGACTTTACCAACAGCAGCTCCATGCCTGCATCATCGAAGGTCTTCTCCGCCGGGACCCGGCTCGCGGTCATCCAGGCGAAGTTATACTCAGAGATCTATTTGAGTGAAGGCCTCGAGCCAGTCGACATCAAGAGGAAAACCACAGATCTGCATCGGGATTTGGAGGAATGGCGTTTATCATTTGCTCTCTGCCCAAATTTGCAAAGATACCCGGAGCTAACGAAGCAAGCTTCAGTTCTACGTCTCAATTACACATACCACCACACAGTCATCCTGGTTCATCGAGCTCAAAGCGATCTAGAATGGAAGAGGTCCAGCAATTCCGAAAGACCTCGGACGCCCTCTTCTAAGTCCATCGAGCGCTCACTTGAAGCCGCAAGGTCAATATTGAACATCGCCTCCTTCGTCTCAGGAACTTGGAGAAGTTTCTTATGGTAAGTCAATGACGGATGCTTCATTCAAACTTTACATTCAAACTTTAGGCGCTCCACAGCACTGACAATTGTGGACTCCAGGGACGTTATCCCAATAAATGTGACAGCCATCATCATTCTGTCTCTCCGCCTACGGCGTCGACCAGGCGTCTCCACTGCAACGGACGACCTGGACCTCATTTGTGACGGCGTCAGACGTCTCATGTCCCTTGAACACGAGGAAACGGAGTCATACCTGAGACCTGTTACGACAGCTTGCCTGGGCGTCTACAATGCTGCTATCAAAGCTGTCAGGTCGCATGTGACTGGGACAGCAGAGAATCTCGATATTGACCCAGAAAGACCCGTAACAGGACTCAACGGCACTCAAGCTGACTCGGAACGCCGGACCTCAAGCCTCAGAAACTCTTTGCAAACAACGCCGAGAGCCACTTCCCCCTTCAGATTTGAGCCGGAACCCGACCTGGTCATAGACGCGCAGACACCCCTCGTCCATACCAACTTCATATCAAGGGATCAAACAATGACGGACAGAGAAATCGTGCCTTGGGAATTTGAATATCTTTTAGGCGACAACAGCTTTGATCCCCTCGGATGAACTTCATTGAGGGCTATAAAAATTAAGACACCCATTCAGGCTTCGATCGACCCCTTCTTCCTGTCGGCACAACCCACCCGAGTTTGGTTGATGAGAATTTGAATGAGGGTGCTAAAACCTTGATGTCATCCTCAAGACCATACTCTTTCCCGGACATGTCCCAGAAGTACTCAGGGTGTGTGAAGAGATCGGGACGGATCTTCTGCCACGATGCGTGCGTCTTCCCAACGAGGATGCTCATGTCATCGGAATGGCGTGGTAGAAAATCAGGGTCGCGGGCACGTAGCTCCCACTGCTGGTCCTCGGAATATAAGCCAAGCTGATAATACCAGATGTTGTACTGGGTCAGGCTGATGTCAATGTCAAAGGTGACGTCGTCTTTCGTGCGCGCCAGCAAGGCTTGGACAGCAGCCGTGGCACCCACCAGTCCAGTCTGGTAGTCGGAGTTGGCTGAAGGATGGTTAGTTCATTGGAGATCATGGGGAGGCAAGAGATATACTTACGAAGCAATGGAACCACGGCCTCGTCAAGTCCGAGGAACTTGCCTTGCAGATACGACAAGCCCACCAAACAATCGCTGATCTGCTGCCACCCAGATCGATGGGCGAGCGGGCCCTTGAAGCCGTAGCAGTTCTCCCGCATGTAGATGAGACAGGGACTGAGCTTGCGCAAGGTGGCACTGTCAAACCCCAGCTTCTTCAACACCCCAGGGCGGTACCCGTCTACAAGAATGTCCGCGTCCTTCACAAGTTCCGCAAACGCGCTTCTTCCCTCGTCCGTCCTGAGATCCAGGTTGGTGTCCCTCTTCCCCGTCTGAAGGTCTACCATTGTCGGTGCGTACTCGGGCAGCTTGTCACAGGACACCCGGAGAACATCAGCCCCAAGAAGGCTCAAGAGCTTGGAGACGGCCGGGCCTGCGATGACGCGAGAAAAGTCGATGATTCTGATGCCGGCGAGAGGCTTGAAGCCAGATTGGTCCTTTACCTCAGGCCAGCCTTTCCGCGGTGCCGGGATCTTGCTGGCGCTCCACAACGACTCTTTTGACAGGATCTTGCCATGCTCACTGCTGAAGAACTCGTCGGGCGTGTAGCAAATTACACCAGCTTGCTTGTACTGCTCATTGGCAGTCTGCTCGATTTCCTTGGAATCCCACTGGGCGACCTTGTCGCTGTAGATCTTGATCGCCTCCTCTGGGCTAACGTCGTCATCACTCACATCCATCATCTTCATCGTGGGCTCGGCGTTCATGGACCCGTGCAGGTGGTACCACCGCCCATCCTTCGTCTGGTACACATTGGTCGCGTACCGTCTGATAGGGTCAGACATCCGGTGCAGATCCATCTTGGAAAGCTCCTTCATCATCTGGGGATGCTGCACGAACGACTTGCCGCCGACTCTGGGGAGCAAGACGGATTCCAGGAACAAAGTCGCGGCGTCGGTGTTCACCTGGACATCCTGGAGCTCGATGCCGTACCTCTCCGCGGCGGCGACGTTGGCTGCTGTGGCCAGGAGGGCTGTAAGAGAGGCGCATGACTCCGTGATCTTCAACGGGGTGAGGACGAATGGTTTGTCGTCGTCTGCGACGAATTTGACTTTCTTGGCGGCGTCTTTGAAGGAAGGTGGGAGATTGAGGCCAGGGTCGGCAAGTAAGACGTCGTTCAGGATGCGAGTTGCCTCGGCGGAGATGGTGTAAGATGACATGGTGGTTATTGCTGACCAAAGTTGGACTTTGATAAGTCCGAGAGTCCGCAGAACGTTTTGCTCTCTGGATGCACGCCATTTTAATGAAGAAGATTCACACCGATACTTGCAGTCATGATACGGAAATCGTTCACTAGTCCGAGTCAGAAGACCCGTACGGTCCACACTGTTTCATGGATGCCAAAACTCCGGTGGTGGGCAACTTCGACTTACATACCTCGGCCGAATGCAACCGTTGTCTGACGGGTTTCGATATCGGGCTCGACGTTGGTACTGTTTGCTTGACGTAAGCACGCTGTTTTTGGGTGATCTTAAAAGCCAATATCCACTTCTTTCCAACAACATTCTCATTAGTCCAGGATCATCAACATCAACTCTTCAGTTTTGTTGGACAGCGCACCGCTTGTACAAGCCGAGGCATCGTTAAACGCCTGGGCCACCCATTATGGGGTCGGAGTTCTGGCACCGGAGTTTTAGGGCGCGGAGTTCTGGCATTGGAGCTTGGGCGCCGGAGTTTTGGGCTAGTTGAGATCGAGCCCACTCCATGACGTACCAAAAGCAACCCCAACGACAACCACGTAGAGCGGTCGCATACTTCGGACTGTTTAGCCGAGAACATTGATTGGAGACGAGTCAGAGAAGTCCGTGTCAGTCCTGATCCTAGTGCTCCGCTGTATTGCTTTAAACTCATCACCGCCTCAATTCGGCATCGATTTGATAGCCGGGAGGAATAAGAGCGCAGTTCGTACATCTGTCATTCCATACGACTCCGGAAAAAGACCCCGCGACTTACAATGGCTTCAAACGACAACTGGAGAACTGGGGCGAAGGGCATCAGGCCTGTTCGGATAGCGAACTGCTCTGGCTACCATGGTAGGGCCTTGTCAGCTATGCGTCCCGCTCAACTGTACTAACAAGTCTTACAGGCGACCCGCCAAGAGAAATGTACAAACAGGCAACTCTCGGAGATGTCGATTTCATCACCGGCGATTACTTGGCGGGTATGTCCAACTCGTTATTCCCAAGGGTCTGTAATATGCTAATGAGATCTCAGAGGTGAACATGGCCAACAATGCCGAGGCTTACGCACAAGCAAAGCATAACGGCTATGAAGAGACTGCCTGGGAAGGCTTGCTGCAAGCTATTGACGTTATTGCGGATAAACGCATCAAAGTTGCGATCAATGGAGGGGCCCTAAATGCCGGAGGCCTTGCCTTGAAAGTGGCCGATTTGGTGTGTAACTCTAACCCCATAAACTCGGTTGAAAACTGACCCCGGTCAAGGTGCGTGAAAGAGGCTACGACCTGAAAGTCGCCCATGTCTCTGGGGATAATGTCCTACCGAAATTGGGAAAACATATGCCTCTGCAAAAAGAGGAAGCGCTGACTCATCTTGACTCTGCTAACCAGCATGTCACCTTGACTTCCGAGTCTTTCATGTTCACCAAGAAAGACAGAGAGCCAAGAGAAATTGTCTCAGCCAATGCCTATCTCGGCGCGCATGCCATCTATGAGGCCCTGCAGAAGGGCGCCGACATAGTCATATGCGGCCGAGCTTCGGATGCGAGCCCCGTCATCGCTTGCGCGTGGTACTGGTGGTCTTGGAACAACACGAGCTACGACGAAATAGCAGGGGCTCTCGTCGCCGGGCACTTGATCGAGTGCTCGGCTTATGTCACTGGTGGGAACTTCTCCGGGTTTGAAAATTTCGACCTCGATCACTTCGTCAACCCGGGCTTTCCAATTGCAGAGATTTCAAAAGACGGAACATGTATCATTACGAAGCATGCTGGTACAGGTGGTATGGTGACTGTTGATACCTGCAGAAGCCAGCTTTTGTACGAGCTTCAGGGCAATGCCTACCTCAACAGCGATGTCAAGGCATACTTGAACGATGTTGTGATGGAGCAGGTCGAGGAGAATAGGTATGCTCCAACCAACTCGACTGTGAATATTCGCACAGAGATACTTAAGCCCTTGCAGGATTCATGTTTCTGGTATTCGTGGTGCTCCGCCACCTGATACCACAAAGCTTGCTGTCTTTTACAAGGGTGGCTATGAGCTCCAGGCTCTGTTCAACGCTACGGGTCATTCTTACGAAAGGAAGGCTGCCCTCTTTGAAAAGCAGATCAGAGCTCTGATCGGGGATACCACTTTGAAAGACTTTGACGTTTTGGAGTTTCAACGGTATGATATCCACGGATCAACCCGACATCTCTTCTAACAGAGTCCTGCCTCAGCATTGGTGTTCCTGCAACGAATCCGATGAACCAGAACAGCAACACAATTTACATCCGCGTTTTTGCCCAGTCAACCAAGGCAGATGCCCTCAACGCGATCAACCGCGCCGTGCGTGACATCTCTCTGCGGCACTATTCTGGTTAGTATTGCGTATCTTACACTATAACATTACCGAACACCGAACGGTATTACTGAATGAGAATGCTAGGTTTTCACGCCTCTTTGGACTTGCGTGCGTTAGCTCCACGTCCTTATCTTGCATATTATCCCGCGCTGTGGCGGCAGCGCGGTCTTGAGGAGCGTTTCCATTTCGTGAATCCGGACGGCACAACAACATCCTACGACACGACACCACCGCCCAGGTTTGAGGATCTTGGCGATCGTGAATCATATGACACCAAAGCACCTGTGAAGATCCAAGGCGACCTGAAGACCATTCGTCTTGGTCAAGTTGCGCATGGGCGCTCCGGAGACAAGGGGGCCAATCTGAATTTCGGATTGTATGTTCAAACACAGGCTCAATGGAACTGGCTGCGTTCGTACATGTCTCGCGCCAAGGTGCAAGAGATGATGGGGGACGATTGGCAGACAGACTTCTCCATCGAGCGAGTTGAGTTCCCGGGCATTTTCGCCGTGCACTTTGTTGTGTATGGTATCCTTGGGCGTGGTGTCAGTAGCACTAAGCGACTGGATGGATTCGGCAAGGGATTCATTGACTACTTCCGGGACAAGGAGGTGGAAGTCCCGGTCTCTATCTTGGACGCACCGATCAGTGGCCTTCAACCAAGTAGACTCTAGCTCTATTGTCTCGGCAATTGTGATATTTGTCAAAAGAAAAATCATAAGTTGAGAAATCATCATAAATTCAGAATTTACAAATCACAATTTCATTCATGAACCATTGGTTCATCCCATGTCTATCACCGAGTGTTTAGCTAGCATTCAGCATTGAACGGAGTTGGGAGAGTTTACGGGAATTTCCTGGTCCCCGACACCCCGAAACCGATCCAAGAACGGCAATAGTACCGGAATTTCTTACACACCATGTTACCCCTAAAACCGGAAAATCGTCATTCAGGCGGCCAGCTGTGGGATATTGCGGGGTAGAAATACACTATGTTTATATATTTCCATGCTGATCTTGAGCTTCCGAGTCTCGTGAAGCTACGACGTTATTGCTTAGCCTGAGTCTGCTGAGTTAGGTCTCATTACTATCAAGTCAAACCTACCAGCAGTTTCAACTCGACAAGACCTTGTTTTAAATCACAAATATGGAATATGACACCAGAGAGAAGATTGAGCCGTTGGGAACCATTGAGTATGTGACCACTAGTGTTCAGAATTTCAGTTCTAAATATCGAATCTGCCAAGCACTTCGGTCTTGAATCAGGAGCTAACGTTCAGACAGTCCCGAGATTGATGCGGTTGGTGAGGAGTCTAGACGCTTTTGTCATCTTACTAATATAACCAGTTCATCAAAGCCCACCCAATGCCTTCGTTTGGCGGGACCCAGGATGTGATGCGAGAGATGATGGAGGCGGCAAAGACTGCCCGGAAAGACTCGGACATCGAATACTCAATCAAAATCACCATGAGAGATGGCTATCAGTCTGAGACTCGCATCCACAAGCCCCCCTCCCCAGATGGGAAGCACCCGGTTCTCGTTTTCGTCTACGGGGGTGGCTTCATCATGGGAGACTGCACTCAACTGAGCCCCTACGCGCGCATTGCTGCAAAGCTGTTCAACGCCGTCGTCGTCAACATATCGTATCGCCTGGCGCCAGCCCATAAGTTCCCGACGGCGCCCAACGATGTCTGGGACAGCCTCAAGTGGATTGCAGCAAACGCGCATACCTTCGGCGGCGACCCGGCTATGGGCTTTATCCTGGGAGGAGCATCTGCTGGCGGTAATCTGGCCGCAGTCACAGCTCAAAAGTCCCTCGATGAAGGGCTCAGCCCACCCCTCACAGGAGTTTGGCTCTCAATCCCCTACATACTAGAGGAAGAAATCGTACCTGCCAAGTACAAGGACGTTTGGTTCTCGAGGGAGCAGAACGCGGCAGGACCGGTCATTGATAAGGCCAGTATGGAGTCCATGGGGCTTGCTTACTCCGCAGACATGAAATCGCCTGACCTCTCACCTTTTAATGCCAAGGATCCTCACAAAGGCATGCCTCCTGTCTACTTACAGGTCTGCGGTACAGACCCGTTGAGAGATGACGGTCTGGTTTATGAGAGAGTTTTGAGAGATCATGGGGTCAAGACTAGGTTGGACGTTTATCCCGGAGCTCCTCATGGTCATATCATGTTTCCTTGTAAGCTGTCCACCAAGTGTCATTTTGATACTTTTAACGGCTTAGCTTGGCTGCTGGGAAAGGAAACTCCCAACCAGGAAGTAATCACGCAAGAACTTGCCGTGAACCCAATCATTTCAGTATAGATGCATTTCCATACAAACCAGCAACCAAACCAGGCGAATCAAATTATGCAAGTAAATATTATTTCGGCAGGTAAACCTGCAAAGACCTATCAAGAATCGGCGACTTGTCACTGTTGTTTGTCCCATTATGCACCTCCATCAGTGAAATTCAAGGACCATGTCTCTCTCTGATTTGCTCCTTCGAGTGTGCTGTCCTCCTGTCTGATGTGATCTGGCCCATGAGACGTCTCTGTGGTCCGCCGTCAATCTGTTGGACGTTCCCATCATCACCGGTCACTGAGACCATGTGTTTCAATGCCTTCACTCCTGTTTCCAATTATCATGGGCTTGGACTTCCAAAGCCGACATGTCGTTCTTTTCTGTGATTTCGTCTTTTCGACTTCCGTTTTGGCTTTCGACATCGAAGCATTTCTCTCTCATAATTTCGTCATATAGTGGCTCAAACTCCCTGATCTCCGGGAGAATAGTATTTCTCCGGGTTTCGTCCGCTTTTAGTTCTTTTGAAATTTCATCCGGCGGCTTCGAATTGTCGGTTGCGACTGACAAGTCGACGACTCTGGTGTGGTATGTGTTCAGTACGACATCGTTCGAATTCTCATTGTTACTCTTTTCGTATCCAAGAGTTGATGCCTTTTCTCTGAAGAATACTCGCAGGACTGGTATTGAACTAGCAACAATGGCGGTTGCTGTCTCGACGGCTGTCCAAATCGTAACGTCCATACCGTTAACTGAGAAATAGTCAATAACTGACACTAAAAGCCCACTAGTCGGAAGTGTGAAATGTACAGAAAAAGTCCCCTTGTTCGAGTTGGACAAGATAGACACCTTTTGTGATGGCACAGACACCAGACCTATTGAAGGCTATGTCAGCTTCCAGTTTCAATGATTTAGCCAGCACAAGAATGGACTTACAGCCATCCAAGACTCATAGCGACACAGATACCAAGCTTCTCATGCTTGCGCATGCGCATTCCCCAGATGAGCTTCCAAGGAACCAGAGCCAACAAGAAGTCCATAGCAGCGCACCATGCGGCGTTGAAGATCCCGTAGTTGAGGGTGATTGATTCGTCCCAACACGTGCCCTCCATCTGTCTGTTGAAGTTCTTCTGTACGGGCGTACACTTCAGCCAAGTGAGAGTTGCACTTGGCAACATCACAAGTGTCAGAGTGACCACGGCAAACCAAACGAAGCCCCTAAACCATCCGCTTGTAAGGCGCAGTAACGTTACACCGAATCCAACTTTGCTGCCCGTCGAGGCAAAACATGATATCGAGGCGCCGATGGAGGTGTACATCGCTATCGTGAGGAGATTCGTCTGGGGATTGACATCGTAAAAGTGGCGGCCGAAACCGAGATTAATCCCCAATTGGGTGATGATGGACTCGACGAGGAGACATGTCTACATATCAAGTTAGCTCAAGGTGTTTTAACCAGACTGGTGTATCGGTAACTTTACCCATGAGAATATCAGGATCCAATCATCCCACCACAGCTTCTGATGACGACTCAACTTTGCGTATATACGCAAAGCTAGAAAGGCGCCGCAAAAGAAGCAAAGAAACCACGTTATTCCTCCGATCAGTGGCCCCCGCGTCTCGATCTGAGCCATCGCTATCGCATCGAGTGAAGCCTTTCAACCCCGGCGCCAACGCGAGTCGACTGCGGGCGTCAAGTCGTGAAATGAGTGAAGTAGCCAAGATGGCTCTAGGATAAAGTAGGAAACATCCGACGCACAGAGGCAGCGACATCCTCCCAGATATCAAAAGAGGTTGACCCAGGTCGTCCTGGACACAGTATGATATCCCCGAGAGCCGGTGCCACCGCCTGGAACTCGCGCGCTTCATTAAGGTTCATCTTGCGGCGCACGGCTACGGGAAGGAGGCGGGTTGTTTGTGCCCGGTGAGGCGGGTGAGCGGGAAGCGTAGTCCTGGGTGCTGAGAAAGACACTCGATGGCAAGGAGCCGGGGAGGCCGCTGTCGGGATATTTCATCCAGAGAGGACGCATGTCGGCGATAGAACTCGACTTGGCCACTTCCACGGAAGTCCAGACCATGAGGCAAGGTGTCATGCCTCGGGAAGTAGCCGATGGTGTGAAGAGGTTATCTGATGAATGAACTCTATTATGAGCTGATTGACTGTGTTGGTTGAAAAGACTGCCTTCTTCACCAGATGCCTTTGAGGAATCAGCAAGGATGTGTTGGCTAGGTGAGTCAGTTCTTCGGAGTTTAGATCACCAAAATGCCCTTGGCCTATGAAACACTGCAATGGACGAAGCGTCCCAGGTAGCCTAAAGCCATTCAATGTTTCTTGTTTGTCCCTTTACTGCCAAGACATCTCGTCCAGGAGGCTCTAACAAATGATAACACGCAGACATTTTACATGATGTGCATAGATTTCATTTGGTTTCTCCGATCTAACTTCCAACGGTTTCTCGATGCAACGCTGGTCAGACTGGACAGTAGTTGGCAGCCACTGATTTTGTTCTAGGTGCATTCGAGATGGCTGCCGGGCATCAAGCGTCGGAAGTAAAACTGCGCTCAGACACCGAGTCTGCGTCACAATCTGCGAGAGAGTTCCTATGATCAGATGTTAGAGCGAATGCTCTCGTCCCGCTCTCGCTTCGGTTTGTTGCATGGTTTCATATAGCTTCTAGCCTGGGGCTGACGCTGAAGTTTAAATCAAAGACGCAGCCCTATGGCAATTGAAGCCGACCACCCCTCGTTGGGTAATGAGATGGCGAGATCAGGCGGACATTATTGCTCCGCATAAGGCCTCAGACTGTGGTGAGACCCCACTGAATCTGGATGCTCACGAACTTGAAATAGCCAAGACGGAGCTTGTGGTATCTTTTTGGCATGTTCCGATCGTCGTGAACGGAACAACATCGATGAGTAAGAGGCGTAGAGTCAGTATTGGCACTGAAAACCGCGCCCAAGGTCGGGACCAACACATGATAAAGTTTATCTGATCTTTTGGTCTTTGAAATTGAAGCAGCCAGTGACCCGGATACATCTCCGGGCTAGTGCTTTCATCAGGTTCATGCTCCTTGAAGATGTTCCGGCTCGCTCAATGATTTGCCTCAAAGACCTCTTGGCGCGCTGCAGAAGACGTGGCCGCCTCCACTAGCATGTGAAGCCTCATCATTTCGACTACGATTGATAAACATTCATAATGTCTTACGTGCTATAGTATCGCGACGTGGCGGGAACGAGACGGTCATTCATATCCCGCGAAGTCCGTCTTCACAGTTCACGTCGGCTACTGACCATTAGCCGTTCGCAGTGGAAATAGTGGCATTCTGGGGCAGAGTGGGCCTATCTCGGTACGGACCGATGGATAGACCTCTTCTCGGGCTGAATAGTGTTGCATTCCATTTGACCCTGGTTTCATGGGCATGGAATTACTGTAACTACTGCGGTGCTTCTTCATCGACCATGTTCATTTGATGATCACTCAATTGCCGTCGTGGGAGCAACCAGAACTAATATGAGGCGAGTTCATCTCAGCTCCTGTACTAGTTCCGGCAGCTGAGAAACAGAACTCAGCTGAATCGAAGTGCTGTAAAGATGAAAATGACGACGCAAATGAAAATGGAAAACTTACCCGCCGATCAAGTGGAACGGCGAACACCGAAATATAAGTGGAAGTCAATTATCTGGACCGACCTGCGGTACTAGAGCTGGAAAGTTTCGCTTCGAATTGTGTCGGCTTGTGGGGGTCTGATGCACCGTGGTGTCTGGCAGGGGCCAGAAGGCGCAATTGTCGGTCGACAGACAGCGTGATCGGGCGCATGTCGCAAGAGCAGATGTGGCTTCATTGTGTGGGTGTGAAGGCTGCGCTGCTGTCGGCCTTGACTGAGCGTTGTTGGTTTCATTGCAGTGGTAACGCAGGGGGTCCGTCTGGCCGGCCTCTGTCATGTCTGGCAGCGGCAAAGCTCTTGGCATCATTTTGGGGGCATTGTAGTGATCATGTAATTACAGTGCTCACTGAGCGGAGATGGGGGCAGAATAGAGGGCGAGAAATGGGACTTTTGCTTGCGCTACTAATCCGAGCTACGGATACGTGCAGACGCGACCACGACTCAGCAATCCAGCACGCACCGGACTCCCAAGCGTGATCTGCTAACTGCGGTCAAATCTACAACTTACCTTCATCTACCTCAACAGTCAGATCGTGCCGTGAGAACACCAAGCTTCCTATTTTTTAACAGGCTGCAGGAACGCATCGTTACGCATGTCTTCATGGAATAGGGAGAGCATGGGTTTATGCGGGGCAGAGGCACAGGAACATGCGCCCGTCTCTCATGTGATGAGCCAAGGTTCGCAATCCGCCCGATGAATATGGAGAGGCTCAGCAATTTACAGCCGCCGCCAAGCTACCAAAGTCCATCCATAAGCGCAGTGCGACGAACAACTGATCCCAGATTTTGAGATGAAGAGGGCGGAGTTCCTCTGGAGTCATCGCTTCTTGCCGCCCTGCCATCAGCAAGAGTTCAGCCCAAGGCAGCGAACGGACCAGCGGTGCTTTCCTGACTGAAAGTCTGTAGCCCTACTTTTCCGCTCTTCAACGGGTCGCTCTTTCAGCGCTACATTCCGTCACGGCTACGCCATACTGAACCGTGCTGAACATGGAGCCCCCTCAAACGAGCCCAAATTGGTACTGCGTATCCAGGCCCTAGTCTTCAATGATAAGACAGGCCAATTGGATGCGTCCGCTGAGAGCAGGCTAACATTTCGGTTGCGCATCTCACTTTTTCTGGCGCAGGCTGTGCCCTTGAAGTGCCATCCCGCGGCACCCGTTGCGACTCATGCTAAGGTCCAACACGTGCCTCTTCAGTCTCAAGATGGGAGGGAAAAGGCCACCATCGACCATGCCATGCAGCACAGTCAGTGAAGCTTCTCCGCATTGTTCGATTTGGAGAACATGTTACAGGACGCGCGGCGCGCCAACGTTCTTTGGGAGAAATCTTTCTTCTATCCTATCTTACCTTTGCGCCCTACAACGCTTCATAGCGGTGTTGAATATTACTGGCCATGTCCTCTGCCAGAGTTACCGACGATCCATCCTCATTTGCCCTGATAGTGGGCGAACAGGACTTGCCGAGTTCTTCGGCAGCCCACAGGAGAAGGTTTGCTTAAACGGAGACAACCATAGCTTTTCGGTCCACTTGGCGGCGCCTTTTCAGAAGGTCTCTCAGGGATCATGCGAACTGACGCACTGCGACCCTAATCAATCTGTTAACAGAGAGGATCCGCGTCGCAATGGAAGGTTCCTTGATGTCCTGCAAAACAGCCGCTGTCTACCCCTGACAAGCGCATCTTCACCCCCCACCGTCGCGAGTTATTCTTAACAATTCTCTCGCTGGCCCTTGCAGAACCATCGCCCTGCCAGAGCTTGATTCCCTGCCAGTCCCCGGTTTTACATGCCACCTCAAGTGCCCGTACGAACCGTGAAGCCGGGGTCTCTTTTACATGCTGATCCCCCCCGCCGCGACTCGTAGGTTGCTGCCAAGCGGTCTGTCCTTTTCCTTTCTGTGCCGGCGACTCGACTTGGATCGATTCTACGAAAGCATGATCCCTCGCCCGCGCAAATAGACCCTTCCGCGAGATCGAGAAGCGACGGTCATCCGAGAAACACCCACCGCGCCGTATTTCGCATCTTTCTTCGCCCTGCGCTATGGCGGTCCGGTCGACTTTGCGCCGGGCGCTGGCGTTCACCGGTTCCGGCTCCGGGCTCGTCCCGTGTCTCACAGCGCTCGGGCTCGTCCTCTTCCAAGCCGGCTCGGCAGCAAACATCTTCGACGCCCGCGAACGAGGGCAATTCAACTTCTCTCCGACGTCTGCGTTGACAATTTCCGAGTTCCTGAGGTTTCTAATTTCGACGATCCTATTCAAGCGCGAAGTGCGCAGACGAACGGCGAATGGTACCGAGTATTCTTCGCTCGGCGAATCGGAAGAGTTGGATCTCGACAACTATGACAGCGGACGGTCGTCGCTCGAATACAACATCGAGAAAGTTTCAGCGCATGAAAAGATTGGAAGTGCAAGGGCGCTGTGGCGCTTCGTCTGGGGAGATGCGGGTGCGGAGATCAGATTTGCTTTTGCGAGGATCGCGCTTCTGCAGATGATTGCCAGCAACTTGGTATGATTGGAAGAGCTCGACCAACCGTGCAGTTGTTGCGCATGAAGAAAGCTAACGCGAAATCTCTGCCAACCAGCTGTTTCTCAACTATCTAGTGGCCGACCCGGGAACTGTGCAGCTGATGAAGAGCGGCATCGCGATTGGCGCCGCTCTCTTCGCGACACCAGCCTTTGGCTTGAGAGGACCCAAGACGAGGTGGATGGCATTTCTGATCCAGGTATGTGGTTTTGTTATCTCTCGGCATGAGACCTACTGACAATTACAGACCTCTGGCTTGGTCCTCTCCCAATTCTACCCGCAACATCGCACGAGAGCCTCGACATATCAGTTGCACCTCTATTTCGCCTTCGTAGCACAGTCCGCCTTCAGCTCCTTGTCTGACATCTACGGAGAGAAGTTGCTCAAGAATACCGAGCTCGGTTCCAATGCATCTAACATGATCCTGGGCGCCTTTGGTGTTGTTTTCAACCTGTTCGCGCATGCGCTTGTACGCTACGCCAATGTGATGGAGCCGGGCTTCTTCGACGGTTACAACAACAGAGGCATTTCAGTTGTCATCATGATGACGCTGCTAGGTCTGATCTCTACTGTTGCCTCTAAACGTGAGTTGCCTTTTGGTCAGACCTTTGTGTACCGCGCTTCTTTGCTAACCTCAGTGTACTAGACATCGACTCCTGGGCCAGATGGTTCACTAACGACGCCACCACGATTATCCTACTGTTGGCTTCAATGAGCTACACGCCCGTCAGATACAGCTACTTCATCATCTCAGGCACCGCGCTCATACTCATTGCCTCGCTGGCCTACCTGAAATTCAGCCCCCTGAAAGACTACAGTGCGCCGACGCCTACTGAGGATCGAGCCCCAGCTTACTCTTTAGGCACATCAAAGGTAAGCTTTTTGATACAGAGTTATATCGTGTTGACAAGTTTGCTTACATTATACTAGAAGCTGAAGTTTAGCCTCCTGACGTTGGCTAGCGTCATCGGCGCTGGCATCGTACCCTTCGCAACCATCGCCGAGCCCCCGCACACGCCCGAGTATCGACTTGTCATGAGGGACGACACCGATGGCCACTGCTTGACACCGCCGGCTAACATAATTCGGCCTTTCACGGACAAGAAGGAACCTTTCCAAATTCAAGCTGGCGAAGGCAACCTTACCGCCTCGCCTTTTAGCAACACTCTGGCAATGGTTCGCTGGAACGCGAAGCGCATGGAGCGTGTGCCTCTGATCATGAAGTACAAGCCTTTCTTCCACACTGTCCACATTTCCATGCCGGAAGTCATGGAGGACAAGCCGAAGACCTATCACAACCTCACGCATTCGCAATACGACCGTCACGAGACGATTTATATGCAAGTTGCGCATACGATGAAGCTCATATTGGACGAGCAACCGGATATCGAGGGGTTGATGTACTTCCATTTCGACTCCTGGATCGATCCCATGGGCTGGGTCGACGAGAATCGGCAGTCCATCTGGTACCCGACTTCGCATAACACGCGTCAGTTTGAGGGTGATGGGCCCAGGTACATGTGCATGAACGACTGGCAGAAGTTTCCTCAATGGTGGGGATGGTACCACAAGTGGAACGAGAAGGCCGTCACCGTCAACGGCGAGATTATTCGAATGAACCGCGGATACGACGTCGTAGAGCATGAGTTCTGCGTAGGCTGGTCGGATATTTACTACATCCCCCGCCGCTTTTTCGCCGACTTTATCTTCCTTTCTTACGTTTACGGTTGCGCGGATTTGTTCCACGAGGTCGCGATCCCGACCATGCTGAACATCATCGACCGCAGCCGACGCAGCGAGAGCGCGCCATTCCAGTCGCTCATTGACCGTATCGGGGACTGCTGGGGAGGATGCTGTGACGACTCGGCGACACCACATGATGTGAAGTGGACACGTTGTGGACACCGATTGGATTATTTGAAGCAGGAGGTTGTAGATGCGCACTACGGCCGCTTGGATGAGCAGACTGCATGGCTTGGTCAAAATCAACGGACGACCAAAAGCGAACGGCGTTAAACTTTGGGGTAAGGGGCATTAGACATAGCGATAACCGGTTCTTTCAATTCTTTTTCACATAGCACACAATAAGTTGGCTTTACTTCACCAAGCAGATTTGCCTCAGGCTTTGAATCCACCTGAAAGTGATTGATCCAAAGCATACTTAACATATGGCGACATGAAAGCTACCAATGCCAGCGTCGCGCGACAGCCCCACGCCGAAGACCGGATACTGGTCTCCATCACCAACAGTGGAGCAGCTGTTTTGAACAACAACTGCGAACATCGACAATCGATCCACCTTCGGGTATGTGGCGCAATGGCTAGCGTGCGGTCTTCCGGTATTCCAACTACCAAGTTGGCCGTGGTTGCAGGTTCGAGTCCTGTCATACTCGGATCACGTTTATTTTTGTCTTAGTTTTGCATCTACGGTGATTCTTAACATGGAAGCGTTATCAAACGGGACGACGATCTCCGTAGTCAACCTGGGTCACCTTAATCAAGGTCGATCGTGTAGAACGTGACAGTTACAGCATATGCAGGAGAAAAACCAAAGTTCCATGTCATACCTGCTGACATGCCCATGTGTATGATGGCGAAGAACAGCATTACGCTGCCGGGGTACTTGGTTTACGGGTAACCTAAGTAGGCGCAAGAGCTTACTCTTGGCGAACCTTTGCCGAACCATTCTCAACCAATCCGGACCACGTCGTCCTGCAACGCGGGCATATTGCATAATTTCAGTTCATCCTTCGAGTTCACTTGGTGCGGCATTAAACTTGTTCCTGATGTTCTTTGAACCACCGTTGCCCTCCCTTTTGCATACTGACATGTCACATCCGCAGCTTCACTCCACGTGTGACGACTGCGACAGTGGAGTCTTCTTCAGCATGCAGCCAGCCTTCTTTCATCGTCCAGCCAGATAGAATTGTCGACTGCATTTGATGAGGCGTACCAGTCGCGCCTTCGAGCCAATGTGAACTCACATGGCTGCCATATATGCGTGCTGCTACTTGCAGATATACCTCACCTTGCTGAACCACTTACAGACGGCAAGCGCCTGATACTCGAAGTCTCCAGAACCCAGCATGACATCTTTGCAGATTGATGATGCGGACCCAGGGTTTCAGAAGTACTTTACAGGCTCCTCTCCGTCATATATGGGGAAATCCTCCATGCATGCTGCTCACTAGGGTAACGTCTTCTACGCTCACAGAAGGCTTTTCTATTCATCTTCTGCATTGCGAAGAAGCCACTCTTTCTAGACATGCAATACAGGGTACCAGCCAACTCAAATCTGAACATCTCGGGCACAGAAGGAGACGTTTATCAAGGCTTGACGTTTGTTCGAGCCGTCCTACGAACAAACCCTTGTATTGCGACTGTCAATGTCTTATCAACGGAAAAAAGCATGCTGCTTCTAGTATTCTACGAGAAATGGCTGCTTCGTCCGTGGGAGGGGCCGCTAAATCGACGGGGCTGGGTGTTTCCAAGAAACAACACTGGCACCACGCATTGTTCATTTCACCAAAGAACAGGTCATCTGGGAGTGCTGGTCGATTGAAGTATCAGATACCCTGCCTATAGGGCTATCAAATCTCCAGCTCGAAGGCTTCGACAAGACCATAGGTATCAGACCAGAAGGATACGAATTGGTGAAGATGAAATCGCGATGGTATCATCTTATAATGATGTACTCTCGTACTTCTCTGACTTTCGCTGATGATGATGATTATCTCCTGGCGATATCGACGATGGCAAAGAGTTTCTGCTCGGCAATGGACATACCTCCATCGCAATATCTGGCCGGCATGTGGGCTGATGATCTACCTCTGTCGCTAATCTGGACTGAAGAATCGATGTCCAAGAGCGGCTATGAAGCAGATGAGATTGGTCTTGAGAGGACGCAAGCGCCTTCATGGGCATGGGCATCTATAATGACCCCCATTGCGACTCCTGACTTCTCCATACTTTCGGCGGCTACTAAGATCATCAGTATCAACACGAAATGAAAATTACCGAATCCGTTTCACAACACAAAGTTTTTTCGCCTTCGTATTCACAGACCGGTCTGCAAGGTTCGCCGATTTATACAGCAAGGTACTTACCGTATCAACTTGTTGACCTCAGAATCCGCTAAACCCCTGTATACAAGGCTTTGGTAGGTCGGTAGTGGGGAAGTAGTTCTGCTAGTAATAATTGGACCAATCCATCCCCAGTGGACAGGGGGGAGCGGATTCTGAGGTCAACAAGTTGATACGGTACTGGATCCAAGCGACACGCCAGGCCGTGTTTGGGGAATTCCTCGACTTCTACTTTCACAGCGGCAGATCTATAGTCATGTGTTGGGACACCGCTCGAAAGCTTAGATCGGATGAATTCTTTTTGCTGCATTTTGCTACAGGAAAAGACGTAGAAAGACCTACAGAGCGCGGCCTAATCCTGTTGCGAACAGCTGACCGCGGAACATACAAGAGGGTAGGAGTATCCATTATTCCGTTCGAGAGCGATTATTCAGGCTCCAAACTTCAAGACGCGTTCGAGAGTCGTCTTCAGACTATCGGCCCGCAACACTACATTGAAGTTGATTGTGACGGGCATTATACCATCGGTGCAATTTGATAGGGCTTCTACATAATGAATGCATCAAGTCTACCGACTAAAGCCATGTGTAGACGTCGTGTCACTGCGTTAATTGTTCCCGAGTGATTGGTTGTTATGTACCACATGAAACATGAGGCTTAATGCTTTCCCCAGGCAATACTAATTGCACGTTGACACATGCTCACGAGACAACTCCCATAAGCGACGTCAGGTCTAGTGACTTGCACGGGCCTGGCGATGGTCATTCCAACCAATGCTGTTTTAGCATGCTACCATATTAGACTACTCTTATAACACTCCATTTTCCGTGACATGTCTCATGAAACACTGACTCGGTCTATTGAAAGATTCTGACTAACAAACTAGGCGCTGAGAGTCTAGTCTGAAGCTTGCTGCTGTGGCGGCAAGTTGCAGCATAGTCGGACATTCGGACTAGGCTTGGGTCCGATCAAAACAGATCAACATTTCGGACGTGAATTCGAAACCCAGAACTGGAGTTGGGGTGCATCAGAAACTGTCAAAACGTCATCTGAAGATGGACGCGCAAGATTAATCTTGCCCGTCACCGTAGTTGACAGCTTTGAACTCAACTAGTTACTACTTACTCCATTGCCATTTAAGAGAACGCCGGCTCCCACTTGGACTCGGGAGTCTAAGACCAGCAACTTTAATCTAAGCTTCTTTACGACAACCTTAAAAACAAAGTTTTGTATTACTCAACTGTTATCTGGTATAACACGTTCATCACGAAGTCTTGGTCAATATGCAGTTCTCTTCCATCGTCACTCTTCTCGTTGCCATGATGGCCAGCCAGACTATTGCCTGTAAGGAGCATCCAGCAGTTGCAGACTGGTCATGTCAAGAGAAATTACTGACTAAAGCGCGACACAGCACCTGCTAGAGGTAATGGGGGCAATGCCCTAGCGAGCAAGGAAGGTCAGCCATGCACTGGCAGCGTCTCCAACCTCCAGCGACAGGGGAAATGCAATGCGAATGGGAAATGCGCGATCGACATTCCGCCCAATGAGACAGACAATGTGGCTAGCAAAGATTGCGAGTAGATTGGCCCGGGAGGAAACTCTATTTCGTCAATGTTCGAATCAAACCTAGTATAGAGACAGACGTCGAGGTGAAGACGTTACAAAAAGATGAAATCAGCGGCGTCTTTTAGGTTTCTCGTGAAGTGTCTAAGCTCATTCGCGCAGTTGTGACGGGGGTGCCGTGGGCTCAATGCGTGCCCGGCTTGGGCCATAACATCACAGTGAATGGAATCAGGAGTGCAGCAAAATGTGAAAAAGAGAGGCTCTCCCCTTCCAGAATCGAACTAGAGACCTTTCGATGGATGTGGATATACCATACGTGATGAACCAACTACACCAAGGGGAGTAACGGGGCTGAGCCCCGCTCGGTGTGATTTGTTGACAGGAGCCGACTCCGTCCCGCTTAACAAGCAATGGAGACGCAATCAAACGTGCTCCGCTTCCTTCTGTTTCCCGCCCCTGAACTTCTCAACAATGCCCGACAGTACTTTAGCCACGGTAGACACCCCAAAAGTCCACCCGCGAATTCTAACCGTGTACACGAAGAAGTAAACCAAAGCCCAATTGGCCACCGCGAACGCAATCAAGATGCCGAATGAGGGCCACTTGTCGGTCAGGAAGACGTTGAGTGTTCTCATGTACTCTCCACCGTTGTTGTAGGGGCAGTAGCCGCAGTTGGAAGTCGCATTGGGGTTCTCAAGGTATCCGGTGCCAGAAACTTGCGTCACAAAGTTGTTCGCATACTCGGCACAGGTTAACCCAGGCGGCGGGTTAAAGCGTGCGAATTCCGCAGAGGCGCACTGAACGACGGCCGGGGGAAGTACGGCGGAGAGAACACCGCGAGTGAACCAGGTCGTCGGGTTCTAGATGATGGGTCAGAATTCGGCTTACTCGTGAAATTGAACTGGAGAGACTTACGATGTAGTACATCCAGTACCGCCAAAACTCTGGAATGGAGTCGTATGGTACTAGGATACCGTTGAAGAGGGCAACCATCACGAAAAAGAAGGGCAGAATCTGGTGCATTGTTAGTCAAACGCGCCGTGGCTAGCTGAAGGACAAACTCACGTTAGACACCGTCGAGTACGACGGCCCGAAAGCCGAGATCCATTGTCCCCAGCTAGACTGGAACAGTGACCAGACGAGGACCATGAGATAAGTGTACCCTGAGATGGAAGCAGTTGCTGGGAAGCCAACTGGGAAGTACCACAGAAGCCAGTAGATCGTAGCGGAGGCAATGGCCATAGGAATCTCGCAGACAACATTCGCTGTGCAGAAAGCAACCCAACCATATGTGCGACTCGGCAACTCGCGGTCTTCCCAGAGGTCTCTGTTCTGAAAGAACTTCAGGACAACCGAGTTCACGACTGTTGGGGGCACAAAAAAGATGAGAATGATGGCGGAAAACATGCGATTCTGCATGCTTGCGATATCATTACCCAGCATCCAAAAAGTCTAGACGTCACGTTAGCATTTGGTACCAGTATTCAACTCGACGAAGATGACTCACGAATCCGTTGAAGATGCCCATAACGGTATGCACGAAGACTCTGCTGTACATGTACTGAGGCTCTCTCCAATGTTGGACGAACATGCGCTTGGTAAGCAGGAGGCATTGGTACATTGTGGATGAAGCAAATTCGGTCGGCGCCGACAATGTCGTCGAAGGGCCTTGTCTTGCAGCCGTGATTTCGTCAATTTCCGTTACAATGGCCTTGTGCTCACTCGAGTTGAGCCATTCCTCATTCCAGTCAACGCGCTTGCCATCTTTTACCGATGGTCTCGAGGCCGTTTCCAGAATGAACTCCGCGACGTTTCTGCTGGGAGGGCAAGGGAAGCCTCGTTGCGCGAAGTAGTCGACCACGACGGAGCCGTTGGTGCCGACCGGTCCGAAATAGAAGGTGTTGCCGCCGCGGTTGAGAGCAAGAATCATGTCAAACTGCTCAATGAGGTCTGAGGATGGCTGATGGATGGTGCAGATAATCGCTTGACCTGCATCGCAAAGCTTTCTCAGGAAGCGGACGATAGAGTAGGCGGACTGACTGTCCAAACCACTGGTTGGCTCATCCAAGAACAGAAGAAGGCTGGGCTTGGCAGCAAGCTCAACTCCAATCGTCACTCTCTTCCTCTGTTCCACGGTTAACGAAGATATCAGCGCGTCTTCCAACTCGCTCAACTCAAGAAGGTGGATGATGCGATCTACGTAGGCAATCTTCTCAGCTCGCGGGATGGTACGTTCTTGTCGGAGGAGAGCTGAGAACTCCAGTGCCTCTCGAATGGTTGCCGTGCCCTCGTGAATATCTCTTTGCTCGCAGAAACCCGTGCCCCGCTGGAACTCGGCTCGGAGAGGCGAGCCGTTGATCAGCATCTCGCCAGAAACAACACCGACTTTCTGTCTTTGTGCGATCGTGTTGAGAAGAGTCGTCTTGCCAGCACCGGAACTTCCCATGAGCGCAATCATCTTTCCCGGACGGGCGTATCCGCAAACACCATTGAGAAGCTGAAGCTCACCATTGCCGTAGGGGACTGTGTAGTTGATGTTCTTGAACGTGAAGACGCTCTTTCCGTCACCAATCGGCTCAAAGGTCTCCTCCGCCATGTTGCTCTTCTTCTTCTCCTCCTTCGACTTGGTGTCTGGCCGTTTTGCGAAGATGAGTGACTGCGCACCGGAGCCCTTGAATCTGATCGTATCTACGGCAACGACTGTAATCGCAAGATAGAAGACGGTGAAAGCCAGCATAATGCCGAAGTTGCGCCAGAGGTTGGACCTCGAACTGGTAGTGGTCAGTGAGCTGAACGTCATTCGATTCTGGGTAGAGAGGGTGAGACTAACTATTCGAATGAGGCTTGCATGTATGCCGGACCACTGACAACAGTGCTACCAAGAATTGAGCCGGGAAGACTGCATCCTTGATAGTTGGGATCTGAGCCAGGTCCTCGAGGGACAAGCTGAGACTCGCTGCACTGCAGCTCTCGGCCGAAGAACTCGTTGGTCTGGAGTGCTTCAAATCCGTACGCTACCGGATTGATGTAGTAGATCCAGCCAAACCAAATGGCATCATTAACAAGAGCCGGTTTCGGAATCACGTAGCCAGTAAAGATGAACATGATGTTGAGAACTGAAAGTGCGGTTAGCATCGACCTTTGGGAACGGGAATGACATCGTGTACATACCAACTCCGACGAATCGGACGGCATCATCGACCGTGGATGATAGGGATGCAAACATGCGGTACATTGTCGTGAGACAGAAAGTTGCTGTGTACACCAGCAACGTGTAAATCCAAAACTTGGCCGCATCGATGTCGAATTGGGCGAGGAAGTAAACAGGGATACTGAAGAGTAGTGTCATGATCAAGATGAGAGGGAAGTCGAGGAGCATCCTTGCGATGACGACGGCTGATGGTCGGTAGAAGGCGAAGACTCGCTGTCGCTCGATCGTGGTACGTCCTGAGACCGCGGGTAGGAGTTCAGCGAACTGGAGCCATCCGATGAAGGCAATTGAGAAGAAGACGACACCGCCGCGGGCAAAGACCGACGAGGTGTCTTGTCCGGCGCCGTAGAACAAAGATGATACGATGAGAGCGTTGGCAATTATGATGACAAGTTTGGTGTAGAAGGAGTTTCGGTCGCCCCAGAGCAGCCAGGCTTGTCGCTTCGTGCATGCAGCCACCTGCTTCAAGAACGACACAGTGTAAACCGAGTCCCCGACAACAGTCTTGCTCTTGGCTGTGTCTTGTGTCAGTCATCCATGCATGATCCAATTTGAAAATAGCAATCTCACCTTCTTTGACCGTTTCCTCGAAGATGCGATGTTTCTCGCTGTTCGTAGACTTGCTGTCCCGCTCGTAATCGTCAACGTCTTGAAGTAGTCGTTGGTAGTGCTCGCTCTGTCGAAAAGCTTGTTCAAGCTCTTCAGGTGTCTTTGGGGCTGATTCCTCGCGTCCGGACTGGAAATGACGGGCGTTCTTGTCGGCGATGGAGGTCAAGAAGTCTGCGGTGGTCCTGTTGAGATGCAAGAGTTAGCTCCTGATTCTCAGCAGTCATTATCGGTTACACTGACTGTCTTGGGGGACACAAGTATCCCAAGTCCTCGAAATACTTCTTCGCCTCGTTGGCTGGGCCTTGAAATAGCATACGTCCGTCGTCTATCACGAGCACCTTGTCCATCAATTCATAGATAGACTCGCCTGCCTGGTAGAGTGTGACTAGTGTCGTGCGGCCACTGACATCTGTGTAGACTCGGAGTGACTTGGCGAAGCTGAGAGCTGTGCTGGCGTCAAGGCCGCGGGTGGAGTTATCCCAGCAGACGACTGAAGCTCTTGTGGCCAGAGTTTCTGCCAGACTTACACGCTTGCGTTCTCCTCCAGAAACACCTAGAGGTCGTCAGAAATGCCCCTAGCCGTGGTGCATCAAAAGGGACTCACCTCGAATGTGCTCGTCGCCAACAAGCGTGTTCTTGGTGTGATCAATACCAAACATTTGGAGAAGCGAGTCGAGAATTATGGGAATAGTCCACTGTTCCCTCTTCCTGGTCTTGTTCTTCAGCGCGAACCAAAGCGTCTGCCATACTGTGAGCGAGGGAAAGTGCCGGTCATCTTCCTCGCAGTAGACCACCTCTCCTCTAAAAAGTCGCAGCTGATCCTCAGCCGGTATCGCGCCGTAGTACACCTCTCCGTCGACCTTGGCGTACTCATCTCGGTGATTGGCGATGGCCTTGAGAAAGGTCGAACATCCAGAACCCGGTCGACCCAGAACCAGCATGATCTCGCCGTGTCTCACTGTCCCAGTCATGTTCCGAATGAGGTCGACGGTAGGCTCTTTGTGAATTCTGAGTTTCGGGAAGAAGCCGGTGATGAAGTGATAGAAGTCGGGACCAAACGTATTGAGAAGATCCCGAGGGAACGTGACGGCTTGCTTGGTTGATGACTCGATTCCCTTTACCGTCAAGTTCTTGAACGAAACTCCGAGCTTTTTCGTTGGCCCTCCTGTTGGCGTGCGCATGTCCATGATCCCCCGCCTGAGAAAGTCCGGGAGGTCGAACGAGTTCTCGCCGGACTCGGTTGGCGCGATGGTTGAGTCGCTCTCACCCCCTGCATCGCGTTCGTGGGTTTTGGGTTGTGAATGGTGTGCGGCCGTGGAGTGATGGTGTTGTAATGTCGAAAGCTCCTTCTCGAGGCCGTGGAACTCATCGAGCGCGGCGTTAATGGAGATCTCTCCGGCCGCATTCTCACCCCAGCGGCCGTCTTCCTCGGGCCTCAATGGACCGGTCATGCTGCCGAAAGTCTATGGTAGGAGAACAAAACAAGGAAGGGTATCTAGCGCAAAGAAGTGTATCAATTTTGTCTATGTGGTAGTTGAAAGAGAAGCTGCGACAGTTGAGTGAACTCGATAGCTGTCGATGAATTATGGTTGGGCCAAAGCAACTGGTCCAAGAAACGAGAAAGTATGAAAACGACATGCAACAACTGATGACGAGGAGAGCAGTGTGTGTTAAGTCAAGTAAGTCTATGAGACCAAGGTTTGCTCCACTCTCGCACTAACACGGGATGGCGCCGTTGCCATTAGGGTACCCGCGGCCGGCATATGCTCCACGGCAGTATCATTTGTCATCTCCACCGGAGTGTTTTGGGGGAATTCATATTCCCCGTAAGTCAAGAGTTTGTCGGACTTACTAGAAAGGGGATGGCATCAGTTGTGCCCTCGTGTCGGGCAGCAGTTGTTTGTGCATGGCGGTGGGGACGAAACCTGTGAAAAAAAAAGTGCATCCCAGAAAGCTCCGTGGAACAGATGTCTGACCAAACAACAGATTCGATGGAGCCGAAATGCAACCCTTATCTCGGGGTAAAACCCCACGCACACTGCAGGTGATGACATACAGCCCAACAATGTGCACCGCCTAGCCGGCGGGAGCTTGCATGTGCATTCAAGACAGTCAGCGAGAGCCATTATTAATACAGAAAGGGTCTAGGGTCATTTTGCCATGGCATCTGGTCGGCGGAATTCATATTCCTCTGCGCAGGTGGGGGCAAAGGGCTTGAAGGGACATGGAGCGCCGTCTCGACCGCTCTTTTAGCGTGGTGGCGATCCCGCTCCGAGCCCTCGATTTCGTGCTTTCATCTGAAGCCGTCGGAAGCACGACACGGGGTTAAGACAGACAGATCTCCCCATGACTCAATGGTGTAGGCGTTCCAGAGATCTCAGCCAATGAGAAGAGGAACTAGATGCGATCCATCAACAACCGTTGAGCTCGGGGTCGTCTATTTCCGAAGACCAGCTGCTTTATTCCCACTAACGTCATCGCGCGTTCAGTTGAGTTTCCAGCGCAACTGATGTTCACGGGACGATCGAGCATCGCGTCTAGCACGCACCGGCAGTCATTGAGAATCCATCTTAATGAGAGTGGGTTAGATCAGCCGTGAAATAGAACCAGATAGAAAACCCTGAATCGCCTGCAGTTCAAACTAGCAATCCAACAAGATCCACGGGCTGCTGCAACTAGCTGACGCGACCCACAACCCGACCGACCCTGTGGCAGGGTTGAATGCAATGTCTCACAACGCCCGGATACTTTGCAGGCAATTTCTTTCCGTGGTGGGCAGCTCCCAGCAACCACATGATGGAACAATAATTTTCCTCGTGAAGACAATGGCCATAGCCTGTCGGCCTATACACGTGTTTGTTGTCAAGCGGTGTGCCCTTCGATGCGGTGCTACACAGTAGTAGCATGTATGCATTCGGGGAACGCCCCGGAGCCTCAAGATTGAGTTCTGGACCCCTCAGAGCTGACGCAGGCTTCGGTTAAAAGAAACTTTGCCGACGCGATAGAGTTATCTCGAGCGGTTATAAATTCCATTTTCGGGACTATCTTTCTATCTAAAGCTTGTTGGTGCCGATGACACCTCAGACATAAACTACGGGCGCGCATATGCAAATACCCGTTCAGCAGCCTCAAATTTCAGTCACGGAGTGGAAGTGCGCTGAAAGCATCTAGTGCCCGGTGGAAGGCCGCTCGCCAGCCGCAAGTTCCACCGGAACGACCTGCCTGGACGGGGAGATCCCCATCATTGCTTGGGAACATGCGTTCGGTGAGTGACTCAGTGCGCATGCATGGCATTCGTGCCGAGAACCAGCCGGATCCTTGCATCGATGAAAGCGGGCGTTCATTGAGCCCAGCCGGAGGTAAGGCACCCACGGATTAGGCACTAAACTCCGGCAGGCCGGCCCCGCTTTCGGAGACGCAGCAAATCTCCGGACACCTCCCGTTCCTAACCGGGGCGAATGATCTGGGCATGACGTTCAAGTAGTCTGTTCCTGTGCCGGTACCCAAGAGTCGTTGTCTCTAAGAATTGTATTAAAAGCAGTGGTAAGCAGCATCTCTTTAAACCCGAGCCCCTCGTGCCAACACTTCTCTCTTCGTTGCCTCTGGGCTCCACGCTGGCAGAGGAACAGGCTCTTCACCAAGGACGTCGGGCCGGAAAAGAACGCCATCATCAGGGCTCTTGAAGACAAAGACAACGTTACGCCCTTGTACTTGATGCCCACAAAAGTCTTTCGAACGTTCTCCCGTCCACCCGGTAACAACATGCACAACCCTCTTCTCATCCGGGGGCAGTCCCCAGCATGTCGAGCCGAGGGTGCCTGATGGCTTCCCGTCTGTGTTCAGAAACAACTCATGTTCAATCTCGATGATTCGGCGCGCAAGGGCATACATTCCGTCTTTCTCCCACAAGGCCTCCCGGGGCGCTGCAAGGACCTTGAGGTAATGCAATGCCTGAACGCGTAAATCAAGGTATCGGCATTTGATAGTCACGAAGAAGATGGGAACTAAGAATCCCATTTCGAACTCAAAGTTGTTGCGGCTCCTGCTCCTGGTGCGCTCATCGGCTGCTTGCCCTAGATCGTCGACCATTCGTCGGTAATCGTCTTTGTATTTGTCGTAGTCCGTCTCGGAAGGGTTGAAAACCATGGCCGTCCAAATACGGCAAAGCCTGTATTTGGATAGCAAATAGGCGCGCTGAACTGCCGTGATAGACATTGGTTGACAAGTTGATTTCGCTTCAAGATTGTTGAATACGGTGTACCAGACATTGAGCAGATGGCTTAGTCTTCTTTGCTCTTCCAGAAGATCTGGACCAGGCTGCTCGAGTTGCTGACCGCCAACGCGGTAGCCAGCGCCACGGCGCACAAGTTGAAACGAACGATTGAAAACGTTGTCCATAGTCTCTTCCGCTTCCTTAAGAGTTGAGAAGAAGACTGGTGTCTTTCTCAACATGTCATGCTGGCCAGGAAACTCAGATCTATCGCCGAAGAAGTGGTGCAAGGTCTGTAGCCGGTGGAATTGCGGCCTCAGCCACTCGGAGACCCAGGATGTGTCTTGCGGATCAAATAAATCAAGAATAGCGTTTCCGTGTCGGTAATGTCGAAGAGCAGCGTCTCTGTCTAACTGCAACAACTCAATGCAGATGAAGAGGACACAAATCAACAGAACCAGCCCCTGATCTGTGATATTTATGAGTTCCTTAATCGCCGCATTGTAGTGCATCAGGGCCAGACTATTAAGATGAAGCGGTTTGACTTTCGAAGAAGTCCCATTGGTTCTGGCTTTGCTGATATCTTCGTAGAGTGAGCTGATCGCAATGAGGGAATGCCTGACCGCCGGCTCGCACATACTTGATTGAAACACAAGATGCGTCCAAAAGTACGGATCTGTTGGCCCCGATAAGTTCGGTCCGACCATCTCAGAGAAGAACTGAATTGTGCGGTTCTCGACTTGCATTCTGTTATCTGGAAACATGTGGATAGGCTGGAGGTGTTGCCGTCGAAGCTCGTTCCTTGGCACAGCATACCCGCCACATGGGCGTCCACTGGTAGCGCACCTCAGACAGTTTGGCTTTCTTTCATCACATTTGATCTTTCGAAATCTGCGTACGACTCTTAGCGTATGGAATGACAAGACCGCCGATACTTACTTGCACGTCAAACACCCAGTCCTTACTTTCTGACTTCCTTTTCGTGCCATCAATCATGTATTGTTCTTTCTCAGTAACCCCAACCGTTGTTGGCGCCTACGCTTGGAATTCGAAGGTACGCACTGCGGCTATTAACCTTCCTGGTGCAAACAATATTTAAAATGGAAGAAAGGGGTGGAAATCACTGTGGCAAACCTTGCCGACTCCTCGCCGAACCCAACAAAGCATTGCTTACGGCGATCAACGTCATCCAACCTAGCTGCAGCATGACCCCTCAGGCCCCGTCCGTCTGACATGAAGGGCACAGGGAAAGATTCCGATGTGGGGCTTCGGGATCACTATCTCCTGTTGTGTAGCCTGACTGCTACCACCTGATACAAAGCTCCCCCAGGGAAGGATTTTCTCTCCTCGGATCAGTAGGAACGCCAGCAGGCAATTTTCGGGATCATCTTTGGATATTTGGCATTATGATAGTGTTGAAGCTATCAAACAACAGCAGAAAATCTTGATCAAACGGTAGTGCCATCATGATACCTGGCAGTATCATGATGGCCAACCATTATCGTCGTGATATGCCGCACGACCAATCGCATCAGTTGCACAGCAATGAAATTGACGAAGTGTTGCCCAATTCTTGACTGAACATTGCGGAAGGACCCTTCAGTTATCACAGCCTTTATGAACATGAGCCGTCATCTCTAATATTTCTTGCACATCGCCAGGTACAACAAACTCCTCCTCTGATGGCATCAATCCCAATTCGGCCAGCTCTCTATCCGAAATTTCCGGATTCTCGTCCAAGACTCTCTTCAACTCCCTGGCACGATCAGTGACATCTTCGACCCCCAAGATTCCATCCTTGACCCAAGACTTGCAAATTCCCACAGGGATTCCGACTTGAATGCTTCGATATGGCAGCTTATCCAGTCGCACCGTGCGTTCTGGATCCCATTGGATCCGAACCTTCTCACCGTCCTGCGCAACTGCAGCGTGTGATAACGTTCCTTTTCGAAGGAGTCCGATGAAGTATTCGCGTGGCATCTTCAAAGCCAGGATGCGTTCTTGGCCAGGGTCTTTGTAAGAGTATCCAGCACGATAGAGCATCCAAGTCCAGCTGGGCTTGATCCAGGTCATTCTGGTGAGCTTGAAGCTTGGCGACGCATCCAGTCGCTGAGTCTGACAGCAGCCGCTGCAATAGATGAACTATAGGCTTGGTAGACTGTGATATTCTGGTCATCGTGGTGAGCCCGAGTTTGACGGTAAGGTAGGTTAGCGCTACGGCTATCATGGCCAGGTTTTGTGATTGAAGTCATAGTTTGCCGCTTGAAGTTGTTCTCAAAGGGTTTTGTGATGAGGTAGCCTTTCTCAAATCATTGAAAGTAAGTTGCAGGGTTATTTGAGTCTTGATGTAGTCCAGCAACATGAGTAAGTAATCAAGACCACGCGTTTCGGCAAATGAGTCACGCCGGTAGTCACTAGCGCCTGCCTTTCATGCAACGGGCCGGTGTACTTAGCCATTAATGAAGGGGCTTGAGAGTCATAGAACTTTGAAATTTCATTTTAAATGCTTTTATATGTCTTCTTTCTCCTTCTCCTCACATATTCATCTTACGATATCCATGCTTTGAGGCACTCTTGGACCAACACTCTCGGCTGATGGCATCGAAGCTAGACTACGAGAAGGGTAGCCGTTCTCCTCAGATGGTGACTCGACCTCCACGAAGACGCGAGTGACAGTCTCCATCTGAATGCCCTTGAGTCCCGCCAGATCACGCTTATGTAGCGACGTCATGCTCTCACTCCGGTCATGACTCCCCGCAGACCCCCGTCTTGGACACCGCGACGGCTTGCGGAATACGCCATTCTTCCTTTCGTTCTGTTTCTTTTTAGATCCCGACGTGATCCACACCCTGTGTCCAAATTGTTGACCGAGAGGCGTCAGGTTGAATGTTTCGATTCCAAGGTTTTGGTCGTCAGGAGATGTATGGAAGAGGATGGCTCGTCGGGTGGTCGAGAAGAGAATGACGTCGAGCCAACCATTGGAGGTGATCATGGCTCCAGCGAAGCAAAGATACTCCGGAGAGAGTTTGACACCGCGGGTTCCCATCATGCGGCCAATTGCCAACGGCGTCGTACAAACGAGAAAAATCAGGGGGTATAGTAAGAAGAGGACGCGCTTGTGGACTTCCGACTTCACGCCCTCGGACGTTCGCGGGGCAACGCCCGTAGGACTGAGGACGCTGTTGTTGGAGCTGCTTTCTTCGCCGGACTTCTTCGACAGTTTGAGTGCCTTTGCCCTTCGGTAAAAGTGCACGAAAACAAGAACCCAGGAAACAGTTCCGACAACTTGCAGGATGACCATCCAGAGATAATGAAGATAGAAACGCATGGGCTCGTATGCAGAACTGATCCAACACTATTTGTGCATCGTTAGCCAACGGTTATGCTGTCGGGGATACGAACAAGTAACTTACCCAAGCAGTATCACGAACGTAGAAGCCACCCACCCCCTTTCCATTGTTCGTGATGATAACGCCCAAAACCGACAAGAACAAAACGGCAAACCATAAAAAGGAAATAACAGCATAGAAAACTTTTGTCGGGACTTTGCGCCCCAAAATGAGAGTGATGTAGGTGTGAACAGCGATGGCCGTCAGGAACGTGAGGGATGACAGATCACCCGTCGAGATGAACCACCCTTGGGCCCAGCATGCCGGCGACTCGTCCGTGATCCGGTCCTCTATGACCCAGACGATGTTCAGAAAGAAGGCGCAGGCTTGCAGCACGTCCGCAAAGAGAACGTTGATGACAAGAACGAGGGCCTGGTTCGGTGCTTTCCTTCCCTGGTCCGCCGTTCCGAAGTACTGTGCGCCAACCTCGCAGGGAAGAGCACCCCTTGTTCCGTTCTCCGCCTCTCTCCGCGGATTCTTCGGATTCGACCTGAAGTACCAGGCTACCAACCTCCCGCTGAGATAGACGAACAGAGCAAACGACGATACAAGCGAGAGAAAGGCGAGGGCGGTGACGGCCCTGAGTCCGTGCTGGAGCACAGTCGGTAATGGTGCGAGAGTTGGGTTGCGGCTGTACATGGTCGAACAGCTGATGTGTTGAGTGGTATCGGTATTAGATTATCGTGAGGTCGTGCCCGCCGACTCGGTCCATGAGAAATCCTTCCTCCACGCAAGTCCGTATTGTAAAAAGAGTGTTTAGGTGAGCATTCTGCTTCACGATGCAAGTCTTGGACGAAGGAGATGTTTTACTAATAGCCGCGAGCGGCAAACATCTAATAAGCGATGTCCGCTCGATGTCCGCGGGGTAGGATTGGGCATGTCTGACAGGGAGAGCCCAACGGGCGCAGCTAGTTTGTACGGCGGCATGGCGTACGGGATACCGGGAAATCCATGCCAATCATCATCATTCAAGCTCAAAAAGTGGCAGGTCGGCAGTGCTAGTGGTTCCTAAGCCTCCCCATGTCCCAGATGCGCCGAACTCAAAAACGGCCCAGAGATGAGGGCATTGAGAGATGCCAAGACACAGACCCTGCCAAGAATTCACAAAATTCGTGCTTGGGAGCCGGTTCCGCCAGGGATTCGGATCGTTCGGCGTCGGGCGACTAGCCGGATGTGTGCAATTAGCCCTCTAGGGGGTCCGATTTCACCTTCGGCATTGTGCCTGCGGACCAGCCTACCCCAGCTGCCGGTGCGCGCGGCGGTGTGTGGGGGCCAGAGGAAACATGAAGATGCAGACGTTTGACACTCTGCCGTTGGTCACTGTGGTTGTTTCGATGCTACATCGCTTCAAAAGACTTTCCAAAATCGGTGGACGAAGGCAGCGGATGGTCCCAAGCGATCCAATGTGATGGGAAAAGGGGGTCTCGAGGGAGAAAAAAGTCCATAGTCCGAGGGGCCACGCGATGAAATAAAGTTTGATTAGTGGAGCGGACCGTTGTAGAAACCTAGTTCGCGAGAACAAGTGGCCTTGGTGGAGAGAACAGCCGATTTACGGCTCTGTTTAGTAGGATTTCGCCGACATTTGAAACGAGCCTCAGAAGAAATGCTGCCCTTTGTTTAGTTAGTCGTCGTATTTTGCGGAGGGCGAACGGACTTTCGGACAATAAGGTTTCCATCATGGAGGGTTTTGCCTGCTGAAAGTTATTGACATGTTTACTGGAACTCGTGATATCCTTACAAATTGCTCAGATTCCAGAACAATGGTAGACTGCGGCAAGGATCGTCACGTCATTGTCACTGAGCTTGGTGGAGTGCGGTTACTTCTTGTCTCCGCGTGGGGGAAGTTTTCTCCCTCTTGAAAAGGAACAAAACAGCGCCCTCACGAGTCAGCCACCATCGCCTTATGTAGAGAATCGGGCAGAACGACTCCCATTGTCTGCGGCAACCACATGGCAAGCAGGGGTTATCCAGTTATCATCGAACCGACGTTCATCTCATGAATTTTGCGATTTAGCCGCCAGACTTTTACAATCTCACGCAATACGTCGTATATCGTTCATTAACTTTCAGATAGGGCTACTAGTTTCTTCTTCTTGGCGGCGTGAATTGACTGAAACTTGACTATCTACAAAATCTGTGGCCGGCATGTGGGCGCCTGACAGAGAAAGGGCGACTCAAAAAGTAGCAGTCAATGTGCCCTGCGAAGCTGGGAAAATTACCTTCATCAACCCGAAAGCGATATCAGACATCGACAGCCTGAAAGAAGGCTAGTTAGCTTTCATCGCGGCGAAGTCGAGCCCAAGGGATGCGGAAAGCGATCCTTTCGAGAGGGCTGTGAGTGGCAAGGTTTCCACAGGCAACCCTGGCCGGTCACGAGGGTACGATTAACGGCTATCTCCGTGCGTGTGAGATGACAACCCTGGAGAGAATTGCAAGAACAAAAGTTTTGAGTTTCAAAGCGCCTATTTCCATCGTCAGCACCTTATGCTTCTGTACTGGTTTGAGATTGGCGAGATGGTGAAAGTCATGTAGCGAGATTGACAAATTGCGGGCACAGACGCCGGCGCCGGCGCAGAAGCTCCTTGATGAGGGATGACAGCACATTTGCATGCATACGTGTTCCGTCATGCGTATGCAGTTATAAAGACAGGAGTTGGGTGGCAACAAGTCGAATCTCAATCAAATAGAGTTTCCGTTCGAAGTCCGCCGGACGTGGGAGTCGGTGGGACTCACCAGCCCCCTGGTTGACATTGGCTAAGCTTCATGAGAGGGGGCTGTCAGCCAGCGTCCGACCCGGCCTCGGAGCCGCCTCCGACAATTCATTCGGTCGCTGCGGGAGGAGTGTTCGCATGCAATCGATTTACGAGTAAGATTTCAGATCTACTACAAGTTTAATTCACACCTCAATGGTATCCAACGTAGAGCATCCATATTATGACTAATATTCAATTTTTTTTAATTGCAGCAGCTATAATCGGGCTTCCGAGATATATCTGATGAATTTGCTTCGCGAAAACAATCGCTTCGATTTGAGGTGGAAGATATTTACTGGAGTCCCCAGCCCATGGTCGGAGGCTTCAGCTGGATCCTTTTGTGGACATCAATTTTCCGAAAACGATTCCGCCATATTTGCTGCTAAAATCTGCAATCACATTCAATCCGGAAAAAGATCACCGTCAGGTGCAGTTGTGATAATCTTTTAACATCCATAGCACGTGGTGAACCACGCCGGGAAAACTATCGGGCATGATAAATCGCGGAGTCCGCAAGACAATCCGAGGCCCATGACAAACGTAATTGAACCAACTGAAAGAAGAACCTAGCCAGGGGGAGAGCTATCACGTGGATTTCTTTATGGAGATCGCAAAACCAGGGCAAATTGTTCTATGTAGTCCGCAAAACAGCGACGGGCATCTGTGGGACATCTTGGCCTTGTTTGCCTGTTGAACGGAGAGTGATTCCGTGCGCAGTTTGTTGAAAGCCAAGTTGCATGAGGGGAATCGGCCCATTGTGTTACAGGCCTGGAGTTGAAAACGCCCAATACCTATATGGTATGTACCACACGCAAGAAAGGGAGGCATCAGACATGTCCTGGACGGATGCAGGGTATCACCAACTGCAACACGGCCAGGAAACGGCAGGCTGAAAGTGTCCACAAACCCCGGAACCGAAAACGTTCGTCCCGTGCGAGTCTTGGAGTTTTCTCATCCGAGGACAACAGCTGTTGCACGGGGCAATCTCGCAGCATGGCGATGGCGTCTCCTTCAAGGCCCTCTCCTCTGTCTCCCGCCTCCTTCTCCCTTTGAAAAATGGGAAGCACCAGCAAACTCTGTTAACAAACAGTCAAAACGAGAGAAACACGAGATTCCCAGATGGTGCTCTCAACATATAAATGCATTCTGTTTCATCGCCGTTTCTTGACTGAACGAATCATCACCTTCATCACACAATCCGCATACTTAGCGGTCATTGAATCCATCCTTCTTGGGTCTCTTAGTCACAACAACGATCTCTGAGTTTTTCTCGTCCGCGGCAATCCACTCGTTCCAACCTGGCGTTCCCATACCACCTTGTCCTTTAACTCAGTGCAATGAAGTTCTTCACCATTCTCACCGCCGGTGCCGTCGCCATCTCCAGTCTGATCGGCAGCGCCTCAGCCGAAGCCGGATGCTCAATGTCTCAAAATGCGGCAACGAGGTTCTGGGAGATCAAGATGAGCGATGTCGATGACCCTCCGGCTGTGTGCCACCTGCTGTGGGAGAACCTGAAGCGCTGGCCTGGTTGCACCGTTCAGAAGCCAAACGGCTGCGGCGCACCATTCGGAGGAAACGAGGTTTATATGTACTTCGCCACGACGATAGTCTGCTCCAGTGGCATGATCAAGTCTTCATACTGGCATGCTACGCACAACAGATACGGCGCCATCAACAGCTGTTGAAACGGCGAACAACATACACAGGCGGCATCATTCGAGACAAAGGGGGGCACATTAGGATTTTGAAACCGGATCTTCATCACATTTGTTGACAAGGCAGCAAATATGCAAAAGCTATCAGTGACGAGGGTGGATATAAATGGGATTGGAACCACAATTTACATTCTCCTTGATTAATGTTGGGTAAATAAAGGGCTTCCATGGCCGTTTTAGTATCATATCTTGAACCTTTGTGGACATACTTTTTCTCTGACAATTTGATTGAATCGTATGCTTGCGCCTCTTGATGCTTCGAAGATCCTCAAATCCATCCCTCAGCAATGATTTATCGCTGAGTGCCTCAACCTCGACTTCCGGAAATCCTAATTGGGCAGGAAACATCCGAAAATACAACGTGAGTAAGAAGTCCACCGACAAGTTTAGGTCTGATGCTCGGGCCATTGCGCGAAATCTGAGCTCAAGTCCCCTAGATTATACCATCCACAGACATCCTCCATGGACCCAAGATAAGAGAGTATACCATTCTCATTGCTCGAGCCGCTGTGTCCGAAACCTGTAGTAGCCGTCTCGCCTGACTGACTAGTCGCATCGTTCGAAGTCTGCGTGCCATCGCTACTCGTAGTCTTCCTTTTCAAACCGAGAACATGGCGGGCAATTGTCTGTATCTCCAACACGTTCTTAGCGGTCCTTGGCCAAAATTCACCCAGAGCTTTCAGGCATCCAATCGTCAGTCGAATTTGGTCTCTCGCGGTTGCTAGCTGCTTGCCCTGCAATAAGAAGTTGCAAGCTGAAAGGAGCGCAAGTGTACCCTCGCTGACCATGCAGGTCGTGAAAGGGGTGTGATGGAATGGTCTAGATGGCAAAGCCAGCAGACGGATTTGCGACTCGACTGCTCGCAGTACCCTTACAGTGTGCACGTTAATCAAGTCTGACGACGGGTTATCGACAGGTGGCTCTCGGGCACAGCTTGACACGTCCTCCACAGGGTTGAACCTCAGGTCAGATAGAGGCCTATGAAGGCCAATGCTCGCTCTACATCTGATGTTAGTGGACCATTGCGATCAAGGCGTAGAAGAGTATCTTACACTCCGATGAGAAGATTTGCTTGAAACATGAGCTCATCAATCTGTCCTGTTTTTGACATGACATTTCTACGCTCCTTCGGAAGGAGCAGAGACCATCCGTCGATGGTTGAGTCGGCTGAATGAATCACTTGTGCGGAGTCTTCCTTTGAGGCGACCTTGGGCACGGTAGATATCGCCAACGCCGCACAACGCACAGCGCTGATGAGGTACGCGAAAGATGAGAAAGTAACAGTCTCAGGAGAGAACTCTCTGGAGTCGAAGTCTTCCAAAGTCTTTGGTGGAGGGATGGCCTAATACGAGTTAGCTTTTCGCCGGGCACGCTTTGCTGGGTGACCGCATTTGCTGACCTCTGATTCGTATTCTCTCTCCTCACAAGGAAGCTCGACCGTGGCCTCGATGTTCCCGACTCTAAAGTTCATGGTTCCCAAGGTCCCAGCATAGTATGCATCAATAATGAAAAGCATCCACCAAGTCCGTCTCCACGACTCCTCAAGAACTGGTTCGCCGGCATTATACTGCCCTGAGAAGTCAGATTTGTGCATCCCAAGACGTTCCGCAACCTCTGTGGCGCAGTCCATATGGTGTTTCGCTTCATCTTTGAAGTTACTCCAAAACAAGGCAATGGAATAAAGCAAAAGATACTGAACCAGTACTGGGTTGTCTGGGGATAATTGCAGTAAACCTTCTTCCGCCTGGTCCTTGAGTGAGATAGACCATTCTTGCGTGACATAGATGTTGCCGATTAGACGCATCACTGCTATTAGTGGGCCGAAGTTGAGCATTGAAGGAGGGTCCTTGACAAGTCGAAGGAAGGCGGCTCGTGGTAGCAGAAATGGATGCAGGTTGTGAAAGCTCTTGTAGTAAGACTTGATCAAAGGGTCCGTTTCAATGTCTCCAGCATGGCTATGAGGCGATGATCTTGAAATCGACTGCGCCGACTCATTTCCGAGAGTTGCCCCGTCAAGTAAATTGAAGTCGTCCAACAATTCCCAGCCTTGTACTTGGGTTGGAACACCTCCCGATTGATGTTGGCCAAGTTGCTCTGAGCGAGGTGTCGAGGTTCCATTCGAATCAGACTCAGGGACTTCGGCGGCAAGCCTTTTGCGTCTCTCCGCCAAGGCCGCCCGGTCTAACCCTCCTCTTCGCGATGGAGCAAAGTCGCATTGCTTCTCGAACTCAATACATCTGCTGCATTGGGGCCGCTTGCCGTCGCATTTCAAGTGCTTTGATCGACACGGCAAACATGCGAGAGAGGATCGCGTCCCTCCCCTCGTCTGGCGCGTCGGAGTGTTGGTCGAATCCATGGCATGATTCGTGGTAGAGCCCATGTCGAACTCCAGCAATTGATGCGTTTGGCGCAAGAGATCAGCGGGGACGCGGGTATCCGGGTATCCGGGTACTGGATCCGGCATAGCGGCGCGGGTGTTCAACAAGAGCCCGTGATGATGACAAAGGGACCCGAGTAGCCGCTTATTACATAGCACTATGTGTGGCACAGCTCAGAGCCCAATAGAACCACCGGATTAAGCACTAGGAACTGCCAGTGACCTTTGCCTCTGAAATTTGAGGGTCCTTTAGGATATCCGGATATCTCAAGAAAATATAAAAGTTGAACACGGAATGCAATAGCGTCAGCTGTTTTTAGCTAACCAACGTTATCTTATGCCTAACATATATTGACTACTCAAACCTCTTTATCATGTCGGCCTCAGTTGTGATCATTGGAGCTGGATTTGCAGGAGTGTGGAGTGCCCTCTCAGCAACTCGTCTCATCAACCTCAAAAACAAGACCGACCAAGTCAAAGTTGTTGTCATTGCGCCGGAGCCAACATTGGTGATCAGGCCAAGACTTTATGAGAGCAATGCCGCCAGCATGTCTCATCCATTGATGACACTCTTCCAGTCTGCTGGTATCGACTTTGTCCAGGGCACTGCCGAATCGATTGACGGCATCCGACAAAGTGTGCAGGTTCATACGCCGACGGGGAAAGACATCACAGTCAAATACAGCCAAATCATCATCGCGACTGGAAGTCGCCTTAATAAGCCTCAAAGTGTTACCGGACTTGAACAGCATGCATTCGATATCGACACGCTAGATGCTGCTGCCAGATTGGAGCGTCATCTCGAAAGCCTCGCATCATACCAACAGAGCGCAGCCCGCGACACCATTGTCGTCTGCGGGGCCGGCTTCACGGGCATCGAGCTCGCAACGGAGCTTCCAAAGCGCCTTAGCCACATTGAAAAGCCACGTATCGTTCTAGTGGATAGTGCCAAAGAAGTTGGCCCGGAACTCGGACCCGGACTTCGTCCAATCATTCTACAAGCCCTGGAAGAGCTACACATTGAGACCAAACTTGGATCTGCCGTCTCAGCAGTTGACCAGGAGGGAGTAATCCTTGCCTCCGGCGAGCGCATCCCGACAAAGACAGCGGTCTGGACTGCCGGAATGAGAGCATCCCCTCCTGCGCAGCAGATAGAGGGACCCAAAGACTCTCTCGGTCGCTTGCATGTCGACATGTATCTTCAGACCTCGAAGAACAAGGATATCTTTGCAACAGGTGACGCTGCCTATGTCATCGCAGATCCGAGTGGTCACCATGCGCTCATGTCCTGTCAGCATGCACTCCAACTTGGTCGCGTGTCTGGGCATAACGCTGCCGCAGCGCTACTTGAAGAACCTATGATGGAGTATTCGCAGGCTGCATACAACTGCTGTCTCGACCTAGGTTCATGGGGGGCAGTCATTGGCGAGGGATGGGAAAGAAAGGTCAAACTGCACGGAGACCTCGCGAAGCGGATCAAAACGTACATAAACCAGGCGCTGATTTATCCTCCCGTGGACGCGAAAGAGGCGCTCACTATGGCTAGCCCTCTAGGCCAAGATTCGGATGAGTTGTTCAAGAACCTGCTGGAGATTGTGTCCTCAGAGGGGCAAAATTAGGGGTAACATGGAGAAATGGAAAGGCTCAGTAACGAGGATGATATTGCTACCGTGTAATGCATTTCAAAGTATAGAGCATGAAGTACTTTCTGGTTTTGGTTTCTTAGCGTCGCGAAAGCATCGTTTGAGCTTGAGACTCAGGAGTGGCATGCAGTTCCCTAAACTGTCCATAACCACCATGCAAATGTTCTAACTATCTTCCATGTCAGCGCCAAGAGCATCTCCCAAATTACTAGCCAAGCTCTCTGATACCTTGAGAGATATTTAGCTTCTACATATGACGTCAGGAAGGACCGTCCAGTCCAAAAATCAGTCTTCATTGCCCGCCGGGATTGGCTCAGCCGACAGTGACATGCGCCCCAATGATTCAGTGCTGGGTACCTGCCCCGCCCCCACCAAGAATCCCCTCTCGGACGACAGCACACCGACGCGGAGCGGAGCGGCCGATGCCACGTCTCAACCCAGCTCACTCATTAAAGCGACGAACTTTCATGATTTGACAAATATTGTAGGGCCTTTCCTGTCACAGTAACTCAACCCAAGTCATATCACAACCAACGCCAACATGTCTATGTCCAACGATGACTGCCAGAAGACCCGCGAGGGCTTCCCCAGGCCTTTTCCCAACACACCCTCCAACGTTCTGGAACAGCTCAAAGTCACGGGCAAGGTAATTGTCGTTACAGGCGCCGCGGATGGTATTGGATATGCCGTTTCCGAGGCGATGGCTGAAGCCGGAGGCAATGTTGCGTTGTGGTACAACTCGTAAGTTTTCTGGCCAGTTGATCAACCGGAATTACGGTGTTAATATTTTGATAGAAATGATGCAGCGGTTCAGAAGTCGAAAGATCTCGCGAGCACTCATAATGTGAAGACATCAGCATACAAGGTCGACGGTAAGCAGATCTGACAAAACTAGAACCATAGACCCCGTTGCTGACTATGCCCTCTCAGTTTCGGATTCCAACCAGGTCCAAGAAACCATCGCCAAAGTTCTGCAAGATTTTGGCAAGATCGATGTTTTCATCGCAAATGCTGGTGAGTTGACCATTGATGCAGTGATACCAGCGTCGAAAGAAAACTTACACCGTGTTAGGAATGGCCATCTCCAAGCCTATCCTCGAACAGACTCTCGATGAGTACAGGAAACAGATGTCGGTCAACGGTAGGTTGCTGCAGATCTCTAAATAGGGTTTCTCGGTGAGAGTATCGCTAAGATTTGATAGTTGACGGAATCGTGTACTGCTCAAAGTATGCCGGTGAAGTCTTCCACCGCCAGGGCTTCGGCAACCTCATCATCACATCCAGCATGAGCGGCCACATCGTCAACGTGCCCGTCGATCAGCCCGTGTACAACGCCACCAAGGCGTACGTGACGCATTTCGGAAAGTCTCTTGCCCGCGAATGGCGCGAGTTTGCGAGGGTCAACATTGTCTCCCCGGGTTTCTTCGACACTAAGATGGGCGCTGGTCCGTTGGCGCTGCAAGAAGCCTACCGCATGGCGGCGTTGGGAAGACAAGGCCACACGAAGGAGATCAAGGGCCTGTATCTGTACTTGGCTAGTGACGCGTCCACGTACATGACAGGTAGCGATGTCATCATTGACGGAGGTTATGTTTTGCCCTAAGAAAGCAACATGGGAATAGATGCTAATAGACTTGGACAAGGAATATGGAATAGAAATTAGAACGAAGATGCGATGATTTGGCAGTGGCGAATCTCAGTGACGATATCTGACGTTTTTACTGTTACACTATCTGAACTTTTGTTTTCCTACGCCATGCCACCAGTGAGTTAAAATGAATGATATAGGTAGCTACAACAACTATGTTCCCGAGCGTACTTAGAATGGCTTTTTTCGGTTAACTCTACGTAGTCCAGTCACCTAGTAGGAGGTCCAGCGGCATGTTGTCCATAAAGTCAAGTGAGGCCTCGTTCAGCAACATCCGGAGGCTCGGGTCAGCCGTATCATCGCCAAACACAGGTTGACTTTCCCCGTAAAACGCAAAGTCGTTCTCGCTGGGCAGCTCCATAAAATCGTGAGCAGGAGGCATGATACTGCTCTCGGGGTATGTTGTCGTGATATCTTGGCCCAGGCTAGACACCTGGAAGCAAGTTGGATCCAGCTCCAAATCAAGCTGTGGTAGAAACTGAAACTGGCTGTGGATGCGATCCAACATCTCCAGGCAGCGCTTCGCTGATCTGCTCTTCTGCTCCAGCGTTTTGAGACAAGCGCGCGCCTTCGACACGGAATGCTGCCAAGCCAGCCTGTCCTCTTCCGGCCGACTAGTTTCGGTGAGATAATTGGCTTCCAGGACCAACGTGGCCTGGAATAAGAAATACGTCGCGTACCAAATGAGGCCCTGGTGTAGACAGGCTTCATTGGCCATGCAGAAGGTGGCGATATCATGAATGCTTTGCATGGCAACTTCAAGACACTTTTCTTCTGCGTTGGTCTTGGTTGGAAGGTAGCTGTGGTACTTCTGGCTGCCGCGCCATAGAAGAATGCGAAGATTCTGTTCTTTCCAGAGGACAACAGATCGTGGTGCCCTAAACCAATTTGGGCAGTCTGTGGTGAGGAAGTACCCGGGTAGGTTTTGTCGCCAGCGATTGAGGTCCCGTTCCATGGTCTCTGCCACACGGTACTCGACCTTCGTACTTGCCGTCTTTGCTAAGAGGAATTCATGGTAGACAGCATCGGCAATTTTCGCCAGTTGAGCTTGGCATATTACCGCTGAATACGTAGTCGGATAGTTGACCGGAGGTGGTACGGGTGCCTTGAACGACAACTCCTATTGCATTGGATAATGAGCATTTGGAGTCACATTTGACGTAATGCTATCGACTCTTACCTTGTCATCAATGTTGCGTGGAATTCGAGTGTCGATGAAATCATCCGACATCGTCGGTGGTCGTCCCGTTGTAATGTTGAAGCCGCTCTCGAAGCAGTATACCGTCCAAAACAGCTGTCTCCGGCGTTCATGGCCGAGGGTGTCTTCGGGTCCCGGAGGTTCGCGGTGCAGGCCCAACCCCAATGCCATTCGATATGCCAACCCGATGAAGTTGTAGCCCGTGTTGGTCCGGTCTCTCTTCTGGAGGTAATTTCCCATCAGGAGAAATGCCTGCACTGTCTCAATCGTGCCTGACTCCAGCATCTGAAGCGACAAATTTGATCTCGCTGCACTGTAGTGTCCGGATTGTAGATGCTCTGTTTCGGTACTTGATAACCAGTGTCCGATGGCTAGCACCATGTGATAGACGACACGCCATGGTGATTGAATGAGGCGCTGCCGGTGTCCTGCATTCACTCGTTCTCGGAAGGTCTTCTCATGCAATATGGGGTAGCAGTTATTGTAGAGAAGGAAGTAGGCGTCAATTAAGCGGCTTGCGACGTATGATACTGGTAGGTCTAAAGGTTCTGGAGGTGGGAGTCCGGCAGAACTTGATGATTGTCTGCGACGTTTACGTGATGTCGGTGGGTTGGGCCTTGGTGTGCTTGATACGCGTATGACCGAGTCGATCTCGCCTAGCAGTTGCGACCCAGAACTGCTTCCTGTCACATAATCCTTTGATCAGCAACCGGGACAATCAGTAGAACGATGAAAGTTGTCTTTCGTACCGAGGTATCCAGAGTCGTGACTCGAAAGCATGGCCATGCCATCGTTGTCATGAGTTGAAGACTTATATTCCGGCGACAGAGATCCCTCGTGCCATTCGTAGCTGTGCGGGGTTACTTCGTCGGATTCTTCCGGAGTGTTGGAGCTATCGTCATTTTCCAGCCGTTGATTTCCGGGCTGATTCAATGCCGATTCGATATCGAGATCCGGATTAAGCGATCGCAGCAGATTCTGGAGCTGTGTGCACCGAAGTTCGGCTGCGTCCAGGTTCTTCCGGGTCAGAGGGGTCCGATCGGGTGGGCTCTCGAAGCTGCATGTCTTTCCGGTCTTGGAGCAATAAGAACAAGGGTCATTTGGTGCGCTGCCTCTCATACACCTGCTCTTCCTCTTTTGACAGTTGACACAAGCCCGGACTGTCACGGTGGTCGGGCATTTTGACTGAGGTGGACCTGATGATTGCATCGTTGTGCATGTTCACGCAGCCACGAAGATATAGGACCCTGCACAACGCAAAGTTTACGTGCTGCCAGTCGTAGAGCAATTCAAGGTCTCATAGTTCCCGGTAACACTCCTAGATCATCTATCCCGATGTTCATGCCTCCACAGTGTCTCGGCCCACTGATGATCGTGATCAAGCCACAACATGTGATGCTACCCCTCAGAACTCCATGACTGTCGGAGCACAGTCGACCGACGCCTAGGTAAGCGAAAGCAAGGGTTTTTCGGACTTCGTCGGAGATAAGAGGACAGCCCATGCCACAGCTCTACGCACCTGTGCCACAGATGGAAGGTACCCAAGTCACCTGCATAGACGCGGTATTGACGAGACGAAGCTTATTATCAATATTTGTCAAAGAAATTGTAACTTGTATGTCATATAATTATCGGATAAACGGGAACAGCAAGCGATCTGTTCGTCAATGCCACGCAGGCCAGTTGGCGATTGCGAGGTTTAGCCACCAGACGTAACAGTCCACACAGGTGTTCCTCTTCGCGATCCGGAGGATCATGAGAGTAAGACTGAATTCAAATAGACGGCTGACAACGCCAAATGAATGAAGCTTCCCTCAAGAAAAGATGCAAGTATTTGAAAGCTTCCACCGAGTTCCTTCTGGGAAGCGGAATCAAACAGGTCCCATGGTCTTGTCATCTTAACGATCCTTAGTCAGGGGCGGTTCCGGGCCGGCGATCGGGTGTCATCGGCGGTCCGATGATGACCCACTACCAACCCCGACAAGCTTTTCTTTACCGCGCGCGCGGGTCGGCATCTTCAACTTTGGCCCTCCGGTGGGAGCAAAAGTGGACCAACAGGTATTTCCTGCTCTCGTTTTGGCAAGGTCGAAGCTCGACTCGTTGTCATTGGCAGGTCGGTCACATCCAGTCCCTGGCAGAACTAATATCAACGTCAAAGCGATATTTGTAAGCTTCAGGGGAATGACAACTCTGAATTGAATATTGCGATTCAGCATGGAAAGAGTCATGGGTTTTCCTGTGGCCAAAATGCCTAGTCAACAGCTAGCATTGTGTCACCCCTGTCACTCGGCAATGGCCTCGACGTACCTGACATACTCTAACTCATAGGAGAAAGACCCTCATGATCAAACCCAGAAACCACTTTTGACATCTCATAGGATTGTATAAATCAGTAGCCTTCCGTTTGATCTTGGACTTCTCCTCTTCTCGCACTTCACCCCAACTCGTCACGCCAACACGTGAACAAGCGGCTTCTTGACTTTACCCGACTTCAAGTAAACACGCCTCACCTCAGCAACCCATCATGCGTCTCATTTCTGTCGTCGTGAGCGTCGTTGCTCTTGCTAGTGCTTCCAAACTTGGCAGCTATCACTCCACAGCTGCAACCCTGCCCAACTGTCCTTCCCGCCCAGCTAGTCCAGCGGAGCAGCGGGCCATCTTTAACGATTTCGTCAACGACTTCTATGTGGAAAAGAACACCACAAAGGCCCTCTTGAATCATATGACGGAGGACTATATTCAGCATAACCCGAACGTCCTTTCCGGCAGGCAAAGCTCTGTCGACTTTCTCGCGACTCTCGTCACGCCTGACGGGGTCAACATGACTATCATCCACAACAACTTCGACAACAATACCGGCTACATTCACTACCGCCTGGACACACTTGGTGCTCCGGAGCCAACGGCGATTGTCGACATCTTCCGGTTTGATGGCACGTGTATCGTGGAGCATTGGGACGTTATCCAGGTCCGCCCTTCCAATGCCACAAATCCGCTGGCAATGTGGTAGAAATCTGGGACCGAACAGCTTCTATGGATGCAGCTAATTGCACAAATCATCTGGCGGAGTGGCGGAAGACGAAGGTTATGATGTAGGACAAATGGGGTTTTATTTTCTAAATCCTTTAGGCTCGAACCTGGACTCCCAGGCTTTCCAACGGTCATCATAGATTATAATTGAGCAGCATTACTCATTCATTTTAGTACAAATTCAGGTCTCACGACATTCATAGTACTTTGGGGTTGGAGAGTTGATTCCCCTGCTCTTCGGGGACAAATGTTGTATTGATAACAAATAGTGCCAAATCAAAAGCGCTACCAACGAACAATATCAGCATGCTGCCGCCCCGGCCGCTCCGGCACCTGCCGCAGAATTCGTGGTGACTTGTTGGTACCACAGCCAGAATCCTGTTAGAACGGCCGTCGCCTCCCATTCCTCGCTCAAAGTTCCTGTGAGTCCTGTCCCCATGAAGGCAAACCTGTAGCCCTTGGTCATACTCCAAGACATGTTGTGCGCCAAGACTGCCACAACCTCCTGTCCATCACTCGAAAATCCCAAGTCTGGATTCTTTGAGTGGCCTCCGATAGACTCAGGTCCCATCATACGAACAAGCTTCCAGCCTGATGAGTGTCCCGCCAGCTCCTTGATCTCATTTCCGTGCGATGTCCTCCATTGAAACTCCTCGACTCTTCCTTTCGGCGTTTTCATGTGGAAGGCTCGGACTTGGCTCTTCCTGAAGCCTGCATCTTCGGGCTTTTCAAGTTTGATATCCTCCCCGCTTCCAAACTCTCGATTCACGTTGATGGTGGAACGGTCGTGCCATCCCATCCCAGTTCTGCTTGCTGTAGCCATGACGGGTGCCCTGTCGCTGGGGCCATTATGAAGGCAAAGAGTTTGCTTGGTAGAAAACAGCTTGCCATCAAATGAAATGGCAAACATTTTCTCTTCGGCCGAAGGCCCCAGATAGTAAACTTGCTTCCACTTCCATTGATAGTAGCAATTCAAAGTCGGCGGAAATCTTGCGGTCGCCGCGACTAGCCGGGTATCTGATGCTGTGTTGTTGAATCTCGGTGTTTCGTAATCTGGCAATTCCGCGTTGTTGCCGGGGTATGGTGGGGGATCGCTGTAGCCGTCGGCCTCGGGAAGTTTGTCCTTCTCGTAATCCATGTTATTTTTGAGACTTGACGACAATGATTGTGATGTTTTATCGAAAAAACAGTTCTTTGACGAATGGGTTTGCAAAGCGTTCGAGAAATTTGATGCAGCAGCACTACGCATCGATTGCCAAGGCACTGCAGTGTCTTTTATATCGCAAACTGCAAGGGATGAAATCCTCCGACGGACGCAGCCTTACTATGAAGTTTGCGCCAATCGAACTTACAGGACGTTCATCGGATGGCCCGAATGATGTAAGGTACATATGGAACCTATCACTGAGCGTCGTTGCATTCAGCTCTCAGGGCGCAGCTTTTGCGGGACAAGCCTTGCGCTGCGCCTCCCTTTCCATAGCCGAATTAGGCAAAAACATGTACCGATCAACGCACTTCATCCACCAAAATTGGGGAAAGCCCAGGCATCAACATTAAAAATGGTCACGACTCACTAACTTGCTCGGCTACGTTAGGCCGTGCTTATTCCCGAATGAAGTCGAATTCGCTGGCGACACAGTTCACCGTGACGCGCATGTTCGCAGGACGACGCCTAGCACGTTCGGGCTTCAGTAACCTAACAAAATTTGATTGCAAGCTGAATGGGGCATTTCGCACTATTTCTTCAGCGATAAGTGGTAGGGATAACTCTAACACGCTGCAACTGCAGGACTCACCCCTTGGTGTTACATTTTTAGGACACGCTGAGGGGTAATCAAGCAGAAAGGATATCGTCTCAAAGCGAATTCACTAAATCATGGACGACTCAAGCATTTCGCAACCAAATCAGGGGATATTTGTTTGGAGGTGGAACGGCAGTGCGCCCGGCCTATTATGGGCCTCCGTGTGTCCGGCCTTCCGTCCCCCGTCCGGCAGCCTTGCCCCACTAGCATCATTCAAAAGTGGCGGAGACAGTCCGGCGTGTACTGTTTCCGCCGTGTGCAGATCAAAGCTTCTGTTTGAATATGTTGCTTTACTTGGCAGGGCCTTAAGGCTTCACGAAATTCTTGTCTGTATTTCCGTAGTTGAGTGTAATCTTGCAGGCGCTAAGCTACAACTTCTTGCCCTCTGCAAACACAGAAACGGCCTGCTGTAGCCCTTTGCCTGGTTCCATCTGGCAGGCTCAGACATCCTCCAGTTCCGTAAGTATGGGTTTATGTACCTAAAAGATTATGTTAGCTATGGAAAATGTAAACCTAATTTCGCATTGAAAGGGCTCTGAAAAGATCCGTTGAAAATGCTTTTCACACTGGCAGAGCTATTTACTCCCATCAATCGTACAGAATACTTTAGTGTCCTCCAGCTTACGACCCCAAAAGCTCTCGTATTGTGCATAACGGCAGAATGTCTGAAGCTCGTGGAAGCGTCCTCGGAAAGGTGCCGCCTTTGTCTCAAGCCAGGATCCGAATCCTTGACGGTTCGGCCGAGATCGGGTTTCCGACCCAGGGGCCAACATGGCCGGCAGATGTTGGCGAACATCAAAATACCCATCGCATGGCACCTATCACCGGGCTACCAACCCCCTTCCCCCCGCAAGGTGAACCTGGAAAGGCCATTCAATGAGCTCTAAGAAGTCAGAACAACATACTAGAAACCCCCAAGATTGTTTGCTGATGCGGTTGTCAACAAAATAGTAATGTCACATCACGCTTGCAATGACGCGCTTCCCTCTTCCCGTCAGGCCACAGCAGGATGATAATTCGATATGAGAAAAGTCACGCGACTGGGGTAATATAGGGCCTAGCATATCGGAGTGGGCAGGACCGACGGATCATGGGACGAACTCTACTGCCGAGGGCATCGTCAACTTCCCCAGGTCCTCGGAGCACAGTCGCCCGACGCGGTTCCAGGTCCACAGCGACGCCAACCTCCACTTTCCCCAGTTTCCCCGGCCAATATCGGGACTCCAGAGTGTGGTTGAACATTGTGGGGTGGTTTATGGAACGAATTCTCCGATGCGGACTTCTTTATTATGTGAGGATGTGCCCAGGTCTCCGCAGAAGATCTTGATCAGATGATTGGAACCATCCGACGATTCGACTTCATCCCATACCTGCAGGTCCTTTCGTCGTCTTTTGCATATGCTACCAACATTTACTCTTCCATGAGACGCGCATTAGTTGCGAAGCACTAAACATGGAGGTTTTATATGGCGAAGCCGGTATGTCGACAAACTACCTCCGACCTCGCCAAGGCAACGTTCTGAATTATTCCAGGCTACATGGGGCTCTTCCGACAGCCATATATCTTCTTTCTAGCATGCTTTGCTAGTATTGGGGGCGTCTTGTTCGGGTAGGTTGGCGCGTTTTCAAGATCTATACAACAGGCTTATGATGGTTCTAGGTATGATCAAGGCGTTATCAGTGGTGTCCTGGTCATGAATAACTTCGTACGTCCTGATCTTCCCCAAGTCACAAGTGTCCAGCGTAACAAACAAAAAGGGCAAACAATTTCCAACCTTAGCAAACGACGCCACTCTTCAAGGATGGATGATGGCTGTCTTGACCCTCGGAGCAATGGTCGGAGCCTTGGTCAACGGCCCGATTGCCGATGCTCTTTCCAGACGATGGACCATTCTCCTAGCGAACGTCATATTCCTCATCGGTTCGATCATACAAGCTGCAGCCATCAATGTTCCCATGATCTTTGTCGGCCGCTTCATTGCCGGCTTGTCCATCGGTCAGCTTTCGATGGTGGTTCCACTATACCTGAGTGAACTAGCTCCTCCCAACCTACGCGGTAGCCTTGTTGCGCTTCAGCAACTTGGTATCACCGTGGGCATCATGATTGCCTTCTGGCTGGATTGTACGTATGGGATAAACCAGACGTTCTAGCAAGCTAACGTGAAGCAGACGGAACCCAGCATATTGGCGGAACTGGAGACAGCCAGTCTCCCGTAGCGTGGCGTCTACCCCTGGCCCTCCAATGTGTTCCTTCACTAGTGCTGGCAGGAGGCACATTCTTCCTGCCCTACACCCCACGCTGGCTGTTAATGAAGGGCAAGTACTGTGTGGCTGTTGCTGTCAATGGAAACAGCTAATGATGTCCCTACAGATCGCGAGGAAGAAGCCTTAGCAACCCTGATCCGCGTCCGCCGTGTACCCTCCGATGATCCTCGTCTCAGACTTGAACTCCTTGAGATCATGGCAGCCGCTCAATTCGATCGCGAAACCACAAAGGCGATGTACCCGGGCGTCACTTCCCGCTTAAAACTCACCATCCAGCGATACAAGTCTCTATTCGTCGTGCGTCATCTCAATCGTCGCTTGCTTATTGCTGCGCTGCTCCAGATAATACAACAGTTTACTGGAATCAACGCCATCATCTACTACGCCCCGAAGATCTTCAAGAACATTGGACTGTCAGGTAACTCCGTTGATCTGCTTGCGACAGGCGTCGTGGGCGTGATCAACTTCTTCTCCACGATTCCAGCCATTATGTTCATGGATCGATGGGGCCGTAAGAAGATATTGATCATCGGCGGCGTCGGTATGGGTGTGTCCCAACTGATCGTTGGCACGCTGTACGCGGTCTACAAGGATTCTTGGGCGAGCAACAAGTCAGCCGGTTGGGCTGCCACGGTCTTCGTCTGGACTTACATCGCCAACTTTGCATTTAGTATTGGGTGCGTCAACTGGATTGTGCCATCCGAGATTTTCCCTCCTGGCGTCCGGTCCCAAGCAGTGGGCCTGGCCATAGGAACGAACTGGCTGAGCAACGTAAGTTCCCTTAACTAAAACGACATAGATTGACATCTGACGTCGGAATTCTAGTTCATTGTGGCTCTGATTACCCCAAGAATGCTTGAGGCGATCACTTTTGGCACCTTCTACTTCTTCCTTGGTAAGTCATGCAGCATCCGCTCTGGTCTTTATCATGAGCTAAGCCCTGTGCACAGCTTTCTGTATTCTTCTGATCGTCTGGGTATACTTCTTCGTCCCGGAAACCAAGGGCGTCCGCATTGAGGAGATGAACAAACTGTTTGGTGGCAACCAAGGAGAGGAGGATATGCGCCGTATGGAGGCAATCAGACAGGAGTTGGGTATTACTCCCAGGGGCAGTGGCCTTGCCAAGAAAGAAGCCGACGTCGGCGTCAGCGAGGTCGAAAAGGTATAGCTGAAAGTCATGAACGTCATCAGTGGATGAGACAGAAAAAGGTCTGGGAATCTTGTAGTCGACCACTTTTACGAGATTGCTGTTCTTTCTGATCCATCCTCAGTTGTGGTCATGCGCCGCTGCAACAGAGCCGTTCTCGTGAGCGGATGACTGATACCTGACAATTTTCTCTAGTGAAACATTCGGGATATGTGTAAGTCATCAATTAGGAGACTAGAATATGCCGATGACATTGAAAGATATGTCCAGCTTGACCAAGCTTGTCGTGGAGGAGAGAGAGGGTTCTTGGCGCGGGCGTTTGAGCCCAGGGCTTTGAATCCATCACGCTAGGTAGTCGACTTGGCGATCACGCCGGTCAGCATCAGGACAAGGTGTCTGGGGTATTTTGTCTTATCTTACCGTGATTATGATACTTCGTAGGTCCAAAAGAGGAAGGCCATCGAAACATATGATTTCTAACATTCCGTTAGACTAGCGGCCCACGTAGGATGTCTGGTGAATCCTTCGCCCTTCGGCAAGAACACTCACCTTCCAGATATTGATCTGGCCCGTTAGTCGGAAGGAAGGGCCAAGGTGAAGCCAACTTATATCGGCGTGCTATGCAGATATTGTACCACGAAGGATTCACGTCAATCCTTGTGTGTCTTGCTGCTTCGGTATCGCCCATGTTGAAGGAGGATGACAGGATTAAACCAGGCATTCGTATTGCGGTGACAAAATCGACCGAAGGAAGGATGACCACCATGTAAACTTGGTGACACACGATGCAGAGTTCAGCTATAAGAAGGGCTGGGTGTCGTTCAGCAAATGAACCACCTTAATACCATTCCGAACAACCAAAGTCAAGACAGAGTATTCATCGCACAGGCAAAATGAGAATTCCTACCATTCTTTCTTTTCTCGTAGCTGGTATTGCCAGCGCCAACTCCATGGCAACGACCGGAGACCGCAACCTAGCCAGAGGTTTTGTAAGTCGAACCCGCGCGAGGAGCCAGCGCCATGATTTTGTCGGAATCAACTGACTCTACTTGATCAGATTGAGGCCCGCTGTCACTGCGACGGCACCTGCTGCAACGGGTATTGGTGCACTGATGACGACGTTGGACAATGCTGCAATGGAGTACCCTGCTAGACTGGGATTTGGAACTAGTCGCACTACTAGTTGAAGGCTTCGTCGGGAAAGACTAGGGAGAATACAACGTCGCGAGACGTGGAGATATTAAGGCTAGGAGCATTTGCGTACTACGAGAAACCTAATTTGAACTATCGGCTCCAACTAGAAGGTTCCCTCAGTTATTGAGTCTTCAACACCTTTCGGGGACATAAGCCTCGGTGTTTTCTTCCCGCTCTGAGCCAATCGTGACGCTGTAATGCTCCACATCCTGGCTCAGCCCTGTAGTATCTGGGCGCAATCGAGACCAGGCAGAAATTAAATCTTGGCCCTACGAAGCTGTTTCAGACTCTAAGCAGCAGATTGTCTCCCGGTTCAAGGAAATGTCGTATCTTTCCCAAGGCCTTAATTTGATTAGAGTTCAGGTATTGATCGATGTAAAGACGGCTCCGTTCGGATGATATGATTACATCTTGGATTCCCTGGTTACGAGCTCCCCTAATATGTCTTAGTAAGCGGTCAATCCTGACCTTGGGAGAACCGATTTGCACGGAGCAGTCCGCTAGGAACCCTAAAAACTGGCCGGCGGAGTACGTCGGACGACTGATTCAGCTTTGTAACTCCCCCCACCTCGGGAGCTGGGCGTCTGTATGCAGCCAGAGGTCCAATAGAAGGACGCCTGTGCACAGTTCTACACTGCATTCTGTCTCTAAACGTCGCGTCTGTAGGCGAGGAGTTCTCCATTTAGGAGATGCTGCTACTATGGAAGACACCCGCGGGCGTCAACTTCGCATCGACCCCACGGGCACGAGTCATCGCAACTAAGTTCCTGCCGGGGGGAGCTGCGCAGAAATGCCAAGATGGAAAAATAAATCATCGTAATTACCTTAATCAAATTGAGATCGTCTCATGTACCGAACCCAAGACCATGGCTATGGACTCTTGTCGGGCGCGAAGACAAGGCGTGTACAGGTTGGTATAAAAGGGTTGCAACATGGCGAGGCAAAATGGCATCAGAACTGAACAGAACGTCTACTACTATCAGCAGAATTCAACTATACAATCGCTTAGTACCAATCTTTACACATCTAAACGAGACACCCTTCAATATGCAGTTCTCTCTGATCTCCGTCCTCTCGCTTGCCGCCCTGGCTCTTGCTGCCCCGGCCCCTGAGCCCCAGAGCAATGTCGCGCCCACATGCAGCAGCCCCAACGACTGCAGGAGCTTCTGCACCGCTCCTTGCACTAACCCTTTCTGCGGCCTCTCTGCCTTTGGGTAAGTCGAAAGAAAAATCCTAACCTGGCTAAGAGCGATACAAGTCATTTGCCGCACCGGCCTGGGGAAAGATGATACTAACCGCGTCGTAAAATAGTGACCAGCGCTGCTTCTGCGGATGCTAGATCAAAGCGAACATCACCTGACGCGAGGGAACCGTTGCTTGACGCACGATTGTGAGGGAATGGCATGCATAATAAGCTGCTGGGGGTCCCGAATCTGACCTTCTGCCATATATGTACTTCAATACAGCCTTTGAAACACTTTGAAAATCTTCTCGCAGCCACACCCAAATATGAAAACCAGACTGAGGTTGTGTGTTGATATCTGTTAAAGGTCAGCCGACGCCGTCACGCTAACGAGGAGGGTAAGGTATCTCACTGGTGCTCTCAAAGCGAAGCCATCGGCAGCCCGATGCTATCCGGAGCGTAACCCAACGTCCAGTTCCCAGACTCCCACACATCCCAGTGCTTCTGATCACCAGCATCCCCGCTCAATCTCAGCGCCCGGACGCGCCAGAAGTATCGGCCGGGCGGGATATACTTCCGATCCTCCTCCGACCCGTCCCAGACCCACCATGCCGAAGGCTCCGTGTACCTCTCCGCGGTACCCACAAATGTCCTCGGGAGGATAGCATCACCCGTGGCGGCATCCACTAAATCGTACGAATAGTTCCGGCTCTGCGTGACGAATGTCTTTCTGAATCCCGGAAACCCGGGCGTACAGCTGGCGGGCCAGTCTGGCTTCGGGATGCTGCCGTTGTAGAAGCACTCAAACGTTGTGCCGGACTCCACGCGGTTGTCGACGTTAGTAGCGGGGTCGACGCTGACAAGATACGATGCGTTGGGATTGATCATTGGAAGGTTGACGAGCGGCGTGCCGAAGCCGGTGTATGGAATTGTGAGGTTTGTTCCTGCAGCGGCGGATGACTGGATGTGGATGTACCCTCCGAAGAAGGTGCCTCGCTTTGCTGCATCTGGCAGAGCTGGGCTAGCTTTGATGGAGACCGAGACTACGGCCTCGCTTCTTGGTGGGATTTCAATAGACGAGGGGGTGATGTCAACTTCGGCATAAACGGGGTGCCCCTCTGCTTCCGTGAGTGAGTACGGATCGGCTTGATCGAGGATGTACCCTGAGGCTGCGCCTAAGTGCGACAGGGAATAAGACAATGTCTCGGTTCCGGTATTATTGAGAGTGAATGCAAGAGAGGAGGGCCGGTGAAGGGTGTCGTTAAAGTCCAGGCTAGACACATTGACCAGCGAAACGGCGTGGGCCGCACCCCACGCATCAACTAACCCGCCCCCCTGGCTGAATACCGGAGCTAGATAGTCAAAAGACTTTCTGTTCCCATCGATGAACTTGACAGGCTTTGCAGTTGTCGTCACTACTGAAAGAATCTGTTTGGGGTCGTAGGCGGGATGCTTCTCCTTGACCAATGCGAAGACCCCAACGGCAAACGGGTTGGACATACTCGTGCCCCCGATTACCGCAAGGCCTCCGTACTTGGGCAAGAACGTACTCAGAATGTTCTCGCCAGGTGCCACGAATGAGGGATAGCTCCGGCCTTCTGGTGTCGGACCCCAACTGGAGAAGCTGGAGACCAGGCCTCCGGAGATGTCGTTGATCCCGTAGGTGACATCTTCCTGAGCCTGCGAGACGTCGCTCGGGAAGGATAGGTGAACGCTGCCCTTGGCAAGCTGGGACTTCAGAAACTGTCCATCCTCGTTTGAGATTCTGGCAATGCCCTGGTACCGCCTGGAGAACTCTGCAAAGTAAGGAACCCACTGCATGCCGTCCGCCACCGTGGTGCTTGCGGACTGATACCTCACGACGTAAGGCACGCCCAGACTGATGGCGAGGCGTGCTGAGGCATTCTTGGGGTCAAGCCAGCAGTGGTCCTCGTCGATCAACATCACCGTATTCGCGGGGTCAGCCGGCGGGACACAGTTGCTGGGGGCGGGGTTGCAACCGTCGGGGAAGCTCTCGGGGTCAGCGGGCATCCAGAGAGTGAGGTTGTTGTTGGTGGCAAAGTTGGATGGGAAAGAAGGGGCGAAGCGCAAGACACCTTGGTCACTGCCAGATGTCCAATTCGCGCCCCATGTGTAGTACGGAGTGGCCGAGTTGTCAGTTGATCCAATCGCGGCTACACCCTCGCCACTGGCGGGTGAGGCTCCCGTGAAGAGGCCGGGGCCATCGTTCGAAGACGCCACCGTTACAGCGGTGCCATTGCGTACTACGCGACTGACCAGACTGGCGACCGGTTCTATCAAGTATTAGCATGTGCCATCAAGAACGGAACCTGTGGCCACACTAGGTGGCATTACCTTCCTGAAAAGCAAGCTTGATGTTGAACCCGATCATCATCACATCCACCCCTCTCTCGGCTGCCGAAACGACAGCCGCCATCAAATCATCCAAATTCCCAGGCCGTGTTCCGTCACAGGAATCTAGGCCATGCAGGTCCACCGTTGAATTCGGCGCCACGCCCACAATGCCAAATCGGCGCTCGTCGCTGTCGGCAGCAATGATGCCCAGGACATGCGTGCCATGGAGGAAGTCAAGGCAATTGTCACCTTCAAAGTCGAAAGCGTCCTCGGCAGAGTTGTAGTTGTACGCAATGCGGGTCTTGGCCAGGCCCGGCGCCTTGAGGTCGAATCCCGTGTCGATCACCGCGATGCGTACCCCTGAGCCGACGATGCCTTCGGCATGAAGCTTGTCGACTCCCGTATCATTGTGAGTTGTGAGTACATCGTGGTCGTGATAGACTACTGGTATCGTGCCGTTATCTGATGACTGTCGTTTCAAAGTTCGAAGAGGTTGCTGGGATGAACCTTTGGTTAGGGAGCCCGCTGGTCTCTGATGTCGAGCCTTCGTCGTATCCCATGCAGCTGGCCAAGCGTTCTGCACGATATCGAGTGCACGGAGGGCACTTAAAACAGAGGCCTCTGAGGTAGAAACGTCGTGGACACAGTCAGTTGTAAACGAGGCACCCGAGAACAGCGAAGTAGTGAACATGTGTCGAGGTGCAAGGTTACAAGACAACCCTCTGCCGGCTAAGCCCTGTTCAAGGGCCAAGATCGGGTCCGTTGATGGTATCTAAGTGTCGTTCAGCCGGATGAGACATAGCATCTAGATTTTGGCGGCTTACCCGATCCATGAACTCCACGATATAGACATCTTGTCCGTCATGGTTGGCCTCAGCTACAGCGACAACGATGGGCAGCGCCAGCGAGGCAAGCCAGTACAGTGGTAGCATGTCTACACTTCCAAAGACGACTATGAAAAGCCCAAGAGGTGAAAACTAATGGTTTGCAATCTCGATGTGCGAAAAGGGGGAGTTGGAAATGATATACGACTCGCGAAGTTCCGCCTCCGAACAATCCGCCCCCACGCGTTCCGCGGGCAATATGGACGCCCCTGAGTGCCGAGAAGGCTAACAAACCCAATATTATGGCGCTCGCAATTAGTTTTGAATGAATAAATTCAAATTACAAGATCCAGTGACAGAAAAGCTTCAATTTTCAATTGAAAAGCCCGATCCGGGTCTGGGACGTAATCGAGAGTAATCCTACTTTCCAGTCTCCTTGCAGCTATTGTCCCAAATTGGCGAACCACAATGTAAGTATCTAACCTCCCAGGCAACAATCCATCAATACCGTCTGCTTTCCTTCCTCTCGTCTTCTTCTTCATTCCGAACCATATCTGACACTCATGACGTGTCTGTGCCAGTTTAAGGGTTGCAAACGAATTCGCAGCCCGGAACACGGGTGCACTCTTCGTAAGTCGGCTTATCACCAGCTCTCAAGCATGCTTGAGCACAGGAATCACACTAGAAATGTTAGCTTACTCAGTACAACTGACTTGTTCTCGACTTTCAAGGACGTCTTCTTACGAGTCCCTGACGCTTCTCCATATTGGCATTGGGCGCGGCCAGAGCGAGGCCGGAAAAGATGAGCGCGGTAAAATAGAGGAACTTCATGATGTCGGCGACGGAAAGTGCTGATATCGTGAATAGAAGGTAAGCTGGCTGGTTTCTAGATGATGAGGAGAAGAGAAATAGAGTGTTGCAGTGCAATCAAGCAACCTTTATACCCATTGCGCAAGCCGTAGAAGTTCATATACAGCTCGAGGCTTTTGCGTGGCCTGGGCACTCTGCGGGCTCGACGGACATTCGAGTCTCCTTCCCCGGATTGTCGTCGTCGCATAGGAGATCAAGCCGGTTGGTTGAAGGCACACATATTGCTGACTACGTAGGTTTAATGGTTACCGAGAAAGTATAATCTGGGGAATACCCGTTCTTTCCTCTCGGTTTTCTTGTCCCATTGCTTCTGTAGTGGGTTGAGCGAGTCAAGCTGTGCCGTCCACAAACTTCGTCCCCTTACTAGGTTAGTCTACAGGGGTCTCTTCTATTTCAAAGAACAACTCGTTTTCGGTGTATCCTTATGTGTAGAGGTTTGCCGTCTGCTCGAATTTGTTGGTACTCGGAAGAACGAGGCTTTCTGCTTACAGGCCCCGCTTCAAGCTTTCTCTTCTTTGACGGCGCCTTCTTAAGTGTGATGATTGTACGTAGATTGAGGCCAGATTTGGTTGCGCGGGATACATCTTCAGACCCATTTGAAGCAACGGCGAGCCTTAACTGTCATCGCAGTTTGCAAGCCGAATACAACGGTCCAGTCTCGTGACTGGTGCCTGTGCACGCATAGATAATATCGTCTAGATACAAGAACTGGTGATGACCGATACCTTGCCACAATGAAGAACCATGCTAGACCAGGGATCAGGAAAATGCGTCATCCCTGCATAACAAACGCCTGATGTCAAGCTAGCTGTATTGTTGTAGTGACACAACAGCGACCATTCAGGTCAAGTTACCTGTATTGCTTCATGATTCCGCTGAACCTGGCGTAGATATAATAAAACAGTTTGCCATCTTTCATCATCAATCCAGACTTGATTTCAACGTATGGCGCAAGCCTAGAATGCCCGCTACGCTTAGCATCCGTAAAGCCGGGGTAGATCCTCATCGGTGTCCGGCTAGAACTCCGCCCCGCAGATCCTTACACTTCCTCGCGTTAGCTCACAGCCGGGCTCGCTGGTTGGATCGTTATGTTCCCGATTTCCATTGCTTAATTAAAGCAGTCCAGTAGAATAACAGAGGCAACTAGGATGCGAGTGGCATTATGGATATGCACTGCTCGTAACTCTCGGCTAAGGGGCGGAAGCGGCAGTCCTCTCGGTGTCCGAGTGGCGTTCCATTTGGAGATCTTCCAGTGCCGATATCTCCATTGCTGCAGAAGTGGGTGCTTCGATGCCTGGAATTGGTTGATCCGTACGCTGATTCCTCTGTTTACTTGATGCCAAGAGCTTAAGCGAGGTCATGATACCAAAACCGCAATGTTAGGGTAGGAGAGGGTTTCGATAAAAGCTTGAGCTGGCAACCTAGAGGTATGTTCTAGAGGTTCTGTATCATCATTAGCCGCGCCACTTATTTTCTTTCCTTTGACCAAAATGATTGCTTTTCTCAACACGCTCATCGTAAGCGTCCTAGCAACTGGTGCTATCTTACCGGCGTCCTGTCATCCACTTTCCGATCAGCCCCATGTCAAAGTGCGCAACGGAACATTGACCGGTCGTTACAATAGTCATTACGACCAAGACTTTTTCCTGGGCATCCCGTATGCGAAAGCGCCAGAGGGAGACCTGATGTTCCAGCGAGCCTTGCCATCCGATGCTTGGGAAGGATCCCGAGGTGCAGCCGAGTACGGCGCGAGCTGTTATGGAAATTCTCTTGGGCTGGAGGGTTTCAGTCAGCCATCAACATCGAGGATGAGTGAGGACTGTCTTTTCTTGAATATCATCAGGCCTGCAGGGCTAGGGCTCAACACCAAGCTGCCGGTTTTGGTCTGGATTCACGGTGGTGCCTGGGCAGAGGGTAGCGCTAGCGACCCGAGGTACAACGGATCATTCCTGGTTCAACAGTCCCAGGAAATGGGCTCTCCAATCATTTTCGCAAGTTTCAATTACCGACTAGGGGTGTTTGGGCTCCTCCCTGGATCACTGGCAGAAAGGGACGGCATTACCAACGTACTTCTGCAGGACCAGCGCCAGGCGCTGCAGTATCTACAAGACAACGTCGCGGCTTTCGGAGGGGACCCAGACAAAGTCACGTTGATGGGCGAGTCAGCAGGTGCAGGCTCCATAGGCTTCTACCTTCTCGCGTACGGTGGCCGCGACGATGGACTTTTCCATGCAGCAATTGCCCAAAGCGGTGGCCCCTTCTCTGTTTACGCTTTGCCTGATAGTGCTAAGAGGGAGGAGGATTTTTAGAAGATACTCAGTTTGACTAACTGCGGGAACTCGACCAAGCCTCTGCACTGCTTGCGATATGTTCCCGCAGCTACACTCAACGCCGTCAGCATTCAAGTTCAGCCTTACTTCACCATAGACGGGGAGATCCTACCGGACCGCAACTCTCGGCTATTGAGGACCGGCAAGTTTGTCAAAGTTCCGCTCCTCATTGGTGTCAACAGAAATGAAGGCACCTCGTTTTTGAATGTCAATGCATCGGGCCCTCTGGAGACTAGCGAAGATTTCATTCAGTTCATGAAGCAGTCGGCTGGTCAACACGTCGTCCCCGACGCGGTTCTGCAAGAATGGCTGAAAACTTACCAAAATGAGTCGGCTCATCCGTCAGAAGCGGGTCTGGGCACCGTCCTTGCCAATCCAGGCCCAGAATACGGTTCCCAATATGGCGCAGCAACACTTTGGATGGGTGAGTTTTTGCTAGGTGCAGGCCGGCGGTATGCCAACCAGATGTGGTCAGACCAGAACCTGAAAAGCTACAGCTACTTCTTTGACACAGCAACAGCCAACCTTGATCCGCAAATCAAAGGCGCAACTCACACTCAGGAAATTGCCTTTGTATTTGGAAATAAAGATGGGGTTGGATGGGAGCCGAGTCCGTTTCCAACTACACCAGAGGCCAAGCAAAGTTTTGAAGAGTTGGCTACCATCATGAGCCAAATGTGGATTTCGTTTGCGGTCACTAAATCGCCGAATCATCACCGACGTAAGTATCTCCATGCCATGATAGCCGGCACATATAGACAAGCTCAACTGACACGAATGTCCAGTCTCAACTGTAGAGGTTGAGTGGCCTGTTTACTCGAACACAGATCCTCAAAACGTAGTCTTCAGTGCCACCGACGGGCTATCGCTGCAGGCAGACTCATGGAGAGCCATCGCCATGGAGCTGCTATCAGAAACTACGGTTGATCTTGGGCGACGTCTGGTTTGAGGCGTAAAGCTTGTTACGGTTAAACAACCACTCGCATTGTGCATTGAAAGCGCCAAGAACTCCTAGGGAAGAAGCAGGTCGGGCATGGGAATAATCCATAGCCAAGAATCGTGTGATTGAGACTGGACTGTAGTGGTCTCCGGGGTGCTTCAGAGACTATGAATCTGGACAATTTCAGTCTACCCATTATTCTGACAATATGGAACAGTATATTTTGCTCATCAGCATTCCTCATTCCAGAGTTTCCTTTCCCATTGTCACTTGAATAATCCGATCTATTCCACGATGAAGCCTAAACCCTATGGCTGAAAGTACGAGACTAATGCTACTTTCATGCCTGGGGATCTCAACAGTAACGGCGGAAATGTATTCTACTCTTCTTACCAGATTTCTGGCTCCTGTCGCAATCACTACTATGCAGGTCTAGTCTGAGTATGTTGGCGAGAGCGCCGATGCCAGACTCGGCTGCGTAGCTGAGTGCTGTTTTGCCGTTCAAATCTTTCGCACACGGGCTTGCGCCACAAGATACAAGAAGACGAACCATTTCAACATCCCCTTGAAGAATCGCTTGATGCAAGGCGGGGCGATCCAGAAATGGCGCGTTCAAGTCGAACTGGTACTCTGTTTCAGACGAATAGTTGTAATAGTCGGGCCGCATGAGCCATTCAACACGGTGATAGTGCTGTTTGTTCTCCAACAGCCACTTCACAATGGCATATGCACTACTTTCGACAGCGTGTGCGACCAGAAGTGGTAGAATATCAGGGTCTGATTTTGAGATAAAGCTCGAGTTGCCTGTCAGTGGGCCCCCCAGTCAGCTCTACAAGAGTTCGAAAAGTATCGACACTGTCGCGATCTAGAGTGCACATGACGGGAGGGCGTTGCCTTGACGGGTAGGCGTTGGGTACCATGCCGAATTTGACCAATTGCCGCACGTTCTGCGACTCTCCCGCCTCACAGGCGCATTGTAGTGCATCACCGTACCAATTATGAATAGTCGGGTCTGCACCACTATCCAGCAAGAGGCCAAGAGTCTCCGGGTCAGCCTCGGAGGCTGCAAGGATTACCGGAGTTGAATTGACCTTGGCCGTGCGAAGATTGATGTCCTTGATGTGACCGGTTTTGAGAAGCTTCTGAAGTGTCTGTCTCAACCCGTATCTACTAGCGATGTGCAATGGTGTGACACTGAGGCACTCATCCGGGTCCCAATATTGATCCTTGAATCCCCGATCGTATTGCATTACTTGACAAGCAGCAGCAGTAGATGTTCTTTGCTCCAAAAACCTCGATAGTAGCTCACTAACCGCAGGATGCTGTTCAGTGAGTGCGACATGCTTTCCCCAGTATCGTGCTGCGTAACGCACAAAGGGGTACTTGGTGACTCGCTTATAAACGTCCTCCTTGCGGCTGCATGGGCCTGAATCAAAGTCCTCGTACAGAAGATACAGTAGGCAGGTTGATGAAATGTCTTCTTTGGCACCAGGAAACAGTTCTTCGGCATGTCTCTCCAGGTATTCTTGGACCGCGTAGTGCGCAAAACTGAGGCGATTTGTGACCGGCTCAAGTACGACCAGGCCCTGGCAGCAGTTACCAATCATTTTGGACGGAGGCCTGTATCTAGTGCTCCAGGAAGCGTATCCCATTTTAACCGATTCTGATACTGAAAGCGCATCTCCCAACTCCTCAGATGTCAGGCCAGCTTTGGCATACACGAGCCAGCTCAGAACCCGCTTTGCGAGGAGGCGGTGATCTTCGGGGAGGCGATCAATTCGAGCCATTGTCTCTTTCAACACAGTCGCCAGATCGTCCGAGATTGAGACCAGAGCATCTTCCATGTGGCCTCTGGTTGTATTTCGAAGAACTGTCTCCAATTGCAGGACGACAGGAAGAAACCTTCGAGAACTCATTATTACCAGTCTCACACATTAGGAGAGGCCTCAACTCACGTTCCATTCGCCCTAGCAATCATATGCTTCATGATATGGTTCGCAAACTCTTCGTCAATAATACCGTATTCATCCTTCTCGCTAATCAAGTGTTGCATGTACACTGTGAGGTCGCCATCGTGCGCCTGAATTCGAATCTGAGGATGACATGCCAAAAAGTCCTCGGTATCCGGTAGATGCGAGCGGCTGGTCACAAGGATCTTGATTGAATCACATTGGGCCAATTCCTCAATGGCATGTAACAGCCTTCGGCGCTGGCTTTGCTCACATTCATCCAACGCATGCAACACAACGTAATGTAGTCGTCGACCCGTTGACACATCCACCAGCATTCGCATGGCATCGGCTGTGCCTATCGTACGGCTGCCACTTCTGTTACTTTCAAACGCTTCCATGACAACCTTGGGAATTTACGCTAGTCCGGAAATCGCCTGTTTCAGAAGCGAAGCCATCATGGTGGATAGGATCTGCGATCCTTCATCAGAGTACTTTAGATAGAAGTGTGATACAGATGTCTCCGACGTCGGCAATAACCTCAGATGATCAACTATCACTGATCTGTTTTGGGACTTCTTTAGCTGTACTGCGTTGATATATGTCTGGGGACCATGCCAACTCACGCCAAGACTGTTTTGCCCGACCCGGGCAACCCGTGACACCAAATCATATTCGCCGAGGGTGCATCGTCTCGCCATTTCTTGAAACAGGTGTTCTCGATAACCCAACTACCAGTATTGTCGACACGCGGGTGCTCGGCCTCCAAGTGTCTCTTTTCATGATCGAAGTCGGAAATCCAATCCAGCACTTTGCGCCGCTTTTGTTCCCGATGAGAATCCTCCATGATCTTGACTTGACTCTTGACAGCTGTCTTCAGGCTCTGGATATCACCTTGGATTGATATGAACTCGTAGAGGCGTTGTTCGAATGCTTCTGGAAGATCGGCTGAGCTTAGGGACAACATGCGACAGCCTTCTATTGATAAACCAAGCTGTATCCAAAAGGCAAGATGGCGAAGCGTCTCAAGTGACTCGTGGCACTTTGTCTGGGCCAGAGGCCATGCCAGCTGTTTTGTTTTGCTTTCCGCGTACACTTCCAGGGCCTCGCTCAAAGACTGCAATTTGACCTTACAGGATTTGGAGCATGAAACAAGGACGGAGGATTGGTCAAATTTGAAGCCCTTTGCCTTAATTGCAGGGCTATCAAGGAGTTGCTGCAGTGAGACCAGACTGCCCCGCAAGGCCTCTAGCTCCTCCATCAACTCCTGAATGAGGGCCTTGGCGTTTCTCGCGTCGGCATAAAATGTTTGCACTCGCTAGATTGTGTCGGCGACCACTGGTATCAAGCCGACAACCGTCAGCGAGAGCGTAACCGTGTCCATGACGTGGGAGCGAGGAAGGGAGGCTGAGTCGCTTCGACGTGAACTAGCCCCGATGCCAGGCTACGAAAACCTGTTAGATGAAAGAATGAGAAATTTCTTGTTGATGGAGGGCAAGTCAGAACATGAAAGAGAAGATGAGATGGACGGTGAGATGGTGAGATGGTGAGTCAGCAAAACACGTGGGATGATTGGAGATACGTGGTACCGCCAAGAGAAATAGATGATATGGAAGTCGTTTAATTGGACTGCTTCTCCATGATGCCAAAGAAGCATACTGCAGCCTCCTTGTGTCATGTCAGCGTTGAAATCTGTCAGCAGATGTATCAAATGACTCGAGATTTTGGTAGGCACACATCCAAGCACATGCTAAACGAAGATTTCTTGGTATCTATAACAAACGTACACTCTGACCATCTCGAGATGCTAGCATGGCCAATCACTGCGTAATACTCAAGGAAAGAGCCGCTCCTCCACCGCCGTTGTTTGTTGCACAAACAGAAATGCTGCCTCCTGAAAAGTCGATATACATCAGACCCGCGCCCGATGCTTTGTTCCCGGAGAAGTACTTAGGACCGGAGCTATCATCGCCGATTTGAATAACAACTCCGTCGGAGGTGGTGTACGAGAACCCGTAGTTGCCCTGCTGAATGTTGAGACCCCTAGTTGGGAAGCACGAAGTTGCACCGGCGGTCAGGTTCTCGTCCATCTTCAATACTTCATTCCCGGCCGGCGCCTTGACGGGGTCTGACGGCGCCTCGGTTATAGTAAACTTCAGCGGCAAGGCACCACCGGAGCTTTGTCCGCAGATTGAGAGGGATGACCCAGAGTCGGCGTAGAATGTGCCCGTCCACGACCCCATCGACTGGTGGTAGCCTTCATCTGTAGCGCCAGTTTCAATGCTCACCAAGAGATTGGCATCCACGTCGAAAGAGAAGCCGTACGTCGTTCCAGCCGAGGTGGTGAAACCTGATGTCGGGAAGCACGACTTGGTACCGCCTCCGATACTCTCGTCCAGTGAGTACAAAGTCTTCGGGGCTGGTGGAGGCGGCGGAGGCGCGGATGTTGTAGCAGGTGGCTCGCTGGTAGTAGCCGGAGGGGGAGGCGGTGGAGGGGCAGTCGTGGAGACGGGGGGAGGTATTGTTGTCGTGGACGCGACGACTGAGCAAGCCTCTCCACTGAGGTCTTGTCTTCTGAACTTGGCGCTATTGGGCCGGGTGCAGACGGCTCCTTGACCATTATAAGCTACCTGTCCACCGTCTGCCACACGTTGATACGCCATGGCAACGATAAGGTTCTTCATGTTCGCTGCGACCTTACCAGACTGGTACAGCTCGGGGTATTCACCGAGAGCGAGCAGGTAGGCTGCGAGACCGGCAACAGACGGCGCCGCTATTGAAATAATGTCAGTAACCAGAAAAACACCAGGGATGTTGCTGAGCAGGGCGACTCACCAAAAGAGGTGCCGTCTTGCTTCTGAGTATTTGAGAAGAACGAGTTTGCAGCACACTGGATCTGTTCGCCCGGTGCCATAACATGGACTAAGGGCCCTCCTTGGGAGAACGATGCGTTTTTGCCGGTGTTGTCAGTGGCACCAACGTTAATGATTGGCACACCATCAGCAGCCATCATTGACGGCCAGGCATCAACGTCCTTCGCCTTTGCCTTGCCGGCCTGCGACATACATACCGTCAGTCCATAACCAGGGAGGCGTTTGAACGGAGCACTTACCGCAACGTCGTCTGAGTTGTCATTGCCTGCCGCAGTGATGAAGACAACGTCTTCCTTAACGAGCTCATTGACGTAGTGCTGAAGCATCTTCTTATTGAATGAGTTGGGATTGTCAACTAAGGGTGGCAGCCTCGTCAGTATGTGCTGATGTAGTGCATGCATTGCATTTTCTCCCTTTTTGGATCGAGCGAGAGACTTACTGTTGCGTGAGAAGTTGACAACCGCTTTGTTTTGCAGCTTCTTATCTCTCACATCCCTCAAGATCTGATCGAGGCCATCAAGGGTGTCACCAGATGTGTCACCGGCTTTGACAATGACAAGCTCCGCCTTCTTGGCAACACCATATTTGGGCCCGTTGACCTTTGAGCCAGCACAACTGCCGTGGCCATCGGAGTCGCGGTCCTCCTCGACTGACTTCTCCGCTTGGGTACCTGCAAAGATCCAACGTGGCTTCACGGCCATTCCGGTGTACTCCTAATACACAAACCTAATCAGTGTTTATGTACTCATGGTGTAGGGCATGCTCACTTACGGTGTTCTTAGTGTAGTATCCACTATCCAGTACGTAGACTGTGATGCCGGCTCCTGCACTGTCATCGTAGGAATAGCTCGTGAGTGCTTTAATGTCGACCAAGGGAGGCTGCGAGAACATGATTAGTTCGACGGGTGCTTTGTCTTGCTTGACCACAGCGCGCTTCTTGATCTCTCCACGCCGATCCAGCGACTCCATAAACCACTTCTCGTCAATATCTTCGGCTCGCTTGCTGTTCGGGACGAGCGAGCCCGGCCTGTCGTCGGTGTCATACAGCTGATCGGGCTCAACACCCGCAACCTAAGCAGGGACTTAGTTACGAACTTTCAATACAAGGCGAAGGGTGTCGTTGAGAGAAGCACTCTGACGTACCGTGGGGTCCTTGATGAGGGTCGAGTTCTGTGACGCCGTAATGTTGGCAGCCGCGAACAACACCACCGTATCCTCCGTCTTGCGGTAGTTGCCCTTGCCGAGCACCGTATCAAGCAGTGTTATGAAGCTGGTCTTTTCCTGGGTCGTGGCTCCGTCTTTGCAGAAGATGATGCACGCCTTGGGGGTCTCACTCGGTAGAGCGCTCGAGGTACTCGTCGGTGCTTCGGAGGTGGAGCTGGGAGGAGCAGAGCTAGGCGGCGCGGAGCTGGGTGGTGGTGCCGAACTAGGCGGTGCGGAGGGGCCCTCGGGCGCGGAGCTGGGTGGCTTGTTCTCCGGGTCGTCCGGGTTGTCACCCTGCGAAGAGCCGGCTACAGTGCTTGCGCCGGCCGCTACAGCAACTGGGCCTGCCGATGAGCCGGCGACGGTGAAGAACCCACCTCCGACGCCTCCAACTACTGTCACGCCCACCGGAACGACGATGGTGTCGCCATTGCTTACTGTTGTTGTGGCCGGGGGAGCCGTCGACGTGGGTGCGGCTGATGAGACGGGAGGCTTGGTGACTGATGGTGAGATCGTTGGGGGCGCTGAAGGAGGTTGGCTTGGTGTCGGTGTTCCAGAAGGGATGTTGGTTGAAGGAGGAAGAGAAGGGCGACGACTAGATGAGGGTAAAACTGAAGGAGCGCGGCTGGGCGAGGGCTGAACTGAAGGACGACGGCTAGATGAGGGTATGACCGAAGGACGGCGGCTCGATGAAGGTATCACTGAGGGGCGACGGCTTGACAAAGGAACGACTGAACTAGTGCCGTTCCTCTGTGGGCCTTGCCGTCTCACGAGTAGAGCATCATTGATGTAGGGCTCCTCTGGAACATCAGCCGCTACCGCTGAAAAGGCCAACAAGCTCAAGCTGAGCAGTAAAGAGTGTCGGATGTCGAACTTCATGTTCGACTAACGAAAGTGGGTTCGCGTAAAAGAAACGAAAGGAACGTATGCCGAGTGTTGCCCAAACCTGGGGCCACAAAGCGCTTGAAAGCCCAGTCCATGATATATACGAAGCCCTCGGTCGAGGCGGACTTAACGAACTACTCGTCTGAATGAGGTTCATCTATTCGATGCGCCGGATCTTCTGCCACGCTGCTAATTTTGGGGATTTGCTGTGCTATGCTGCCGACGGCAGTCTCGGCGCGCTTTATTACTGAGGCCCGCTAACAGGGATCTACACCCACATCGCTTCATCGCGTAGCGGCTTAGATAGGCGCTGTCAAACCACTCAGCGGGCCTCATAAGGCTAACCTAAACCTAATTATACTGCTCCTCAGTCGTTCGAGCGCATGACGTGACGCTCCAAGGCCGGCCTGGATGGGATACAGAGTCAGGCACTTCAGCTCGGCGACCTGTTGATAGTCTTGGCGGGGGTGTCATCACTCCAGAAGGCAGCTGACGAACCTGGATACAATCAACTTTACTCCAGGCCGGTTCGAAGATCAGCCCCTTCATTCAAGCTTGAGTCAATGCTGCTGCTTGACAGCCCCAGTATGTAAATCGAAGAACTCGATCCATCCGGGGCTAGCGGCAGTGCGCGATCTAACGGCCAGGTTACTCACGAATAAGGCGAAGGCCGCCGACCTCGGGAATCTAGACCACATTTACTAACATAGGCTCTTAGCCGTTCAATAATCGATATTTAGAACCGAAGCTGGCATCATCCTGTGACGCGTGACGAGCGAGTCTTCGGCAATCGTCCGCGGGTACCCGGTCTGTGCTGGAGCTCTCAACCTGGCGATGAGATTGGATGACACTGCCGACGAGCAGAACACAAATTAGGCAGTGTGCACTTTGACACTCGGATGGCGCAAGTACCGATGACAAAATCATCAGTGAAATTCACGGTAAGCGACGCGTACCGGGTGCAAATACGTCCATGGCGGACGGCTCCATCGCACGGCAGTCCGCGGAGCTGTCCCTCTCCCATGCTAGTGTGGCGTAGTCCGGCTGAGTGTGGCCCCATCGGCTCCGACCACACGCACACCCCCTTGGCGGAAACCCCCGAAGCAATGTCTGAGAGCGTTTCGGACGCTAAGAAAGGTCGATCTTAACAAGCGAGTGAATGTTCCTCAAACGAAAGTCCAATTCTCCTCGATCGCAGCTGTTCCTCATATGTTATTCCTTTGCTCTACACTGGAAGTTGTCCCAAAAAGCTCGTCGTATTTGTTTATGAAACTAATATAGATCTAGAACTGCAGATTTGCGTTGCCGAGAACCATACCCTTGGTACCTGGTACGACACCCGCGCATTTTTCGCGTGCCCGTGTGTTGTTGGGGGCTGGCACCGAGTCAGTTACTCCATTTAGCTGGGCTTCATGACAGCTTTTGAACATGAGACGAAGATGGGGCTGCAAGTCCACGCCGATTTATAATAGAGTTTACTAGGTCCGTTTGAGATGAGTGAAGGTGAGATGCCAGCCTCACAGAAGGCCCGGAGGCTCGGTCCAGGCCATAATGACCAACTCTTATATAAGTCATTTGACGCCCATTCGCTTTTGCATAATAAAAAAGATGACGCTATTCTGCCCAACAGGCCACCGCTTCTCCCTCATCTGCCCGCGAACTTTTGTAATATTGAAGCAGACGCGTTACAATCTGCGCACTCATCAGTTCACATCATTAGGCCGCAACTTTCGATATTGGTGCAATGGTTAACTTGGAGGTCTTGGGATGACATAAGTCGGTTTGGTTAATGCTATATCAACTCCGTCCTGGTCTGATTCGGCAATATTGCGCGTTGCGGAATATTTCTCGGGAGCACGGGCTGAAACAATAAGATTTAGCCAAGCCACAGGGCTCAAGCGAACTTGTGGGGGGGTTGATGCGTATGAGTTGACTTATGAATTGGAAGGCTTGCCGGCCTCTTGATTCAACTCAACGTCGAACCGCTTCTTAGACTACTTACGAATACCCTGTCTTATATCATCTCGTACACTCTCCCACGGCTCATATTGTCCTTATTATCCTTCACCAGAGCCAATTTACAGGGCTTTTTGAGGTCATTAACGAGGGTATAGAACATCTTACGTTGGAGTACCCTGTAGTGGTCCGAACGAGACCCATCTCACGATGCGCTGCTCGACTTCTTCTCAGGGGGGGGGTACCAATAGGGCAAAGCATATACTGGAATGACGTACAGTCCTGCCTCGTTTAATGAAAATCAGCGTTACTGGCTATCATGATCCGGGGCCGGGACGAACTCATATGTAAGGTATTCTCACGTTGCACAGCCCAACGTGGAAAAGCCCTGTTCTCTTGATCGTCCTCAAGAGTCAGAGCTGTAGGAAGCTTGGTAATATATACCAGACCCACAACGGCAAATTCGGTTTTCATCAGCTCTGTGTTCTTTTAACCTCTCAAATTAAAGAGGAAGAAGACTGGTAGTGACCCTATTGGATATGAAATTGTTGTAGGCATCACTTACCCTATGGGGTTGCCACGAAGGCTGTCCTATGACCCTCACAGTGCACCTTTACCATCACAAGCTCGTGTAAAAGATGTGCCAGCAAATGGTAAATTTGATATACTTGCCTGAACAGAGTAGAACGAAAAGGGTGATTGTGACAATAATATCCACGTTATGTTCCATCGTCTAGTGTGTTGTGTGTAATTTGGCGTGTCGCTACCTTGTATTCAGTCCTCCTACCCTTTCCGCTCGCATGCGCAGCACCACTAACAAACCCAGAAGCCGTTTCGTGCGAGATAATCAGCCATGAGATCATTATGAAAAAAAATAAAACAGGACCTAAGCTTAAAAAGTTCGGACTCCATTCCATAGCTTGGCTTTTCTGAAGTTATGTTTGAGCCGACCGATGAGATATCCCGTAGATAGATCTTGGATATCGTTGCCGTCCTTTCAATACGAGCGACGGACCAGAAAACACAACCCTCCAAACGACGGCAAGAAGACCGATCGGCTCTACATGAATTTTCTCAGATTCTTCCTGGGGAACCAGCCATGCCGCAGCGGCGGAAAGACCTAGACTGATTTTCGTCAACCTACGCTCGCCTCCGACGGTTTACCTGGGACATGGGGTTCGAAGACGAGCCTCCCCAGGATCTAAGTCAGACTCTAATGCTTACACCCTTGGTGGTGCAAATCGGAACTAGCCGCTTACAGAGACGACAGGTTTCAATTAGACACCGATTCATCTGCAAGACTGCAATAAAATCAGAGTTTGTAAGTTCATTCTTCAGCTCTCGACGAAATATCTCCCTCTACTGATGTTCTGACAAGCACACCCCCTCCCGCTCAATGTCAAGAAATGGATTCAAAATTTCCAACCTCGGCGAGGTCTGAAGGATGTTGGGAACCGTTTGAGTACATCCACAACCGACGTGATGAAAAGTGCAAATGGCAAATAGAAAGCCCACGTCAAGAATTGCTGCAAGAAGGAAACCAACAGGCCCTTTACAAATCGTCAAGTAGATCATCCCAGCCGCGGCTAGTAAACCCCTACTAGTATGACCAACCTCACTCCATAGGACCATCCAAAACTCAAACAACACAAACCTCTCCTCCCTCTCCTCAGCGACACCATTCCTCCGTACTCCATAAGTAACCATCAAAGCCACATCGCCTTCTAAAGGAGCACTCTGAGCAATGTTGGGCGGGCCTTCCAGGCCACCTTAGTCCTCAAAGACGGCCCTGGGTGGAAAACGGACAGCAGTCCAAGTGACTAGCCCAACACGAAAGAATCACAAGGATCTGGCGAGGGTTGCTGATTTCGCGGAACCTCCATTGTACGCGTCGGGAGGCGGGTGTATCTTGGCGCAGATTCTTAAACTTCTCGACAGGGTTTTGGGGGCTTCATGGCGGGAGATTCGCGAGGAGACGAATGATAGGAGCGTTCATGCGTATCTTGCATTTTAAGTTGCTGCATCAACTGATGAGAAAGGTGTATCTCTCATTGCGATGATATCCAATGGGACGTATGACACGCCACCTCTCAGCCGCGACGCGCGTGTAAACATGCCCAATGAGCGCCTCTAAAGGCCCAGCCCGAGGCGTTTGGTTCATCTGGTGGCAAAGAGATCAAACCTACATCAAGCGTCGGAACAGTCTACATCTTGTCACTAGCAATCCTTCCTCGTCAGAAAAACCTCAGTCATTTCTTTCAACATGTAACTGCGACAAAAAAAGTCTTCATGTATTGACCCTCAAACGGGCGGGGAAAATTCGCACGCAACAAAGTGTATGCTAGTGCGGAGGGCCTCAAATGGCCTCTGGCTCGCGATCTATCAATATCTATGCAAACGCTGATAAGCAACGCGATTGTGTGGTGTGTGGGATATCATATGCTGCTGTGCTCGCTCTCTGAAACAAAAAACAATTCATTCCGAGTCGTTATCCGCGTCCGTCTGGACCCGGTCCTCCGAAAGCTTCGGGTTCCTCAGGATGAAGGAGAACCCGACCATCGGGATGCAAATGCAAAGGGCGGCAATGCAGAGAACCCGCTGGACGCCGCTGTAGCTGCCGATGACGGCGTCTCTGACGTCTGTGCCGACGGGGTAGTCCTTGAGGGTGTCGAAGGGCGAGTTATAGATGGCCGCGGCGAGGGTCCTGTTTGGCTGGAAAGCCAGGCTCTCATCCAGGGAGGGGTAGAGCAGCTGCGTCCAGAGGGCGCCGGACAGACAGTTGCCCAGGGCGCTGCCGACGTTGAAGAGCGACAGGTAGAGACTCGTGATGACGGCGACGTGCTCGCGGTCCGCCGAGGCCTGGATGGAGGCCTGCGTGGGGTAGGCGAACAGCCCGCCGGCCAAGCCCATGATGACCTGCCCGACGATGAGGCCCCTGTGAGACGAGGCATCGGCGCCGCCCGAGTACGCGATGAGGATGAAGAAGGAGGCCGTGAAGATGCAGGCGCCGGTGACGATGATGGCCTTGAGGCGGCGGATCTTGTAGATGACGAAGCTGATGAGGACGCCGCTGAAGACGCCGAAGAAGGAGAAGAAAGACAGGATACGGGTGGCGGTCTCGACGGAGAAGTCAAAGGCAACGATCAGCACGGTGTAGAGGTAGTTGCCCTGGGTGGACCAGGCGAAGTTGAGCAGGCTGCGGACGGCGAGAGCGGCCCAGACGCCGCGGTCCTTGAGCAGACGGAAAGGGATCAGGGGCACCTGGGCCTGGCGCTCCCAGAAGACGAAGACGGGGATACAGACGATGCCGAAGATGAGGGGCACGAGAATGGCGGGGGATTTCCAGTGGCTGACGGTGCCGCCCGCGAGAGTCAGGGGGGCGAGGGTGAAGGAGAAGGCGGAGATGAGGATGACGAGGCCGATGGTGTCGAGCTGGTGGAAGAGGGTGACGCCGCTGCCCTCCTTTGAGAGACGAGAGTGTCGCGACTTTCTCGACTTTTGGCCAAAGGCGTAGAGGCTCGTGAGGAGTGGGATGGAGGAGAAGGGCAGGATGATGGCCCACATGCCAATACCCCAGCGCCAAGATGTGACGTGCAGCACGGCCGCGGTGACATTGCCGCTAATCCACGTGTTGAAGACGAAAGGAATCGCAGGAATGTAGCTGAAGAAGACACGCGAGCGCATAGACGAGAAGTCGGCGACGAGGACCTCAAGCAGCAGGACGAGGCAGGTGTAGCCGATCTGGTAGAGGATTGCGCCGACGCAAAAGACCTCGACGGTCGTGGCGCTGGCCTCAAAAGCCGTGCCGACGACGTACAGCAATATGGCGGCGAGGGTGGTCTCGAAGCGGCCGTAGATGTCGGCGATTTTTGCGGCGGTCGGTTGCGATGCGACGGCGACGACGCTGCGGAGGACGTTGATGGTCGAATGCGACGAGTGCAGCTTCAGGCTGGAGGTGGCGTAGGGCTGGTATGTTCCCCGCACCTGGCTGTCGAGGCCGTAGGCGTAGCCGACCAGGAAGATCCCGACAAAGAGCCAGACGCGCTCCGTCTGGCTGATGTGGGTTGCTGCCGCTGGGACGGCATCGGGTGTGGTGTCGAAGGGTGGTGTTTGAGTTTGGGTTTGGCTGTGGTCGCTCGGGCGTGGGTGCGGTGCGGTGCCGGCGTTATGGTCGGAGGAGGAGGAGAGCAGCGGCGACGTCTCCTCGCTGTCGGAGGAGGAGCGTCTCGCTGCCCATAATCTCTTCATGTCTAAGACAGCGGTGGCGGGAGGGGCATTCGGCCAGATGTAGGGGTGTTCGCCACGTCTTTTTGTCGACAGGAACGACGAGGGAGGAGGAGGAGGAGGATGGTCGCTGGAGGTGTTGTCGAAGGGTTGTTGCGACCGGGAGAAAGGTAGGTGGTATCAGGATATCCGCGACATTCGAACACGGCAGGCACCACAAACGGGTAGAAAAACCGGTCGCTCTCGGTTGCCTGATAGGATGTGTTGTTCAGGGGTGTTTGTTCAGTCAGCAGGGGCTGTGTTGTGCGTGCGTGTGTGATTTGTGATTAGGCGACACGGGAGAGAAACAAACGCCAGGGGCATGAAGCAGTAAGTAGGATGGGTGATTGAGTGGATGGATGGGGAAATCAAAAAAAGGAGTTGCAGAGCTGACAAGTTGTGTAGATGAATTGTGCAGACCAGATCTGACGGTTCGCCTGTTGGACCTGTTTGCCTAGGAAAGCGAACGACGGCGGCAAGGCGGGCAACGGCAGTAGCGACAGCGATGGCAGCAGAGCAGGCCGCAGCTGAATGAAGGCTGCCGCATGACTTGGTTTCGCGGGATTGGACAGCCTAGGGCGAGTCGGAGAGGATTCAGGATCACCGGATCACTGCTCACACGACGCGCACTTTGGGAGTCATCAGTCAGCAGAGCGAAGACCGGAGCAGCAGCGAACAACTCACACACACAGTAAAGCCAAGGCAGGACCCAACCACTGCCAACCACTGCCAGCTAAGGCAAAGCAACTAAGGCACGCCGGCTTCCCGTCGTCACGTTGCACCTCGCACGGCGAATCGAAAACGACCGATCAGATTAGATCATCTGATAAGATGGCTCCCCATAGTAAAAGCAGGTGCCAGGGCCAATCACGACATCTCAATCCTGGATTTTCAGGGATGCGCCGCCTTAAGCGCCCAGAAATTCTGGCCGTGTTCTGGTCGTCACGGATGCTTTTTGGCGGCGTCGGGGCGCGCTACAGCCACCTTGGCAGTGAATGGTGGCGGGTTAAAAGGGCTCCGGCGGCCCTGAAAGAAAATCCCCAACACGATTTCCCGGGTTCCGCCTGGCAGGAGAAACACAGCTGTCAACATGTGTTGCAACAGACGGCCCAGCCTGCTTTGCTGTTCATGATTCACGACTCACTCTCTTCTATGCGAAGCGACGGCAACGCTGCGGGTCGGACGGAACCTTTTATTGAGCCGATGGCCTGCACAGGTGTGCTGCAACATTATGAGCCCCGCCAAGGACCCGTCTCGGTTCCCGGCCGGCGACTCGGATTTGCGACGGAGCATGCCAGACATGGACATTCGCCGCCTCTGCCTGGCCTCGGTTACACACGGTGCCCTGCTCATCTGCCCTGCTCCCCTTATGTCGTGATTCGCACCTACTAAATTGTGTCGCAGAATATGAGTTTTAGCTCTCGAAATTCTCCTGAAAGTTGTCTGTCTTCCTGAGGAGAAGCAATGACGTATTTCGACACCAACCGCATCGTCCGGTGACAACTCAGCATCGCAAATGGGCCGTAAGCAAGCATTAGGGGTCGACGGCTGGCACCGAGACACGAATGCGCTCGCCTGCTGATTGGCTCAACACCGCATTCTTCTCCTACGTGGTCATTTTTAGTGCGCCAGCCGTTGCAGCCGGGGCTTTCACTCTCCACCGCGCTGGGCCTCTGTCAGTTGTCAGTGCTGCAACCCTGCCGCCACCCGCGCCCAATAACTGAAAATCGTCACTGTGAGTGTCGGGAGCGATTATTATTGTTGCGAACCTGGAAACAGCATTGCGATCTTTATGAGTAGGCATTTATCGAAGCAAGAACAGAATTTTCAAAGTGTGGCGTAGGCCCCGCAATTTGGATGTGGCTGGTCTCAAAATAGAAGGTACGATAGAGCAAGAGCGATAGCGGATGCAGCAAGAGCAACAGAAGGCAGGAAGTAACAAGCAGAATCTGCACCTCTTTCCGCGACAGCATCCATCGCGCATGCATAGTCGACGTTGCACAACCTCCGCCCAACCTCCACTCAACCTCCACTCAACCTCCAATCCATACCGCACATGCATCCTACAACATGTCGTCAACAGACGCGGTGCCCATCTACCGCATCGACCTCGCCCTCCCGCCAGAGCAGCGATACGTCCAAATAGCAAAGGACTTTGCTGAGCAGCTGCGGGCCATAGCGCCCCTTTACGACCTTGTCCTTGCACAGATCCTGGTCTACCCGCCGATCATCCGCCTCGCAAAGTTCTTGGTCCGCCTTTGCCTGCGCCGCGTCTACAACGACGACGAGAACCGCGAGATCCGCTCCATCGCCGAGAATGCTGGCGTAGATCTGCATCTCGTCGTCGCCCTCAACACCTTTTTGGATTGTCTGCTCGGGTGCACCTCTGGTGCAGTCCCGGTTTGCGACGATGACGCCCCGGAAGATGCGCCGTCGCATTTGATGCATTTTCGCACGCTTGACTGGGGCATGCCGGAGCTGGCGGATGTACTAGTTCAACTTGACTTTGTCGACTCCAAGTCACAACAACCTGATCTCGTCTTGGCGAGATCGATAACATACGCCGGTTTTGTCGGTACCCTCACTGGCGTCAGGTAGGAGAAGTCGCATTGAGTGCTCTTTTGTGATGGTCGTGGAGTTGACTAGTTCCCATAATTAGACCAGGACTATCTCTCTCACTCAACCACAGGCCGTTGCTGAACGCCAAGACAAAGTCGTCTATTTTTCACCAGGTCCTCGTTCTCCTAGGCCGGAGACCATCGATATCCTCCATGCTACGTCAAGTGCTGATACCACCCAAACCCGTCGATGTTAAAAGCGGAAAGGACGCAGATGTCAGCAACCTTGTCGTCTTCGCGACCGACTTCATCAAGAACCCGTCGCCGTCGTGCTACCTCATATTCAGCACCCCACAAGAGGCAGTGGTCATCCAGAAAGACTACATTGGCGGCAACATCAAGCACACTTACGATTTCATTGCCCAGGCAAACCACGACACCAACCACACCCTCTGCTGCGGGGCCTCCGAGTTCCACCACAAGGCACTCGAGTTGGAAGAATCATCTTCCATCCCGGAGGACTCCCTATGGCTCTCCGCGTCGGCTGAGCGGCAGAACTTTGTCCATGACAACTGGAAGGCTCACAGCAAGAGATTAGGGGCTACTGCCTCGGCGGTTATCGACGACACAATGGAAGGGCAGAGTGGCAATGGATCTTGCATCGCTCTGGCAAAGAGTCTTCAGCCGAATTCTCGAACTCGAGGCGTTACTAAGGGCATCTTGAAGAGGTGGATGATGTCTGAGCCCGTGTTCAATGACTTCACACACTTTGCGACGGCCATGGATCCGCTTTCTGGGGATGTTGTTTTCCTTAAGAAGGGTGAACTAAACATACCATCTCTATAACTTCAAAACATGGACTGAAGAGCTCGTACTTGCAAACCCAAGGAGCAGTGTCACCCCTTCACACGCATCAACGACTAATAGGTTAATCACAGACTTAGAAGTAAATAATATGAAGCAAACGTCATCCTGATTAAATGTATTTCTTCTAGTTAAGGAGGAACCTTCCCACGTTGAGAATTTTCCCCAGCAAGACGGAATTCTCATAGTAAATGTATTGCTAAGAATTACCTCCCATCCCCACTGAGGTACAGATAGAGGGAAGTAACATGCGGTAGGACTACGTGCCAAAGCGCATCAAACCAATCGTGAACCACCAAACCTAGAGATCACACACAAACTCTCTGAGCCGCAGCATAGCAAAAACTGAGCTCACTGTCTCGATCAGTCGAAATCTCCAAAGGTGATGACTGCCTTGCCATTACGCCCCCTCTTCCCAGCATACTCCCAAGCCTGCTCCGCCTCTTCAAAGGAAAACGCTTCCACCCGCAATACCTCGATCACCCCCTCATCAACTATCCCCCCCGCCTCAGAGAGCGCTTCAACGTTCGGTGACACAATAAAGTACTCATACCGCACCTCAGGATATTCAGCCGCCTCCTCCGCCGGACCACGGCCAAATGCCCATTGCGGCGCCGGGTCGCCAACGGTGATGATCATCCCGCCGGGCCTAACAACCTCCCAACATTTACCCAGCACATCTCCACCAACCGTGTCAAACACCACATCCACGCCTCGTATATCGGCACTCCAACTTTCATCATTGTAATCCACAACCTCCCATACCCCGAGCCCTCTCAATCTCCCCGCGCTCCGCAGCGACGCCAGCGCAACGACCTCAGCCCCGCGCCGCGCCGCAATTTGCACGGCAACACTCCCCACCGCACCGCTGGCGCCCGTAACCAGCACTTTCATCCCCGGCCTAACCTTCCCGCGGGTGATGATCCCCTCCCATCCCGTAAGAAGCGGGATCGGTAGCGCAGCCGCCGCTTCATGCGATATTGAGGTTGGTTTCGGCGCGACTTCATCCGGGAGGCAGACGATGTACTCCGCCTGTCCGCCGCCGCCGCGGTCTGCGGCGATGAAGGCGAAGACGGGCTGATTGAGGCGCAGGGGGCCGGGGTAGGTGGGCCCAAGGGCGGCGACGGTGCCGGAGAGCTCGTGGCCTGGGATGCGGTTCGGGGCGGTGTAGAGCTCGGGCCAGAGGAGTTCGGGGGCGGTGATGCCGGCGGCGTGGACGCGGATTAGGATTTCGGTGTGGTTTGGGACGGGGGTGGGGAGAGAGGTGGTGGTGACTATCTCTGGGGAGGAGGCGGGGCCGAGGACTTGGATTGCTTTCATGTTTGCTGTGGAATATTGATCGGACTGAGGAAGTGGTGTACGGATTTTATTGCGGCAGCGGGATGTCAAGCTCTTGAACCTTTTTTCTATCCTGTGGTGAATCTTGAATGCATTTCAATAGACCTGATGGCTGGAAGACACATTTGGTCGGCAATCCACTGCCGGCGCCGGGTACCCGGGTTCGGGAATCGAAGTGGGGCCGGGCACCCGGTTATCTACGTCGGGGACGCATCTCGCCGGCATCACAACATGACTACCCCGTTCTGTGCATGGGAGACCGAAAACAAAAGAGGAACCTCGGTTGTCAAACATACTTTCAGATGACATCGGCGGGTATCCATGATCTGTCGGCGTCGGCTTCAACACATCTGTGCTTTTCGCTTGGACAGTCGGCAGATGAGATGACGGGTGGCTCACCTCGGCGTCTCCATGAATATGCCAGCAAGTATAAGAAAGGTCTGATATGTTTGATGTTTGATTGAGTCAAGTGCCTACCTTCAGCATAGAATCATTCTATCACTACCCAAGATGAACAGCCACACTGGAGATAACCGGTGAGTGCTATCCTCATCCTTCACATAGCCCGTGCCACTTTGCTTACCAAAAACAGCATCCGACCCCGAGAGACCATCAAAGTCCTCTACGACTACCAACTCCAGAACGCTCCCGGGAAATCGATCGTTGGAGTCGAGGTCGAATATCCGCCCGACGGCTTCACCCCTCCCCATCGCCATTCAGGCGCTACCGTGATTGCGCGCGTCACGGAAGGAACCATACTTAGTGGAATGAACGGGAACCAGCCAAAGGTGTATAAAGTCGGCGAGAGCTTCATGGAACAGCCGGGATGTCACCACACAGTTGGAGAAAACAACAGTGGAGTGCTGAGCGCGAAGCTGCTTGCGATCTTCGTCGTCGACTCTGAGGTTGTGAAGGGCGGGTATGATGCGCTCACTGTCGTTGATGAGGAGTGGCGCTGAGAATGAATGTTGGTTGATGTTGTACAAATATCGTCTTCTTTTAAGACGTCTCACTATCTCCCGCCTAAGCTAGGTTTCCGAACGGACCCATAACCACCTGCTCAGACGTGACGCGTTGCCTACCCTTGGACATACTTCCTTGCGAATCATTCAGCTGGCCAGGGTGGAAGACAGCAAACGCAACCATGACCGAGAACATCAAGAACGAATCAAAGAAATACATCATCGCCTCATGCTGATTCACAAACCCATACCACCCCTCCCCAAACTCCGCCGCCCTCACCAAGTTCCTTACCCAAACAGCCACCACAGAGATCACCAGCGTCCACACATACCGCCTCCAATGCTCCACGTAAATCACCTCCCTCTGCGTCGCCCTCTGAAACCTCACAACGAGCGCAAAGTACACCACCAGCACAAACAGCTGGAACAGCAGCCCGCCGAGCACCACGTGGCCGCCAATCTCCATGATCTTCGGGTTCGCGATGACTTGGACCAGAGAGCCCCCGATCTGCGTGCAGAAGGCGACGATGTCCGTGAGGATGAAGATGCTCGTCGGGCTGCATCTGCGCCGTGGGTGGCCGAGCAGGGACTCTTTGAGGCGGCCGAGGGTGATGTAGAGCGTGGCGGAGATGAAGACGGGGGCGACTAGGATGAGCATGAGTTGGAGCATGAAGGGTTTCGGGGAGAGGGGGGCGGAGCCGGCCCAGGCGCGGCCTAGGTGGCCGAAGGTGTCGCCTGTTGCCCTTTTTGTTAGACTTGGTTTCTCCAAAGCCGGATCGCTGATCTGGAGGATTTTGGACTTACATATGCCTCCCAGTACCATTGGGATGAAGTATTTGGTCTTGTACTTTCGTATCAGGAAGATGTGGTATAACGAAATGCCAGCAAAAAGAAACAAGAATATGACGCCTGCGGCTTTGGATGGTGTGTATGGGTAGAAAAGGACTTTTCCGTCCTCGAAATGAACGAGACCCATGGCTTATCGTTGTTGTTTTTCGAACGATTACTGGACCAGGAAGAGGGCGCAATAAAGACCAGAAGCAAACTGTTGCGCCGGTTGGGATCGGGATGACAGTACAAGTTGTTGCCGCGAACGTTCTAAAGAGTGTTTTCGAAGTACAGACATCCCAAGAACGAAGCCTCCGAAATGTCACTGCCAAGTTATTAAATAGATAATAGGGGTCTCTGTGGCATTGTTAGAAGACATTCGCGCTCTGCTCTCGACCAATCGCTGATTTTTCGCATTCTCGTATTGTGTGACTGCCCCACAATGCTTCGCCTCCGGCCTCAAACGGGGCCTCAGGAGCCTCGATGAATGATGATGATGATTTCCCCATAACTGAGAAGAATTCTTTAAGAAAAGATAATGATTGTTGCTTGACCACTTTTCGTATGGTTGTATTGTTCTTACGAGCCCTTCCGCCCTGGACGTCCATGCCATAAGCGTTTTCTTTGCTTGTCGAAAGTACCCGAACCAAAGTCCGTTCAAATAGATCAAGCCCGAGGCGGTTGAGACGACAGCAACCGTCCAGATCAGTGAAGACACCACTGTATCAATAATTTGTTGTTTTGAATGCTGGAATAGACCAGTGCAGTTTCCCTGCTCCGTTGCTTACCTCTCAAAGGGCATGATTTAGGGCATGATTTAGGTAGATCAAGGCCCTTGTGAAATGCGTTCCGAATACGAACATTGCGAGCGAACCAGACGAGTTAGTCGCGGCCGTTTTGCGAGAGAGCTGCATGTTTACTTCGAAATTATGTCGTTATGTAATGGTAGTGGGCACATCCAGGATAGACTCATCCAGATATCGAGCCCGGAGTCTGCGTCTGATCGCCGTCTTTTGGTAGCTGCCAACCCAGACCAGCGAGTTCCACACCATCATCCTAACATGGATGTCGAAGTTCCGGAGCTAACGGGTGTCAGGTGAGCTCCCGCGAACCCATTGGTAAAAGGCGCAGCCCCGCAACAGCTCAAGAAGCTTAATCCCAAGCTCTATGATGACCACAAGATGAATGGCCAGGACTACCGTCGCAGAGAAGAAAAGTTTCAATTGAGAGGGTGTGAATGCCAAATAGGGGACCTGCCAACGTGTACCGAGAGCGAGGCAAGTTGAGTGGCGTGAACTGGGTGCTGAGCGAGGCAGGTTTTACCGGGAGGGGCTCAGTTGTGGCAGCAGAATCCCATTCTAAATTGGCAAACGTCGTTATCTACAGCTCGATCATCCAGCTCGTCGTGTTTCGACGTTTCTGAGAATAGCGACGCCAAGACGTACGTACCATGCAAACAGAGAAGAAATTTCGTTGCAGCCATTGATACATGCCCGCTACGTCCGATCTTCTCGAATCTAGGATTGGAGCCGAAATGCACGTGGCTCAGTCTGAACCTTAACCCGCTAATGAAACGCACGGAGGTGGGAAACAAGCAGTCTTCGGGCGGCGGGACGATCAGACCCGGTGTAAATAAACACTCTCAAAGTCCAGATGAAACCGGACGCGAGGAAAGCTTCCAGCTGTACTCTCAACGATGCCTGGAAATGGTGAGTTTTAATGCAGGGCATGGATGGATCGGGGGAGCAGTTCATTAATCATCTGAGGAGCGATGAACGCCCCGTTGAAAGATAAAATGTCAAGGTGTTCCAGATCTAGATGCTCCGTGTCTTTCACGTGTGTGAACATTTGGGTGATCAGCTATTACAATACTATCGTCGACAATACACAGTGTTGAATCGTCCACTCTCTCACCATGAGGTCCACATTGGTGCTTTTTACTGCCGCCCTGGGCTTGGTCCAGGGCTTGCCACAGCAACAGCCCGGTGGCGAAACGCCAATGGACAAGGCGAAGAAAGTTCCACAAGGCATAACGAAGGCAAAGGATGGCTCAGTCATTCTTGACACCACCGAGAAGGTGAAGTGAGTGTTGTCGTGATGTTGTTGAAATGCGAGCGAGAGACACTGACAAATGTCATAGCGGCCTTGACATTCGCTTCCGCATCAGTGGCCCAGCTGCGCAGTTCACAAAGACGAGCAAGGTGCCCGATGGTAACAAGGAAGAAAACGCCAAGGGAGACCTCGGCTTGCACGTTTTACTCCACGGAGATAGCGGCTCATCCTTCTTCGACATGCCGAACCAGGGTGTCAAGGACAATTTGGCGGGTGTGACGGTCCTTGCCCCCGATCAGAATCTTCACTGGGGTGGTGGCAAGGGCTTCAACCGAACCGATGGCGTGGCCCATGCACAAGCTGTCAACGACCTTGTCATGAAGACATTGCCGAAGTACATGGCATTCAACTCCTCTAACGTGTACTTCACTGGTATTTCAGGCGGATCCCTTATGTTGAGTGGATACTTCATTCCTGCGCACATGGGAAATTTCGCTGGAGACGGTCACGGTGTCATGTTAGGCTGTGGCGCTATGGAGCCTAGGGTGACAGTTGAGGCCTCAGCCCGCGACGCCTTGACGAAGACACGAATTCACTACCAAACTTCGCAGAAGGAGCTGGACCGCCTGCAAAAGTCTATCCCGATGGCGATGAAGGCCTACGAGGGCATTGCTTCAGAGAAGGGGTTGAAGAAGGAGGACATCAACAAGCTACAGACGGCCAATAACAAACCGGACGGAGGACACTGCCAATTTGATGGAATGGGCTTTGGATCTGGAATTCAGCTGGTTGTTGATCACTACACTGCTGTAATGAAGAAGGGTGGCAGCGGGGAGATTCCGGGGATTGGCAACGTGAACCAGGGCGTTTCGGGCCAAGAATTGAAGTTCAAAAGCGGCAACTGAGGAAAGCCAAATGAGTCGTGCGAAGTTGTTGGTGAATTTGCTTTGGGCCTGGTTTATGTACATATGCTACTATGACCGTGATATGGAGCATGAATGAATCAAGTTTCTCATCACATGCGACCGAATTAGACGATGCAAGAACCAACATAACTTAGCTTGAAGAGGTACAAGTCGAAAAGGTTGCGGCAGTCTCGTCCTCAGTATATCGACAGACACGGAAAGGGCGTGGAAAAGAAACACCTCGAAGGCTACTGAGTATAACACGCCGCGTTAGCACACCTAAAGAGGGGTGTCTGAGGAATTCCACCAAGATACCTATCGCCCGAATGGTATCAATAAATATATCTCAACCTATTTCTGTCAGATACGCTGAAGAGGCAGTCAGCCGGACTAAGGTAGTGTTTAGATCAGTGGAGACGCAACTCAAACATGACAGGAGTACAAGAGAATGTAAGGTTGTTATGCCATGAAGTCACAAGAAACCAGGGAAAAGTCAGTGAAAAGCGGATTACAATACATGACCCGTGCGCACTTTTCAATTAGTGCGTGGTAAAGCCATGGTGAATAAGATTGCCGTGCTAGTGAGACTTAGAAAGGCTGTCGCTATTTAATGGAAAATTGTACCACCGACGCCCAACTCAAACCACACATCTGCATGTACAATCTAGCTACGGGCTGGTCCTGAACAGGAACAGATGGAGAACCACAGCCAAATATCCAATTGATCCTATCGGCTACGCCAGAAAACTACACCTCCCCGTCCACCGACCTGAGTGCCTGGTTCGCCGACGTCAGCTGGTGGTTTGCCTTCAACATGTTGCACACCGAGGTGCCGGCGACGAAAGACCAGACCCCGTACTACCAAGCCAGCGAGAGGTTCAACAAGGCTGTTCTGTTGGGGCCCAAGGAGGATTGTGCGACGGAATCCTGTAAGGCAGTGGGGTATACCGGCAGTCAGGATCTATGCGGAATCAGTAAACTTGCCCAGCTGATGACAAGCTGGAGGGCTGATGTATGTGAACAGGTTGTGGTTTCTTACTCTCTGGAAGCCATCCTCGTAACAATGTACCTCGTCGTCTTCACCATACACCAAGTGACTCAGCAGTCGAACAACTCCTCAACAGACAATCAACGTACGAGAACTCTCTCTACGATGTGAAACATACCTCGTCCCACACTTCCTTCGCAACAACTGCATCGTCTCCCCCGCCCCCTGGGCCGCCGTCACAGCAAACAGCGTGGCACAACCCGGGATATCAGCCGTTTCAACAGCAAACAGCAACAGCAGCATCAACAGTCCCAGGTTCAGCACAGAAGCAGCTGGAATCCTTATTTCCACACGGGGTGGTGATTGTGATCAGATGACAGATCAATGCCTTATTAGTGCTATTCTGAACTTTCTCATATGGATTCTTTAGGATGAGGTATATGTCATGACGGCGTGTAATGGATTGTAAACATCAAGCATCGTACCGGTATATAAGAAGGTTTGGTAATGTGTGCAAATTAGACAAACACTTTCAGCATCTTGGTACTCGTGACTAAATCCCGAACTGTGACTTTGAGCACCAGGCAAATGCCGAAAACAAGACGATTCCGCAGTTACTTGACGATAGGGCACTTGACTCTAATTGAGTCCCAATCTCCTCAATTCTAACCTTGGGGAGAATGATTGGAAATAACGAGCCCAACCGAATCTCCTCTAATACTGTAATACTATTTTAAAGAACCTGCGCGTTAACAGCCAGCCTTTCAACCTATGCTGCCACATCAAGGGTTTGTGCTCGCCCGAGTGTCGAGTGTCAGACTTGGAGAGATTCCTGTAGAGAGTGCCACCTTTTCTGGCTGCAGTCCTGAGCAGTCGCCGCTCTAGACTGAGACGAGCCTGAGTATGTAACTAAGTACCTGATCCAGATCCCGTCGCCGGCCTCGAGAGTTTCGCTGCTCAGGCCGCCCTCGACCATGCGTCGACTCGCAAGTCGCAACGGAGCCCCTTAGGAAGCGCATCCTGTGTGCCCAACTGCATCATGCTGTCGGCGTTGGTCGGGGAGGCCGCATCCTCCGAAATGCGGTATCTCAGTAGCAGATACGCCACCAACAACTTCACCTCGAGAGTGGCGAAGGCCTTGCCCAAGCAGATGCGCGCACCGTAACCCCACGGGATGTAGAACGTCTCCATGAACCGCGTCCGATCAGGGCCAGCATTGAGCCAGCGGCCAGGGTCATAAAGTCCCGGTTGGGGGAATGCTGATGGGTCATGCTGGATGGCCAATGTGGAGGTAGATACGACAGTCTAAAGATGGATCATGGACGTCAGTGAGCTGCTTCGGCAAGTCGGTGATTGTCGTGTGCATGGAGATGCGGTGGAGAGAAAAGAGTAATGAATCCGGAATAAGGACGAAGTCACGGCTACTTACCCCCTTTGGAACGAAAACCCCGTCATACTCTTTGCCAACCGGCACCACTCTCTCAGCGCGACCACTCGAGAGGGGATTCAGACGATACGACTCCTTGACGCAGGCCTCCAGGACGGGAGCCGAGTTGATGGCGGCGAATGACGGGAACCCGTTTTCGCCGACGGGCAGGGCGAGAAGCTCTTGTCGGATGCGTTCCTGCCAGACGGGGCTGCGCGCGAGGTTGTACAGCACATAGGTGAGGGCCACCGTGGCGGTCGTCTGCGCCGCGTTCAAGTTGTCAAGCGTCTCCGCCTTCACCCACGAAGCCGGGAGCGGATCTCCCCGCTTGTCCCGGAACTGCTGAAGCCGGGAGAGGAGAGACGTGTTGTCGCGGTAACAGCTGTCGTCTTCCAGCGTGGCGGTCACCTGCCGTTCGCTCCATGCCGTGAGGTCGTCTTCCGCGCTGAGGAAGTCTTTCTTGCCGGCCAGGCGAACCATGGCGAACTTGACCGCGTGGTACACGAGGGGAAAGTTGAAGAGCATGGGATTCCACAGTTCGCAGTGTTTCAGTCCTTCCAGCATGTTCCGCTCCGGTCCCGGAGTTTCCACGGTCCTCGTGGAGTGGCCGAATCCGAATATCAGTTGCGTGATGTTGTCGAAGGCGTAAAGATTCACCCGGGAGAAGAAGTCAACCGTGGTGGATCCCGTAGCCTGGACGTGACGATCGATGTCCTCCAGGAAGGCGACGACGCGCGAGTGGACGGGGTCGACGCAGGCGGACGTGTGGATGGAAGTGGCCTGGAAGAAGGCGAAGCTGATCTTCCGCCGCTGTCGATGCTCCTCGTAATCGAGAGTGTTGAAGGTAGCCCGCTCCCCGTAGGATATGAAATGGTCGAAGTAGTGGCTTTTGGGATGGCGCCCGGCCGTACCATAGATCTCCCTGGTCGACGATGGGGTGCAGAACGACACCTCGCCCGGGGCGATCAAGACGACAGGACCATATTTCTGATGCCATTCATGAACCTTGGCACTCCTTTGCAAGTTCAGGTCAATCAGGGCGAGCGGAAGGCGAGATATCTTGCAGAATCGCGGCCCGGGGATGTGGGAGTAAGGAGAGAACCATAAGGCGTGGAGGACATAGCCGGTAGCGAACAGCAAGAGGCAGGAAAGCACCGCCCACAGAGCCACGTGGCTTGGGACGAGAAAATGTGTCAAGAACATGCCAACAAATCGGACTGAGAAATATGGATGGAACACACACACACACACAAAGAACACGCGCGAGAATCTGGTGTCGATGACGGTTTTCAACCGTCAAGAGCTAGGTATTTATTTATCCAGACGAAGTCTCGACCGCACTGTACAGCCGGAGGACGTTTCGTCGCCCTGCCTGAGGCGGAACTGCACATCATGAGAGAAGTCCGTCTACAGTTCGTGATTCCACTTGCAAAAGGTCCCGTCATGGATCCTGTGGCCCACATATGGCGCGCCTCGATCAAGAATCTCAGCCTGCGTTGTGCCTTGTACAGACGCTCCGCCGACGCAACGAACTAGAATCTTCCGCCACCATGTCCTTCACCCAGCCGTCAGGAGCCCAAGCTCGGGTGATTACCATCCTTCTCGTCGAAAGAGAAACTTCGCTAACGAAATGCTCCGCAGCCGCAGATCGGGCGTAAAAGTGAAAGCTGAGAAATCTGACAGACTCCATGATGGATTCATGTCCTGCATAAGCTCGGGCGAATAGACTGTGCCGTAAGAGCTTCGTGTTCTATGTTTCGTGACTAACTCGTGCCCCCCGAGCAGCATGAGAACCCAGCCAGTAGTAAGATTCGCAAGTTGGCCAATAGTATTCTCAAGCAACTGAACGGAGGAATGAAGTTCATAAAACATCGCCTTAGTCAGAGTGGGGCGTACTGCCGTCACATTATGGCGTGCGCACGCCGACCTGGAAAGGTACGTGTTGATGTTACATACGCATAAGCTCACTCCTCGGTCTCACTTTTTGCCGTCACGGCCTTCACGTACACCGTAGGATTTGCTGTATTTGGCGCTATCGATAAAGATTCTGCATTACGGGGAAAGTTGCGTGGCTCGCGTTGTGTGAAGTCGAGCGGCGAGACTGAGACTGAGACTGGCCTAGGGTTAGGGTTGTACGGTCGCCAGGTCCGGTACCGGGTCGAGGGCTCAATTGAGGTTCAAGCTCTGGACTAGCAATCCCGTCTTCAGTCTTCAGTAGGACCAACTAACACTAAGTAGGTAGGGACTTTTGTTGTCATCACCCCGCAATACGATCAGGAACGGGCAGCTGAACGGGCCTCGGTGGGTCATTAAGGCGGAATGAAATAGCCTTGCAATCGACAATGAACTTGTGGGGCTAAAAGGTGTGGGGTCTCGGCCCCGCCGACCCATACGGATGTCCAACACGACTGCCAACCGACAACATGCTATGTAGACATCACTACCTTCACTAATGCTGAAGTACGTCCAGACTTAAGTCCTAACAGTAGTAACTCAGACAATAGGGTCCGTGTATTGATCTTACGTATGGAGAAGAACGCTATAATAGGTATGTGTGTGTCCATTGTAGCAGCTCACATAGGGAATAAGCCTCCCTTGTACAGATGTCATACTACTGTTGCTTATACATAATGTATAATGTATATGTACTTATACCCTTGCGGTCAGTAATCCCTGATCCTGGTACGTACACTACTAAGCGTTCGGGTACACATCCGGTTATGTATCTGGCCCTGGATTACGTATTACGCGGCGTATGCCCCGCCCATGTTGGCCTTTTACAAGTGTTATGTTGCGGCTTACTATGCAGTATGTTGGCCGCCAACGCGGGTGGCTACCCCCGGATAAATGACTTGTTTCAGGCAATCTCCAGACCTTCCCCAGCAGGCAAGCGCTGAGCCTCCCCCGGAGTAGGCAGCAGCTGCGCCTCTCTCACCGCTGCCCCCTGTCTGACATTGGAGATCAGCCATCAGACTTTACCCCCCCCCTCTCCCCCCTGGGGCAGGGCGTGGGGGGCAACACACAGTAGGGCACGGAAAAAAAGCCGCAACATAAAATGACGGGCACATGACATGATAGACAAAAATGGTCAGAAATTTGTAATTTGTTTAACAAACCGTCAAAGCGACCACCATCCACTATGGCGGTAACGGCAACAGCAACAGCGGCAGCTTCCTACCAAAGTGCGCTTCCAGCTGTCACGAATGACCTGGACGCCTCGACCGATATACCCCTCGGATCAATGGCAAGCGAGAAACCGACGGCCCTGATCGAGGCAACCGGCGTCGGCAGCGGCACCGCTTCAACCGATGAGGCTGCCGTGACCGACTCGGACGAGGCGGTGCATTCTTCAGACCGAGACCTCTCCATCACTGCGGCAGCTATAATCATGGCTACATTAGCCGGCATCACGTTGACGAGCAGCCTGACTACCGGGTTTCTCGTCGTGGCACTTCCGAAAATGGCCAAAGACCTTGCCATCCCATCTGGCCTGTTGCTTTGGTAAGTTGTCCATCTGAGTCGCTCAACTTACTGCTCTACGGCATCGGACTCGGCTGCTGACCACCCCCGATTCATTAGGCCGGCCTCTATTTACGGGTTTGACTCACCCCTTACGCCCCGTACTTCCAACTTGCTAATCCCTGACCATCCATTTAGTCTGACGGGTGGATGCTCTCTGCTCATCGTCGGCACCGTGGCCGATGTCGTCGGCAGCCGCATCATCTTCCTCGCGGGATGCCTGCTGCTGGTGGGATCCGTCCTCGGCAGCGGCCTGAGCAACACACCGACCCAGCTCATCGCCTTCCGCGGCGTGCAGGGAATCGCCGCCTCCATGTTGCTGCCTACCGCCATGAGCCTGCTCACCCTGTACTTCCCCGTCGGCAAACGTCGCAACCTCGGCTTCGCCTTGGTGGGCGCCGGTCAGCCCACGGGATACTCAGTCGGTCTCTTCCTCGGCGGTTTCTTTGTCGACTCCATCGGCTGGAGGTACGGCTGGTACCTGGGCGCCTGCGTCGCCTTCGTCGTCTTTCTCTCTGCGCTTTTCGGCATGTCCAAGCACCCCAAGGACGGGGTCAGGCCGTTCACGTGGGACAAGATCTTGCTCCGTATCGACTGGGCCGGTGCCGTCGTCGCGAGTGCCTGCCTGGGCATGTTCTCCTACGTCTTGGCGTGAGTCGACCCTTCCCACCTGTCTACGCTGTAGTATCCGTCTTTGACCCATGAACATAGTATCGTCTCGGACGATGGTCAACAGGTACGAGAACCCACCCAGATCGTGCTGCTCTCCATCGCCGGCGCTCTCGTCCCCGCCTTTGTGTGGTGGATGTGGCGCCAGGAGAAGCTTGGCAAGCCTGCCTTGATACCCAACTCCCTTTGGAAGACGGCCGCCTTCTCGTCCATCTGTGGCATGGTCTTCCTGACCTGGGCCATGATCCAGAGTCTGGAATACGTCTTCAGCCTTTTGTGAGTTCCCGTGCCCTTCTCATCCACACGAGATCCCATGCAGGCCCACCAATCTTCACCTTCTTTCCCTTGATCCTCCGTGATGACGATCGCTGATGATACCCACGCCCAACTCAGCTTCCAGAATGTGCAAGACCTCTCCGCACTGCAGACGTCGCTCCGTTTCATCCCAAATGTCGTTCTTGGCATCATCTTCAGCGTCGCGCTGGGCGTGATGCTCCACCGGGTGCCGGTGTACTGGATCGTGCTTTCGACTTGTCTCCTGTCCGCCATCTCACCTCTGGTGATGGCGCTGGTCGACCCGGGCTGGCCATACTGGTATGCCTCATTCTGGGCCATGCTTTTGTCTCCGCTTTCGGGTGATAGTAAGTCTTCACGACCTTGGCCTCCGTCAACGATCCTTTGAACTGACAAAAGCACCCCCGTCACAAAGCCTTGTTCGTCGTCTCTGCCTTGATCATCACCAGCACCTTCCCCGAGGGGACCCAAGCCCTCGCCAGCGCCGTATTCAACACCTTCTCCCAGTTCGGCACCGCCGTCGGCTTGGCCGTGGTCGGCGTCATCTCCTCCACCGTGTCGCAGAGTTCCCAGTCCGGTCATCATGCTGGGAACGACAGTGAAGACTACTCGAAGGACGATTTGTTGAAGGGGTACAGGGCCAGCTTCTGGGCCATGTTTGCCGCGGCGGCCCTGACTTGCGTGCTTGGGGCCCTTGGTTTGAGGAAGGTATCGAACAAAGGCCTGAAGGCTGAGTAGATGAGTAGCTTGAGGGTTTTTGACCACATGAGTTTTGCGATGACCTGGAGGCGCGCACATCATAGAACGGTCTCTATTTGAGGCACACCTGTCCACAAGTAGACTTGATAGATCGTTTACAACGGCATCCGGTTCAACAGCAAGCCGAATTCATCCAGACCATGAAATATGAGCAAATCCCCATCATACACACAGTATATTCCGGTCCTTCAGAAGAGGTCGAAACTTGTCTCCGAGTCAGTTTGAACACAGGAATTTCCGGAAACGCTAGGCTTGAACAGAGCAAATGTGATGAAATTCATGATTCTTGATTCTTGGTTCCTGATTCTCTCGACTTCTGGGTTGAAGAATACGCTAGGACAGCCCCTCCACAAACAAACAGAATTTCCCCAGCAGCTCTTCCGCCCTCTCGACCGACAACATGCCCGTATGAGCAAAAATCTGCAACTCCGTCTTCTCCCCGCGCGGGAACGAAATCACGTACAGGAAATACGGCAGCCGCCGCGGATTCTCGAACCGGCGCAGCGTGCTCGTGAACCCTTCCTCCACCGTCAGGGAGACCTCGTCCTCCACGTTCTGGTGCTGCGTGCAGGAGAAGAACTCGGCGCCGCAGTTCTCCGCAGCCTCCTTGAACCCCAGAGAGTCCGCGTCGCCCATGGAGATGAACTGCTCCTGGATGGCGGACGCCACCTCTCCGATCGATGCGGACCCGGTGTCGACCCGTACGGGCACGACGTTGACGCAGCAGCCCACCGTCGTCTCCAGTCCCGGCATCGCCGCGTTGCGTCCGCTCACCAGCCGCCCGAAGACGACCTCTCCGTCGCCGTCTTGTAACCGGGACAGGAACACGGCCCAGGCGGCGCTCATGTAGGAGGCCGGGGTGATGCCTGCGACAGGTTTCGGCGTGGCTACCTCCCTCTCGACGCGGAAAGACTGGGCCCCGACGCCCTGCGGCGCCCCGGGCCGCAGGACTCGCAGGCCGTCGTTCTCGTGAGATGTGCCGGCCGGGGAGGTCGACGACCCTTCCAGAACACCGCGCCAGTATGCGACTGCCGAGTCACGCGTGCGGGCGACGTGAGCCATGTAATCCGCGAAGTTGGTGGGCTCCGGCGCGATTGGCGTCCCCTGGTAAGAGAGGATCAGGGCGTTGAAGATGACCCCGATCGATATCCCGTCGTACTGCGCGTGGGAAATCCGCAGCACGAGGCGGTTGGCCGACCCCGCCTTGCGGAGCACGAAGAAGCCCACGATGGTTTGATGGCGGCCGAATGTGGCAATGTCGTCGAGGCAGAATTCTGCGAGGGCGGTGTCCGGGTCGGACTCGGCTTCGATGATGCGGAAAATCAGGTCGACGGTGCGGGGGATGACCATCCAATGCTTTTCGGCGGAAGGGAGGAAGTAAGCCCGGAGAACGGGAAACGCCTCCAGGAGGTCACAGCAGCTATTCTCGAGCTTGGCCAGGTCGATTGACGGGGGGAGGTCGAGGTAGAAGTAGTCGACAAGTTGCAGGGCGTCGGACAGACCCTCCACGGCCAGCGATTCCTGTATATCGGAAAGCGGCAGTATCTCCATGATGTCCTCCGGACCCAGGGGACCACGGTGATCCAGCTCTCCTGGAGAGATGACGTCGAGAGCGCCATTTGTCGACGGATAATGTTGATCCTCCACACCGTTGCGATCGGTCTCGTTGCGCGGCTTCGCAGAGGTCGTGAGCACGGCGAGTCCAGAGAGCACCGGGTGCCGAAAGATATCCGCAACGGATATTTGGACGTCGACTTTTCGCGCCTCGGCGACGAGTTTCATAGCGGTGATGGAGTCGGCGCCGAGACGAAAGAAGTTGTCGTCCAGGCCGATGGAGTCGCCGTCGATGCCGAGGACGCGAGCCCAGAGAGTTTGCAAGGTGCGTTCCGTCTCGGTCCGGGGCGCCCTCCGGGCTGCTCGTTCGCCGCCCCCCGTTTGCGAAGCAATTCGATCCATGGAGAAAGACGAGCCCATCTCGCGCAGGAGTTTCCGGTTGGTCTTCCCGGTCAGGGTGAGCGGTATCTGGGGCATGGCGAAGAAGAGCGTGGGGATCATGTAGGGCGGTAGATGCCTCGCGAGCCCCGACGCCACCTCGTCCTCCAAGTGCACGAGCCTGATGCCGTAGGTCTGATCGTCGTCCGTCTGCAAGAAGACGGCCAGGAGGTGACCGGTTTCCGCACCGGCCGGCAGGATGGCCTCCGCCACGACTCGCGTCACATCCGGCATGCAGGCCGACACGTGATGCTCGACCTCGCCGAGTTCGATCCGGTTCCCGCGGATCTTGACCTGGGTGTCTTTCCGGCCGGTGACGACGACATTTCCGTCGGCGTCATAATGCGCGAGATCCCCCGTCTTGTACAGCCTGCCGGTCCGTCCGGGAACGCCCGGTCCGCCACGGACCAGCCAAGCCGGGTCTCGGACGAAGACGTCGGCCGTCTTCTTCGGATCGTGAACATAGCCCTGGCCGACGATGGGCCCTTCGATCAGCAGCTCGCCGGTCTCGCCCCACGGCAACAGCACGTCGTGGTCCGCGGGGTCGACAATCCACGCGACGGAGCCGATGCCTCTGCCGCTGTGACGGAGCCCGGTCACGGTCGAGGCGGCGCAGTTGGCCGTGCTGATCGGGGTGCACTCAGCCGGGCCGTAGGAGTTGACGACCTGGGCTTTCCCGCACCAGAGCGTGGTTTCCAGGTCCGTCACCTGCTCGCCCAGGAGGAGCAACGTCTCCAGCGCGGGCAGCGCGTCGGGGTTGAGGAGGCGGGCCACGGTCGGGGTCAGGTTGGCGAGCGTGGCGCCCATGCGCGCCATGGAGCCCTCGAGGCTGTCTTTCCGGTCGGCGTCGCTGGGGATGCACAGGCAGGCCCCCGTGGTCAGCGTCGCGAAGAGGTTGTGCACGGCCACGTCGAAGCTGTAGGAGGCGAAGTCGAAGACTCTCGAGGCGGGACGGAAGCCCAGCGATTTGTTCTGGTAGTGCATGGCCGAGCACAGGTTTCCGTGGGATAGCATGCATCCCTTGGGCATCCCGGTGCTGCCGGAGGTGAAGACGACGTACAGCAGGGACTCGGGGCGCAGTGTTGGTGGCTTGAGCTTCGGATGCTCGTCCAGGGGTGACGGCGGCGGTCGAGGTAGGGGTTCCTGGCGAAGAGAGTGACCGACCGTGACGACGGTCACCGGGAGTTGAAGCTGCTCACCCATGGCGCCGTGGGAGAGCGACGTGAGGATCAGGTTGGACTCGCATTGCTGGATGATGACTCTGAGACGATCCGTGGGCAACAGAGGGTCTAGCAGGAGGAAAGCCGCTCCGGTCTTGACGACGGCGACGACGGAAACGACCGTCCACTGCGACTTCTCGAAGCACAGCGGCACGATGTCGCCGGGCCCGGTGCCGAGAGACTGAAGCCGGACGGCGAGTCGCGAGGCCAACTCGTCGAGTTCCCGGTAGGATAGATCACCATCCCAGGCACAAACGGCCGGGGCGTCTGGCTGTGCGGCGACTACCCTCGATATCATGACATCCATGCGACCCTCGACCCCTTGCGGCACTGATGAGTTCTGCTCCCATATGCGGCCCCGGCCATCTACGTCAGAGACGGATTTTGCCATCATGGTCGTGGTGATCTTGGGAGGGCCGGTAAGGGCTGTTGTATGTGTTGGCGTAGAATGTGTCAAGGTAGACTAGGTAGAGAGTGTTCAAACAGACCATCGGTTGCAAAACACACATCATCAACAAGACCTCATAATGCCACCTTGAACTTGTCGTCAGAACCAAGCTTCTAAGTTGTCATGTAGACCATGTATATACAATTAAGAGGTATGCAATCATCGGGGTCGACATCGACATGCATGCAACCCAATCAAGCTTTACAGCTTTGGTGTACGGATAGTTCGTCTAATGGCATGACGCAGTCAAATAAGCCTTCCCCGCAGACTTGGCTGACAAGGCCCGAGCCGGCCCCGTCCGGAACACTAAGGTAGTCCCTAGGTAAGTAGGTACGAATAAGCCAGTCGGACCGAAAAGCCTTTCCGGGTCCTGCCGCAGGACCCGCAAGGTCCAAGCAGAACACTGAAGTCCTTCCTGCCTGGACCGCCCCCAGTCTCCGCGATCAATCCTCCACATTTCCTTGGTCGAGAATCCTTTCCGTCTTGATGACCCAGCCACTTGCATATGTCTAGAGACTCTGCCACCAGCAGCGGCAAAATGCGAAAAAAAAACCGAATGTTGACCCACTAACCGCGCGAATAAAGGCCCAAATCCCTTGCCTTCGAATGAGTCATGACCGACCTATTGGATACTACGTACGGAAGATGACAGGATCAAAGACAGCAAGGATCACAATCCCATTAGCAGGCGCACAAGTTCCATTAACAGGGTGGATGATTACTACTAGGAGGCTAGACGAGGCTGAAAAGCACCATATCTTGTAGATATGGACCCGAGGTGGGGGGTGGAGAGCTAAGGTCGGAGTACGTACCTTGAGTATCTAGGTACCAGCTGAGACTACCTTAGCTTAACGAGGCAATGTGGAGCAAGGTCCACCCCATGTGCCCTCGGTCAGGTATCCGTACCTTACCTAGATACTGCGGATCGAATCCCTAACGAACGTTGGTGTGCATGGATCCGTTCGTGGGGGTTGTTTTAGTGCAGGTACTGCCCTGAGCGGTTACTAATGTACCTTAGGTAAGTAGTTAGACAGACGCTGAGAAATACCCTGCGGCTATTGGTTGACATAGTGTGCCGGGGGCCGTACATGGCCGGGTGGGTCCCCACCACCCGGAGCCGCGCCGAAACTTTCGCGGAAGGATTCCAGCGTCCGCAGTCTCACGTCAGCTACACTGTACTTCTTATGATGGGTAAGTTTTACCCCCGACACTTGTATCATCCATGGATGGAGAATGCGGCCCACAGATAGCTGGCATTGAATGACTGCAGTGTGGAATATTACTCAACACCATCAACAGCGAGAAGTACTGTGTGCCTATGGGGGCAGCTCAAGCCATGGGTATACGGCTGGGATGTTTTACTTTGGCCCGCAACCACAGTAGAGGCTGTAGACTCCTGTATATAAAGAAAATAAATCATCTACAACATGATGAGGTTGTGCAAGCCGACTGTCACAGGTTGCATCTCATCACTCTGCTCTTACTTTTCTAATTCGGTGCACACTTCACACTTCACACTTCATACTTCATACTTCACATTTCACATCTCAAGCCAATCTCATAGCCTATTTAAGGCAGGACACGTACCTACTTAGATTCCAAAGCCTGTCCCCTGGCATCACCACATAATCACAATGCCTGGGTCTCTGACGAATGGTTCTCTGACGAACGGTTCTCTGACGAACGGTTCTCTAACGAACGGTTCTCTTACGAATGGTTCGTCTCCCGTCGCCGGCGACGAGTCCTCGGATCACTTCGTGGTCCATATCTCGTCCGGGACCGCCTTGGTGGAGTTCTCCAAGGGCAACCGCCAGAACCCTTTCAGCCGGCCAAAGATGCGCGAGTTGACGGCCCTCACCAAGAAGCTGGCCGACGATGAAGAAGTCGGCTGCATCGTGCTGACCGGTGGCGAGGGCCGCTCCTTCAGCGCTGGTGGCGACTTCCACGAGACCTCACACTTCACCGGAGGCGACGAGGTCGACGCCTGGATCGACGACTTCACCCACCTCTACACCACCGTCGCCGGCATCTCCAAGCCCGTCGTCGCAGCCATGGACGGCTACGCCATCGGATTGGGCCTCCAGATCGCTCTCTGCTGCGACTACCGCATCGGCGCCGACACGTGCCAGCTCGTCATGCCCGAGTTCCGCATGGGCATCGCGTGCAACTTTGGCGGGCTGATGCTCGAGGCTACCGTGGGCCGCTCCGTCATGCAGAGGATGTTGTTCACGTCCGAGAAGTGGGATGCGCCGGCGGCGCTGCGCGACGGCCTGCTGCACGAGGTCGTCCCGGCCAAGCAGCTGGTCGCCCGCGCGCTGGAGAGGGCTCGCACCATCAGCTCGTGGGCGCCCTCGGCCGTTCGCGGAACTCGTCCGTACATCAACGCCAAGTTCTGTAAGGACCTGGTGGATCTCGGAGAGTCGGCCAAGCGCACCCACCGTGGTGCGTTTGCCGCCGGTGATGCTCAGAAGAACATGAAAACAATCATCGAGAAGAGCCAGAATCATGTTCAGGTTTGGAAAGAAGAGGCGTCGCCTTCGTGGGTCCTGTTCGCCAACACGACCATCTCATCCCTTGAAAAAACCCTTCAAACCGTCACGGCCTCCGGCATACACGTCTACGGACAGGGACATGCTTTGACTTCCGGGTCCTACACTTGGCTCGACGGAGATGATGGTGCTTCACCCTCGGCCCATGATGAGTGGGACACGTTCATCGAGTCCCGCGGCGACATTCTTCGCGCCAGAGCGGGTGCTATGAGTGATCGACCACTTTACGCGACACGCAACACCACCACGGGAGCTTGGGCTGTCGGCACCGACGCATTCACGCTGCACCTTGCCCGCTCGCAGTGGGGCATGCACGCCGGGTTGACGAATCCGTCCGTCATCTACCGGGACGAGACCACCGCCTTCATCGGCGTATCAAAGGTCCCGAGCAACTCGAGCATCGAGCTGCGCAAGACCGGCAGCGGCGATGCTCAAGGCGGTCGATGGAAGCTCTCGACCGAACAGTTCCGCGACCCCATCTTGGCTGCCTTGAGCCCGCAGATCCGGGACTTTGCCCTTGCCGGCTCCAGTTTCGTCTCGGCCCTGCAAGGAGCCGTCTCCCAGATGACCCAGAACGGAGACGGCTCCGTCGCCACCCTCCTTTCCGGCGGCATCGACTCGGGTGCCGTGACCGCCTTCGCCGTCCTGTCCGGCCTCAAAGTGACGGCCTACAGTGCCGGCACCCCCTGGGGCAACGAGCACAGCGAGGCCAAAGAGCTCTGCGACTTCCTCGGGATCCCGCACGTGTGCGTCGACTTCTCGGCCGAGGAGCTGCTCGCCGCCGTCCCCGAGTCTATCCGCGCCATGGGCCACTCCGAGAACGAGCGCGTCGACATCGCCATTAGCATTACAGCCATGCTCCGCAGCGGCATCATCAAGGAAAAACACATCCTGACGGGTTACGGCAGCGACTTGGTGAATCTCGGCCTGCCTCCCGCGTCCGGTGCCGATGATGTCGACGCCTTGATCAAGGACATCATCGACGGCGTCGACTGCTCGCGTAACAGCAACGAGTTCACCGACTTCGTCGCGCATACTTACGGTAAAAGGCTGTCGCACCCTTACTGGCACAAGGATGTCGTTCTGTCCGCTCTGGACATCCACCCGGCCTGCAAGATCCGCGGAGGTCGTGAGAAGGCCTTCTTCCGTGCCGCCATGGAGCCGTATGTGCCCATGACAACCGCTTGGCGCAAAAAGATCGGCATCCACCTCGGAGGCGGTCTGCAGGGCGGGCTCGACGCGACTTTTGGCAGTCGTGAGCTGAAGATCCAGGCCTACGACGAGTGCTTCCGAGCCATCGCATCCCGCGTCCTGGAAGACGGCCCTCTCGCTAGCGTTACCAACCTGGCGCCAAAGGTTGACCACCTTCGTCAGCACACGCCCATGACACCGTCCGGCGCCGGACGCTTGCTCCACTGGGACGGTACCGCCTCGGAGGAGGCCCTCGGCAAGCTTTCCGAGACACTTCTGGAGAGCCTCAAGGGCGCCGGCTTCGTGCTCGTCAAGAATCTGCCCCTCGGCGAGGAGCAGTTCAAATCCCTCGTCCACTGCCTCGGCGACCCGGTCCAGCACAAGTGGAAGACGGGCTCCAGCGACCTAATGAAGCTGAACGCCACGCACGAGAAGGGCAACGTCGTGCTCGGCCGCGGCCCCCTGCCCCTGCACACGGACGGCATCCTCATCGACCAGTACCCGGACCTGATCATGCTGTACGCGGCCGAGTTCTCCGACGAGCCCGGCTCCGGCGAGACCTTCATCGTCGACCAGGTGCGCGCGGGCAAGGAGATGCCGTCGGACCTGCGCGAGAGGCTGAGCAAGGTGACTTTCGAGTACCACATCCAGGAGCAGGGCCACTACCCGAGGGCCTCGTCGGAGCAGGGGATCCGGGTGACGCCGTTGCAGGTCGGCGAGGACGGGGAGGCGTCGTTGCGCCTGTGCCTGCCCTTCCCGGCCGGCATCGAGCGCAGCTGGGCCATGAAGGCCGTCAGCACGGTTCCCGGGGTCGAGGTGGACTCGGACGCGCTCCTGGCCGACTTGGAGCGCTATCTGCTGCAGCCGAGGTATATGTATCAGCACCGTTGGAACGTGAATGAGTTCCTCGTGTTTGAGAACAAGACTACCCTGCATGGCCGCACGGCTATCAGCGAGGGCGGTCTTCGCTCGCTCTATCGGGCCCAGGTACACAGGCGTGCCTGATCACTTGTGTCCCCATATCAAGTGTGCTTGAATGACCTAGAACGCGATGGAGAAGTATGGTTATGCAGTAAATATAAATCTATGAAGTGTGCCCTGTGTTTGTCTATCCACCGTTCACAGCGACAAAGTCCTGCGTCAGATTTGATGTCCAGTAAACTGCCTCATATTTCTGTTTGTGAGACGTCATTCCATCCTTCTCGTCATCCAAATCGACATCGTCCATATCAATGAGCGCTTCAATATCTTCATGCTCGAGCAGAGCCCTGGCCGCCGACGCGTCCACGTCTATCGGCATGCCCCTCCGGAGCACGACCACCGGCCTCTCCGTGTCCGCCAGACGCCCGATGGGCAACACGCTCAGCGAAACGCGCTCCGGGACGATGGCTCGGCTCTCGTCCACCCGCAGCGCCTCGGGATCAGGGCCGTCTCCGAGCTCGTGGTCCCGGGGCCCGGGAACGTCGAGCAGCGAGGATCCGACCGCCGCCAGGATGGTCCCGCCCCAGTTCTTCAGGTCGCCGGCCGTGACGCCCGTCTTGACCAGGACGGAACGGGCCACGGCGCCGGCGACGCGCCTGGCGCGGGCGGGCGACCACGCGCCCCGGACGCGGATCGTGATGAACTTGGTCGCTCCCTCGGCGTCTCGCACGACCAGCTTCGCCATCTCCGTCATGAGCTCGTCCAGAGCCTGCTTGAAGGCGCGGAAATCGTCCCGGGCCGCCGCCTCCGTCGAGCGTTCCAAGTCTTGGCCGAACGTCTTCCCGCCCGCGGCACCGTTCGCGAAGATGGCGACCATGTCGTTGGTCGACGTGTCTCCCTCGATGGAGATGCAGTTGTACGTCTTGTCTGTGGCGTCCGCGAGGAGTGCCTGTAGGTCCGAAGCCAGGATGGGAGCATCCGTGCAGATGATGCCCAGCGTCGTGGCCATGTTGGGGTGAATCATGCCGGCGCCCTTGGTGATCCCGGCCATGGAATAGACGATACCCGGGTTGGAGGGCAATTCGAACTGTCGAGAGGCGAGCTTGGGGAAGGTGTCGGTGGTGCATATCGCCTCAGCAGCTCCCAGCCAATGCTGATGTGAATTTCCCATGCGCTCGGGGAGGTGTCGGATGCTTTGGAGGACCTTATCCATAGGAAGCCTGGAGCTAATAAGCATCGTATCGTCCTAAAGACATGACGAACCAGGTCTCACCTCTCACCCCCCTTACCAGTATGCATGACTATCACGGAAGGCGGTGTCTCTCCAACAGCTACGGTGGCAGAAGATGGTGACACCAACAGCTCGTTGGCCGTATTCATCATGGCTGCAGCATCGTCCAGCCCGGCCTGGCCAGTGAACAGGTTCGCACACCCGGCGTTCGCGATGATGCCTCTAAGTCCGTTCCCCTTGGTCGCCGAGAGGTGTTTCCGCGACACCGTGACAGAAGCGGCGGGGAATTTATTCCGAGTGAAAACCGCCGCCCCGCAAGACGGCACGTCGGACTTGACCATGGTCAAGTCCGGCCGGGTTCTCTTCGTGCTGTTGATGCCGGCATTGATGCTGGCGACGGAGAATCCCTTTGGATAGAAGCCCGAGTCGGGCACGAACCTGCGCTTGTTGGCGGGGATGGGCGCGTTCGCGTAGAGCTCGAACTTGTTGGAGAAGCGGCGCAGTTGCTGACGGACAACATTAACGCTTCTTCTGGGAGGCCAGAGGGCGGTCACGGTCACGCTGCGGATGAGGGTCACCATTGTGATGAATGATACCATGGGTCTGGATGGACCATGGGCTGGGATATCGGCTCTTTGGATGTTGGCGCGTCTTAGTTCCCGGGTATATGCATGTGGAGGAGGAAAAGGAAAGTGCAAGTTCGGAAATAGCCCTAACCCTGATCCCTATTCCGAAATGTGGCTGTGTATGACATTATCACATGAGCTATTGTGACTTGCTTGGCTCATCCTATCGCGCTTTCATCATTCTACTGAACATGTGAAGGTTTCCCTGACGAGTTCCCCCAGTCCTCGAGCCTGTTCCCTTCCATCACGTCCAGCCAACCTCCCAGTTACACCAAAGTACGCCAAGAACGGCCACTTGCCCTCCACGGACGGATTGCCGATCACGTCTCCGACGTTCTTGTACACCTTGGAGTTCGTGATCCATCTCGCCAGCGACGCGGGGAGCGCATCGGTGCCCAAGAACGTGCCTCCGCGTGTTGCTGCCGAGAACACAATGTGCGTTGGAAACTGGCTGCTTGGTTGTAGAGGCCGAGACAAGGCCCGGATGTGCGTCTTCACCACATCGTGTGCCGATTCCCCCTCCCCGGGCGGAACCAGAGCTGCCAGGAGCTGCAAGGCATAGTAGTCGATGCCGTAGGTGTACTCCACCGAGTACGATTCCTGATGGCCGGGAATCCTGGCGTTGATCTCGATGAGAAACACGCTGGGGTCTGGCTCGTTACCGGTCGAGGTGCTGTCCTCTCGAGGTACGACCTCGACACCTCGGTCCGTCATGGCAAATCGCGCCTTGCTGTTCTCGACCCGCGCCTCGAGGTGGAATATCCCGTTGCGGATTCCCAGTCTCTTCAGCTTCTCGGCCAAATCACGCTTCAAGAGGTCCAATTCGTCACTCGGCAGGATCGATGGCAGGATATCGGAAGTTTCGGCGAAGGAAATGGACGATGATGGAGTTTGAGGCCCAGCTCCCCTGTTCGGGACCCCGGACGCGTTGGAATCGGCAATCTCGTCGACCTCGGCCGAGGTGGGGAAATCGTCGACGACCTCACCCCAGATGAGCTTCCCGTCGAGAAACACCAGGTTCACGTCCACCTCCGGCCCGGAAGCGTACGGCTCTAGGAGGGAGCTGGTCCCGGGGAACTTCTGCTCGATTCGGTCCACCGCCATAAAGAGGTCTGCTTCCGACGACACCCTCGTCACTCCCTCGGACGCACACCCGATGGCGGGCTTCACGATCAAGGGGTACTGCAGCGGAGTCTTCAATCCGGAAAGCTTCTCCCTCAAGTCCGCGAGCCCTTGCACGGAGAGGACTTGCGTGTCCGGACATACCGCCTGGCGCATCTTCGCCTTGTCACGACAAAGATGGATGGATTGCGAGGGGTTCGTGGGTAGCCCCATCTTCTCGGCCACCAAGGCGGTCACGTGGGTGTAATAGTCGTTGAACGTGGTAATGCCATCCACCGGCTGTCGGCTGTGCGAGAGGGCCTCGACGATGCGATCAGGCAGCCCGTCGTCTTGCGTCAGGTCGCAGGGAACGAACTCGACACCACCGCCCTCGGCGGCCAACTTCCGGGCCCATTCGTGATCCCTTTCCAAGATGATGAGGTCGATCCCCAAGGCGCGAGCGGCGCGGTACATGCCCATACCCGCAGTCGCGGCCACCATCTCGTTGGGTCTGGCCTCCACGACAGCCAGTCGGAACTTGGGAAGCGGCGAGTGACTGATCCAGGGAAATGAGAGTCTTCCTGTGACCTCGGCTTCTAGGAGGGACAAGGTGTACTCCACGAGCTGAAGTTGCATACTCGGCAGTTGTTTCTGCAGCATGGCACCCACTGCGCCGTCCAATGCCCTCGGAATGACGCGAGTGCCCTCTTCGAAGTCGAACGCGTGGATCTCTTTTCCTGTTGAAGTGAACTCGGCCGCCTCCTCGACGAGGTCGCAGGTCAAGAGCCGTCTCTGGATAAGGTCATTGCGGAGGGCGTAGCCGTCTACCGTCGGAAGTAGAAGTTTCACGGCCGTGATCGAGGAGGCGTACTGTGCGATATTTCTGTCCACGGCAGCTCGGACGAAGCGCCTGGCCGCCGAGTCGACGGCGTCAGGCGGGCCCCAAAGGAATCCACCGAGTCCGCGGTTGTCGTCGCCTGCGGAACTGGAAAGACTCGAAGCCCCTTTGCCATACTGAGGCATGACAGATATTGCGACGAGAACCAGGTCGAGAGTCCGGCATGGTGGTTGGAGAGATCTGTTGTCATCCGGGTCTTCAACAGCCTTGGGTTCGCCGTTCAGCTTCCAATGGCAACGAAAAAAGACTGGGCCTCGTGTTAGCAAGAGAGTCGACGACTCGGAACGAGACCACCTCGCACACCTCTATTGCCTGCGATGATTGCGTCGAATTCCTCAGTTCCACCGAGGTGGGCGGCGTTCCGAGTACTGATGCTGTCCGACTGTGGCATCTTGCGGGGATGACTTGAAGCCAGCTGTGTGTGTGAGCGTATGTGAGCGTGTTGTACACCTTTGATGTCATGTAGTGGTATGATGTCTTGGGAGAGCAGAACCTTGAGAAGGCTCGAACACGGGTAAAACCACGGTTTTCAGCTGTCCTTGCCCTGGGGATGGACGAGACCCTGACAAAACCCGGTTCCGAAAACCGGAGTTCGTTGGAATCGAAGTATCCAGGAGTACCGGTTAATGGGTATATCTTTCGAGACATAGTAGGTAGTCACATTCGTCTTGATCAGGTATCATGCCGTGGCAAGGGTAGGCGAGGCGAAAATCCTGAAGAGGCCTTGCTGCCTTGCTGCAACGCTGACGACTTTTAGGTCTGGTGTTTTTATTCAGTCGCATCTCGTTTCCTGCATATGCTTTTATCCGGAATTCCTTCGCATTTGATGGGGGTGGGGGTGTTCGGTGTCGGCCCGTCTGACCCAAGTCCTTGGCCTGATCAAGATCACCGTACCCCCGGGGACAGCTGTGGGGTGTGACTAGGATGTAAGACATGGATGAGTACCCAGTTCAAGACCCACACATGTCGGTATTCGTACATGGGATGGGTGGGTGTGTACTGATGACTGCGGGCTGCGCCGCTCGGAAAGGATTCCAAGCTGGCAGCAAAGCATCCGATGCTAGAAGCAGCGCTGTCCGGACATAGATCACGCGAGGCTTGCTCCGTGGCGGTCAATGAATTAGATTATTAGATTATTTTACGCACATTTGGACTTATCTCGCGACCCGACTAACTGACGGCCAAACACCCCTGTCAATCTGACCAGGCCCTAATCTGTCTCGACTCGGCCAACAGCACTTCACTTCCCGCCGAGCCTCGATTCCATCCTCAGCTGCTGACAAAGAGACCAAGACTGATTGCTTGATCAGCTCTTGCAGGATTCAAACCGATAGTTCCCGTCCTTTACCGCCTGTTTCGCCGCCATCTTGTCAGTCTCGCGTCGCGTCTTTTCACTTCCTCGACATCAACGAAACTTCCCACCAATGGACATCGACCTAATTTGCAATGACTGAAATAATTGAACCCGTCCCTGACGGCAACTCGGCCAGGCTTGTGGATGTTGTCAAGCACGAACTCCAAGAAGTTGAGCGAGAGATCATCGACCGCCAACTGCATTTTTCACAAGATGAGGAGACACATCTGCTCTCGTTGCTTCTATACGCGTCCAAAGGCGATCTTATTGTCGCAGGCATCAGCACTGTCTTTGCTCTTGCCGCGGGGGCCATTATTCCCGTTCCTCCGGTATGATTTGAACTCAAGCTATGCAAAGGAGGTTGGCTCTTGATGCTCGCCTTGCTAAAACTTGCCTACACACAGATCGTATTTGGTCGCCTCTCCTCCGTCCTGGCTGGCGTCGACAACGAAGGGTCGACAGCCGACACCCAGGCGAGCCGGGTCTTGATCACACAATACTCTCTCTACTTCATCTACCTCGCCGTCGGGTCTCTCTTCGCCTGGTTCATCTCCACGGCGGGATTCTCATATGTCGGATCAAACATCACGCGGCGCGTCAGGGTCCGCTACATGGACGCGGCGCTGCGGCAGAACATGGCCGTCTTCGACGACATCGGCACCGGACACTTGGTCACGCAGCTGAGCGTCGATATGAACCTCATCCAAGAGGCTCTGTCCCAGAAGCTCTCCGTCACCCTGAGCGCCGTGGGCACCCTCGTAGGCACCTACGTCGTCAGCCTCGTCATGTTTTGGAAACTGGCCCTCATACTGACGTGGTCATTCTTTCTGGCGCTGGCCCTCCTCTACATCGGCAAGCTGGTCTCGAGCCGCTTTTCCGGACGTTCTAGTGAGGCCCAGTCTACCGGCAGCACGCTGGCGGAAGAAGCGCTGACCTCGATTCGGAGCACTACGGCGTTGGGACTGCAGAAGCAGATCCTGGATACCTATGTCGAATGCCTCAATGTGGCGAGGCAGGCGGATTTCACGCTCAAAACCCTCATGGGTGTGCTTCTTGCCGTTGTCGTGGCCACTGGTTATTTCAACGTGGCGCTGGCCTTTTGGCAGGGCGCCCGGTTCATGGTCGACGCCGAGACATCCTTCATGGCGGTCGTGGCCATCACGCTTGTCACCAAGAGCGCGGCGTTTTGCGTCTTGGGCGTCGCCCAGAACGCCGAGAAGTTCACGTCGGCAATGGCGGCAACCAGGAGGGTTTGCAAAATCCTCAACCGCAAGTCTCCCATTGACTCACTAGGTGATCAAGGAGCCAAGCCCGACGATGTCAGCGTTGAGGGGAACATCGAATTCCGGAACGTGAAGCACGTTTATCCATCTCGGCCGGAGGTGGTCGTGGCACATGATCTCAACATCATGTTCCCCAGCGGGAAGAGTACCGCCGTCGTCGGCTCCTCTGGGTCCGGAAAAAGTTCCATCGCCAAACTGATCCTTCGATTCTACGAGCCCGTAGCGGGTGAGATCCTTCTAGACGGCACGCCTATCGAATCGTTGAATGTGAGGTGGCTTCGATCCCGGATACGACTGGTCAGCCAGGAGCCGGTGCTTTTCGACGCGTCCATCTACGAGAACATCAGCCAGGGTTTCGTCGGAACTCGGCTTGATCACTTATCCGCGGACGAGCAACGGAGGAGGGTCGAGGAAGCAGCAGCATCCGCCGGAGCGCACGACTTCATCCAAGCCCTCCCTGCCGGGTATGCAACCCGGGTCGGGGCCGGCGGATCCAAACTCTCAGGCGGCCAGAAACAGCGGGTGGCCATAGCCAGGGCCCTCGTTGCCGATCCCAAGGTATTGATCCTGGACGAGGCGACATCGGCATTGGATGCCGAGACCGAAGCATTGGTGCAGCGAGCACTGGCGGTTTCAAGTGACACCAGGACCACGATCATCATCGCACACCGGCTTTCTACCATTCGCGAGGCCGACAAGATTGTGGTGTTGAAGAGCGGAGCGGTGGCGGAAGAGGGCACTGACTCGGAACTGATGTCCATTCGAGGCGCGTACTTTCATCTGGTGGAGGCCCAGAGATTGTCAGGAGGCTCCGAGAGTGCAGAAGAAGCGGAGCTTGAGCACGATACTTCGATTATCACACGCGAGCCGCCATCAGAGAAGGACGAATCTGCCGAGACAAAGGAGACTTTTGACGCATCGTCGCCTTCGCTGTCTTCCGACTCCACCGCCGAAAGGACTTCGGCGCCGTACTCTCTCTGGTCTGTGGCCAAGTTCGTCATGCAGCTCAACGCAAAAGAGTGGAAGTACATCGTCCTCGGTCTCGTCTTCTCCATCATCGCCGGTCTTGAGGAGCCAGCATCAGCCATTCTCTTCGGCAAAGCCGTCGTGGCCATCGCGCGACCCCTGGACGCCGATACCACGCCGCAGATACTGTCCGACTCAGCCTTCTGGGCCTGGATGTTCTTCGTCCTCGCCTTCGTCATGATGATCGCCTTCAGCATCCAAGGATCCGTGTTCGCGTACTGCTCGGAGCATCTGATCCACCGCGCTCGCAGTCTCGCGATGGCACACGTCCTGCGCCAGGAGATGGCCTTCTTCGACGACGCGGCGCACTCGGGTCCGGCCTTGGCCAGCTTCCTGTCCACTGAGGCGGCCGACCTAGCAGGTATCAGCGGCGGCACGCTCGGCCTGATCCTCATTGCCGTGGCGACGTTGGTCTCGTCTCTGGCGGTCGGCCTCGCGTTCGGGTGGAAGCTGGCGCTTGTGTGTTGGTCCATCACGCCTGTGCTCATCGGGAGCGGATTTGCCGGTGTCTGGGCGGTTGGGGAATTCGAGCGGCGGAACGAGATGCACACCCGGGCATCGGCTGCCTATGCCGGGGAGATGATTGGGGCCATCCAGACCGTGGCGTCTCTCACGATGGAAGTAAAGGTTCTGGACGAGTACAGGCGGACGCTCGCCCTGTCGCGGAGGGACGGCTTCAAGGCGGCGTTGCAAGCCTCCGCGGTTCTCGCCTTCGCCCGAGCCGGCGTCATCGCCTGTATGGCCCTGGGTTTCTGGTACGGGGGTATGCTGATCGTGAATGGCGAGTACTCGCTTCTGGCCTTCGTCGTGGTCTACTCGTCCATCATCACGAGCGCCTACTCCGCCGGCATCGTCTTCTCGTTCACCCCCGACCTCGCCAAGGCGCAAAGGTCCGCGGCTGGTCTTCAAGGTCTCCTCGAGCGCCGGTCCGCCATAGATCCGGAATCCGCGGACGGGGAGAGGATCGAGAAGCCGCTGGGCCGCGTGGAGTTTCGCGATGTATCGTTTGCTTATCCCGGCCAAGCACGGCATTCGGCGTTGAGGAATGTCTCTTTGACGGTGCCGGCAGGGGCAACGATCGCACTCGTGGGGCACACAGGGTCGGGGAAAAGCACCATCGTCTCGCTGCTCCAACGCTTCTACGATCCCACAGAAGGATCCATTCTCTTAGACGGCCGGCCCATCGCTTCGCTGAACGTGGCCGAATATCGCAGTTTGATCGGGCTCGTGAGCCAAGAACCGACCCTGCTGCAGGGATCGATCGGGATGAATCTTGTGGCGGGATGTCGACGGACAGACATCACCGATGCCGAGATCGAGGAGGCGTGTAGAAAGGCCAACATCCTGGACTTTGTCAACTCTCTGCCGGATGGTTTCAACACGGTGGTCGGCAGTCGAGGTAGCCAGTTGAGCGGCGGGCAGAAACAACGCCTCGCCATCGCCCGAGCCCTGGTCAGGAAGCCCGCCCTTCTTGTCCTCGATGAAGCCACTTCGGCCATCGATTCCACGTCTGAGTTGCTGATCCAAGAAGCGCTGGCGGGAGCGGCGGCTGGCTGCACGACCATCGTGATTGCCCACCGCCTGAGCACCATTCAAAACGCCGACGTTATCTATGTTGTCGAAAAGGGACGGATTGTAGAGTACGGCACGCATTCTCAGCTGGTGCAGAAGAGGGACAGGTATTACAGATTGTTTGAGACGGGTCTTGGTAACTAGTATCATTACTTAGGTATATCATGTTCCGGTACTTGTTCAGCACAACCCCTTTTTCATCCTCCTCGTCGATATTCTTACTGCTTTGACACGTGTAGGTGGCCAGCTCGATATTGAGCCAAACATGCCTGACTACTTTCCTTTGCTCCGGTTTGACCATCCTGTTCAAGTCCTCTAGACAGGATACCGGCAGCTTAAGTCGTCGAAATTTGTCTTTCGCCATCGCTGCTCGCCATTCTTTGAAAACTGAAGCGTAGATAAACTGCCCAGACATGTGAGGAGCAAGTTCTTCCAAGATGTTCCATCGGAGCTCCAGTGGGAGATAATCCTAGTCTCCTGGTTTTGGAGGGGCGTTCTCGGTATTTGAGAGCGACATGACAGCAGGCGAAGTGGATTGCCGAACAATGCGAGAGGTGTCCAATCTCTGGGGAACTCCAAAAGGCTTGGTTGTTATTCTGGATTGATGTCGGGTTGTGAAAGAGTTTGCCGATAGTGTTTGTACGTTCGGTAATCAGGCAAAAGACGCAAGACGATGTTGTGACGTTGTAAGAGTGGGACAAAGTCGGAAGAGGGAGAAATCAACCGTGGGACTGTGGGAATGGCTGAATAATCCAATATCCAAGCGCAGCGCCTTCTGGATTGACAATGAATTTAGAGAGCAAGAGAAGGTGCCCTGCTCGATTTAATCCAAGCGGAGCGCCTTGACCTTCCTGGATCGACAATCAAGCTGGAGTGTAAAAGAAGGGAACCTTCTTTGAAGTAACTGTCAAAGGATGCGTGCTAGAAGTCTTGGCTGCATATTGGGCGTTGAGGTCCATCGTCCATTCGTCGATTGCCACAGTCGCAACTTTCTCCCTATCTGTCTCTTGCCTACATATGTAGCCCATATAGGGACAGCATTCCGGACCTTGAGGGATTTAAGATCCAATGGGTGTACGTCGACATAGAAATCTTTCCCAGGATACGACCTTTAGTAGTAGCAATGGGTTCTTCTCATAAGTTAGTCGTAGAGATGCTTCTATGTTCTAAGGAGTTTGAATGACGTTTCGATATTCGGAATCCATGATGGGAGTCTTTTGCGTTCGTCACCCTCCTGTACAGTGACCATAAGAACTGGCCATGCAAGTTTACATACTTAGACGAAGTACGATAAGATACCAATTGCGACTCCATCTAATGAAAGACTGTAGTCAGGCATCATTTGGTCTCCAGGTCAATCGGACGGGATTCCCAATAGCGCAAAGACCTTATCACGGGGATCTTTGCCAGCACAGTCGCTCGTTTCGACCCATGAGGGACCAAAGATCATGCTTCGCGTGCAAAGGCGGCTTTACCCTTCTCACCATCCATGCATATTCAGGCGATAGTTCCAGGAGTTTCCGTGGCCGGCCCCAGATAGACAAGGACACCAGAAGCACCCGAGTAAATTTCTGGCATCAGAGCGACTTGAGAAGTCCATCATTCTGATTGCCACATACTGCGTCAATCCAAAGGGTGCGTTGCATAAGCTTATCTTTTCGAGATCAAACACTGCGGAGAGCTTGTTCCCAATTCCGCGTAAATGGGACAACGTCCCAGAATGGACCAATATACATGCATGGCTCTGCATCTTTGAGAGTCCCCAGAAGCGTCAGCTCAGGTGTAAGAAAGCGCTTCGTAGTACAATCGTTCTGTGCCGAGCTGGACGACTCGGAAGTTCCCATGGAGTATGTCATCGCATTCACAGGGGGTGATATCGACGATCCGAATGCTTCGAGGAGGGAGTATGGAATAAAAGCTTTTGTATCTGACATTATGGATGGCGTTGCAAGGTGGCGGGGTGAATCTTAATTCGTCGACACTATTAAAACAAGATTAGTATGGTCTTGCTGCGCTAACATAAGAGTTTCAATGATAATCTGAGATAATCACCTCGCATTGCGGACCGGACAACCAGCATCAATGTGGTCGATTCGGATATTTTCATCTTGCTCCGTTTCGTCATTCTCATCATAGTTCACACATTTTAGCTATATGAAATAACGGCGTTACTAAAATAGGGGGCGAGGAAAGCAAATATTATCACAGTTATAGATGCTGTTATTTAATAGCAGAACAGCGCAATAAGTCTAGCACTATAAAAGGCCACCCACAACAATTATCAAGGGCTTTAAGCAAGTCTCACTATGCCATCTAAGTATAGTTCCCATGATATAGATATTTAAATTATCTTAAAAAATAATAAACGACGCAGATAGTGCGAGATCATCATAAGGATTTAGACATCAAAGAGGGAAAAGGGCTTAGGAAAGCAGAGGTCTTGAGTGCTGCGGGGTTCAAGAGTAAGCAGAAACGATATGGCTTTGCAAAGGCATAAACTGCGCCTCGTAAATGGCCAGAGAATTTCAAACTCTGGCGACTACGTTAGTATAACACAGCGGCACAGAGGCTCCATTTCCGTCAGGCTGCATAGTTTCCCGTCTTTCATGGACCCACAATGATGCGCAGCATTTTACCAAGTCTCGGCGATCTGAGTGGAAGAAACATTGATTTTATTCAGCAGACTACGATGCTTTTATGGCCAGTCTTTCCAACCGCTTAGGCGATAAACGGCATCTCAATACCCCTCAGTATCTTGGCCTCGGCAGCAACATCCGTATCTAACACAGCAACACTCAACTCGGGAAGCGTGAAGTTGAACGCACCATCCTCATTCGCAGTCAAGACCAGAGTCTGCGTGTCGACAATGTTCACGCCAGAGTGAGGGTCGTTGTAAGCGAACGGGTCTCCGCTGGGGTTGGTCAACACAGTCAGAGACGCCTTAGTGCCAGCCTCAACACCCTCGAATTTGACGGTGACGGGCACGTCCTCGCTGTTGGTAGTGTTGTAGGCAGCGCCCTTCCAGATGAAGTTGCCCTTGGCCTCGTTCTTGCCAGCAACGTAGTAGACGGGGCCGAAGTCGGCAGAGGCCTCGAGGGTGTGCGAGAGAGGGTGGCCGGCGAACATCTCCCAGACGTACCAGCTGGTGGAGCGGGTGGTCAACTTGGGGTCGGCGGCGAACTGGACAATGGTGACGGCCCACTGCCAGCGGTTCATGTTGCGGAGGACGGGGGCGTAGAAGGTTCCCGGAACGCGGTCGGCGTTTCGCTCGTAGCCGATGAGAGAGACGGCCTCGCCGACGGTGCCGATCCACCAGGGGAAGGGCATCAGGTCGCCGTCCCATCCGGTGCCGCCATTGGGGTGGGTGGCGGCGACTTCACCAACAATGTGGCCAATATCGTTGTCGAAGCGGTCGAACTCCTCGACAAGGGCATCGGGAGTGCGGTAGGGGTGGTAGTCACCGATGCCGGGGGCGGGAATGTCGAAGCCATCGCCGTCAGTGGTCGCGCCGGAGGAGATGACGGTGATGTCGGGGTACTTGGCCTTGATGGCCTCCATGAACATGGGGAAGCGGTACTCCTTGTAGGAAGTCCAGCCACCGGGGTAGCCAGCAAGCCAGTCCTCGTTACCGATCTCGACCATCTGCAAGTCGAACGGCTCGGGGTGTCCGAGCTCAGCACGCTTGGCTCCCCAGGTAGAGTCAACGGGGCCGCGGATAAACTCAATCTGGTTCAGGGCATCATCAATGAAGGGCTGGAGATCCTCCTTGGGAGTAACATCGCCGTTGAGAGCGAGGCCGGCCCAGACGCCGATGACGACAGTAAGACCCATGTCCTCAGCCCACTCGAGGTACTCCATGAGACCAAGGCCGTGAGTCTGCTGGTAGTTCCAGACACCCTGGAAACCAGGACGATCCTTGAGAGGGCCAAGGGTGTCCTTCCAGTCCCAGTAAGTCTTGTTGTCAATGCCCTCGAGCATGTTTCCGCCAGGGAAGCGGAGCAGGCTAGGGTGGAGCTCAGCAAGAGCCTCGGCAATGTCGACACGCAGACCGTTCTTGCGGTCCTTGTACGTGGGAGGGAACAAGCTGATCAGGTTGAAGTCCAGCGAGCCGTCGGCAGCGCCCGCGGGGTCAAAGGTAATGGCGAAGGTGTTGTTGCTGTTGGGAGCATCCTTGCTGGGAGTGAGCTCGACAGCGTGCTCAACCCATTCGTCGGCTGTGGACTTGGACTCGATCTCGACAGAGCCGAAGACGTCGTTGTTGAGAGCCGACTTGAGGGAGGCGGTGAAGACACCGTCGTAGGCACCCTTCACCCAGAAGGAGCCGGTGTACTTCTGTTGTCTGACGTCCATGCCCCAGTAGCCATCGTTCTCGAGACCGATCGAGCCGGAGCCGTTGCCGCCGGCGACGTTGACGGAGACGGGGAGGGCGGCGGAGAGGGGCTCGCTCAAATTCTTCAGGGTGAGCACAGCGCCGTTGATAGAATGCCAACCGTCTAGGGAGACAGGGAATCTGTCGCTGTACTGGAAAGCGCGGTTGCGGACCAACTCGGCGTAGATACCGCCATCACCTGAGTTATTGATATCCTAGGAAATACTCAGTAAGCTACGTGTATCAGTGAGGTAGCAGGAAATAGGATACAAACCTCGTGAAGGAATCCATACTGGTGACCACTAGTAGCGTTGCCGCCGGTGGCCTTGACGGTGATGTCGACAGCAGCAGCCGAAACGGCGTAGGTAGCGGCCAGAATGGCCGACTTCAGCGACACCATTTTGCTTCCCGATTGCTTGCGATTGAGGGTGCAATGACGCGAAGGTGTCGAACCAGGCCCAAGGCGATTAGCCGCTGTCAGGGACAGGCGATGGTTTTATACCAGCGTCGACCACGGTGACCAACAATGAGCTCATCCCCCGCTCGAATCACCGGACTCACAATGGATACCAATTGAACTGTCCCATTCAATGCGACCGGCAGACCCAAGCATCTGGGGCCGAGACACGTGACGGCGCTCATTTCGCGAGCGTGTCGGCTCATTTGGAAGATGTTCACCCCGCATCCCTCTAACCCATGTCACACTCCGCAGTTGTTTGTCCGTCCAGACGGGAGAAACAATATCGTGAGCGTCGCATGTCGGTGGCTTCAGTCCCGAGATGGAGAGCTCGAGGAAAGCTTGGCATTGCGGAGTGCGCGGTCGGCTCGGTTGACCTTTCGCGTGTTCATGAACCAGCAGCAGGGGTACGGCCGGTATCAACGTCGGGATTGGATGGTGGGAAAGCTCACAAAGAGAAATACTGTTACATCGGCCGGGCGAAGTGATGTCGAAGCTCGGTCGCGTCAACAGAGGCGGACTTTTGGTCCCAATTTCTTCCTGTCAATGTGGGGAAAGCTGGAGAAACCAGGAACAGCTCAGATGAAGAGACACAAAATGAGGGGAAGTTGGAGAAACGAAGGGAGCATCCGGGCTTGAAGCCGGGATATCCCCCGGATCCACTGCGTCACTACCGGATTCCGAGGGACGGATGGAGAGCTCTCATTCGAGCGCATCGAGGAAGAATATCGGGTCATCTTCATTTTGCCGCCCAAAGACGCGTGGGGACTCTGCCCATGTGCGCATCCAACCTTACCTGTTCCTTGCGTTGAATCGAACAGCACGGCAGGCATCGCGGATGGTCGATGGCACCTTCGGCTCATGCTGCTCGGTCTCGACATCGCCATCCATGTCTCAACCCCGCAGCGGATGAATAGCGTTGAAATCGGGTTGGCCCGCTTCGATTCGATCAGCGATAGAGCTCTTGGCCAGCCACATGCCGAACGCTTTGCGGCGTCAGAAGTTCGCGTTGATGCAAGGGCCAGTGGATTGAATGAAGTGAATGTTTTTCACTGAAGCTTGGCTTCTAACATCATTGAATGTTGGATAGCAGACTCTTTGTCACAGGCCCGCTTCCAAATGGACCTGCATCCAATTTGATGTGTCGTCGCAAGTGCTTTTAGTCACGTTTCCCGGGTCGTGCCGGAACAAATGGCACCTGTCCGAGTTGGAGGAAGAAGGTCTAATGATGTAGAAAATGGTTACTTCTATTCTGGTATCATCAGCATTGCTTTCTTCCTGACCGTCTAGGAATACAGCGAAATCTTGTTGATCATCTGCTCAACTGCTGTCGATAGACATTCAACTCAATGACCGACCACACACGCGCGATCTTGCCTTCATGCAACTGGTACATGACGTTCTCGTGAAACTTGACCGAATTCCCATTGGGCTTCGCTCCTCCCCATTCGCGGACTGGGGTCCCAGTGAACTCCAGCCGTGCCGCAATCTGCTGCGTCTCCTCGTCGACGAGTAACTCCTCGATATGGAAGTGCAGTTTTTGAATAGCGTTCTGGCTATCGCTGATGAGTGGGATGTACTCAGTAATTGTCAGCCTACGGCCGTTATGTTCCAGCTCAGGCTGACAAAAGCGTTCAAAGTCAGGCTCCATCGTCTTCTCGTTGATGCTGGTGATGTAAGCCTTGTACAGCTCTTTCAAATCCAATTCATCGTGTCTAGAACAGAGGTCTCCGATAAGTGTTGGTGTTCTAGGGACTGCAGAACGTTGTGACTCGGAGCCGGCTTCGTCTCGGAGAGATTGCCATCTTGCCATACGACTGTCGACGAACCATGCGAAGATTATCTCTTGAAACTCGGGTGCGGAGTCGGGCGAGCCAGCGCAGTTGATGTAGCGCGCAGCAACAGCATTGCTGCTGGTGTCGACAATGATCGTGTCTAGCTTCCTGTGCATTTTCATGCCTGGTGAGAGGGAATCACTCTCGCAGGCGAAGAATACCGTCGCGGACATGGACTGGCCATTGTAGTCGATAATGGGCTGGACTCTGCGTTCAACTTCATCCCAGTCTTGCTCATCCAGGTGCTGAATGAGCGAGCGGAAGACCGACTCAACACCTGTAGCAGACGTTGAAGTCATGGTAAGCGCGGGGTATGAAAGACAGTGCGGGGTAAGCCGGGTTCGACAGCCGCCGAGGATATATCTTGTGCCTCTGGTATAATCGAAGAAAGGCTTACGGGGACTTCTCAGGATGTTTGTGAGATCTTCGCAGACGCCAGGCCAGTCTATGCCATTTCTAGAACATCCCCAGGTAGCGTAAGATGACTAAACTTCCTGAGCACCAGGCGGGACATCGGGCGGGGCGGCCGGCTTTGGTCCCGGTTGGCGGGGAAGCGGCCGAGCTGTCGTCAATTGGGATGCGGATCATTCTGTCGCACAAAAAATCCTTTAGAAGACTGCGGCGGACCGCTGTAACAACGCAGTTAATAATGGGCGCGACTACCTGAATATTATTTGAACCATAGCTCACGACGTTCTTCAGAGCCGCCAATTCATAAGAGAACCTTTGGTGCAGCCCACGTCGGTAAATACCTCTGCTTGTCAATGCGAATGTTGACTGCAAGCTGGGCTTCTTCATGTTTTCAATTACAGGTGCCCATCATAGGTAAGTAGTGATTTTTGTCATATATTTGTCAACCGATGCGCAAGATCTTCGGCCCGGGGTATCGAGTCCTCTCAAACGCCACATGGGTATCGCACCGCCTGAGACAATCTACCGTGAGGGTCCCTCGATTCGCGATATCATCTGATATCTGAGATGCCCTCATCCTGCCGTCTCTGATCGGATCTCCCCCGGAAGGTTCGTGGTAGTCCGAGAAGGAAGTCCAGAGTGCCTGGTCATAGAACGCTGGATATCCCACACCGTTCATCATCGGAAACCTAGATCAGGTAATTGGAATTCCACTGGCCGAAGATCGTCAATCCATCCTAGACATTCTCTGCGATCTCGAACTTTGATTTTCCACACCGAGAGATTTGGACGTACAAAAGCAATTCTCGCATTTTTCCGTTCAGCGACATAGGATACTATTTCACACAAGTAGAAAAATAATCAGTCATTAGAGGTAGAATCGATTCGTTGTACCAACCCAGCCGTCCCCGTCCACTCACCAGGGTTGTCATCTATGGCGAACCAGTACGCCCCCCTCCCATACTAAACTCCAAATAGGCTTTCCGAATATCCGAATCAAGTAGTAGAAAGTAGACAATAGAAAGTATAAAAATAGTAATGCTTATTGCCTCAAAGTAGAAACCCCTCCCACTCCTTCATCCCATCACCAGCCCTTAACTCTCAAGGATCCCGCTCCCGGCTTCCCGGCACGACTCGGTTGTCCGACCCCCACAAAGCAGGCTCCTGAGGGCCCGAAGCTGTGGTTTGGGTTCAGTACCTCTCCCGCCTTTTTTGTGAAGCATTCGGGAGAGTTTCACCGTTGAAACGGCAGGTCTCTGATGCAACGCTGTTATTTTCAAAATCGCTATTTTCCAAAACCAAATCTCCATTGCTCAGGAAATCTATAGGCTCAACAACGCAACCGTAAGAGTCGCAATGAGGAGTGCTAGTCTCAGCCCAGAGACGGATACAGCATCCGTAGAAGCCGCGCTCATCGGCATGCCGGTGTTATTGCGGCTCTGCTTGAAGAACGGATCCAGTGTTGTGGTCTTGTTGACGGGGTAGATGCTGTTGGCGACGCAGAACTGTGTGGGGTTGTTCCATGTGGCATCGACGGCGCGCTTCCACGCCACCACGGGTTGGGTGAGCATCTCCTTAGTGTAGAAGATGCGGCAGTTGGCCGGCTCCCACAAGAACTGCAGGGGAGTCTTGGCATCTGACATGGAGAAGGCATTCTTGCCGTTGACAGCGCCGGCGGACTTGGGGGTGGTGGCACGCTTGATGGCGTAGCCCTTGGCCAGTTCGCCGACGTCGCTGTTCATGACTTCCTCCTTCTTGTCCTTGGGAGCGAGAGCGAGGATAGCCTTCGCGTCAGAGGTAAGGTCGTTGAAGGAGAAGACCTGGGCACCCTCAACACCAGCGATGGACTGCATGATGCCCGACAGAGGACGTCCTCCGATGACAGTAGTCTTGATACCCATTTGAAGGATCATCAAGTAAGAGAAGATGGTGCAGGTTGAGCCGCAAGTTCCATCAGTGAACAGAAGGACGTTCTCGGGCGCAAACACGCGAGGGGGCGGGTTGGCTTTGTTACCGACACCAGTCAGGTTGAATGACGGGTCAGTCTGGTTGAGCGGGGCCTCTTGGTAGGCGGTGAAGGTATCGCCATTCAGAGAGACGGGAGCCAGGATCTGGTCAACCGTCGTGAAGGCCTGCTCATCAGGAGTGAAGACCTGGCCGGGCAGCAGATTGGTAATGACAGCGCTGCTGGCGAGAGCCTCAAGGGCACCCTTCTCCTCAGGACTGCTTGGCGTGAAGTTGGCAGGAATGGCGTTTGCCAGGCGAGACATCATGTTCATGCTGTCTGAGAGACGCAGGTTGTTGGCTTGGAAGCGGTCGACCTCCGGGAACAGCTGTGATGGGATGTTAGTGAGATTTACGATTCCAAGGAAATGTGGTACGAACCTGGGCGAACAGCTCAAAGCCAGCAACAACGAAACCACCACCATTAGCAGCGACATCAACAACGAGCCTCTTCTTTCCAGCCTTCTTGCTCTCGGCGAGGAACTTGGCGACAGTGTCCTGGAAGTTGGTGAGGTACTCAGTGGCATCAATCGCATCCGGGGGCGCGAAGGATGTCACAGAGAGAACAGCAACATCCTCATAACCAGTACCATTGAGGAAGTACCCGGAGGTGGTGTTGGCACCGCTGTCACGTACAACAGGGTACGGGTAGCCCTCAATGGTCGGTTTGGGCGGAGGCGGCGGCGAGCTGGTCTTGGGTGCGTCGGGCTTGGTGCCGTTGGCAGGGGTCTTGTTGGCATCCGGGTTGCAGAACTTGTTGTAGAAGTCCTCGCCATTGTTCACGTTGGTGAAGTTTGCTCCGGCACGAATGAGTGCAAAGCTGTCTTCAGACTTCTCCTCACCATTGTCGTAAGTGATGGTCACCTTCGGACCCTGGAACGCAAGAGATGCGGCGATGAGAGGAACCGCTTCCTTGAAGGCGTAGGACTTGAAGTTCGCGTTCCATTGAGAGTCGGGGTCCTGGTACCCACTGAACTTCAGGTTCAGATCCTCGAGCAGAGTAGCAGCATCGCGGCCGTTGATCCTAATGATGGCGGGAGCTGAAGAATTGTTGTCGAGTTGTCCTGCAAGGATTAGCAAACTGCAAAATACCACCTTAGCCGCCTGGTGGTAACTTACCCATGTGATACAGTTTTGGCACCTCGATACCATCTCGAGACACTGAGACAATGTCGCTGGCGAGCGTATTACGGAAGCTGAAGCCCTTGAAGATGTCGCCTCGGAAGGCGAAGTGACCGTCATGGGCAGACGCGAAAAGCTGGAAAATCTCAAGCTGGAAGTCGTACTCGCTCTTGTAGCCTCCAGCAGCCGCCTTCTCGCCAATCTTTGAAAGACCGCCCTCGATGTCGGTGGGCGGGAGCATGTATGACGCGGGAGGGTTCTTGAGCCAGGATAGCGTGCTCTGCCATTGGACGTACGCCTTTAAGCTCTTGATGAGATCCTTGGCCGGTCCAGGCTTGTTCGGGACAGACTGAAGGCAGTCAAAAGCGGTTTGCGCATTGACTTTCGGTGTCGCTATTGAGGGAATTGTCAGTTACTTTGCACATCAAAAGCGAGTTGAATAGCTCAAAGTCTTTTCCTCGCCCACACCTAATCCTCCCTCAAGATCATGACGACACCAAAACCCAACAGAAGACGAGATCACGTACCCTTAGGACTGGCCTGGAGGAATTGCTGAATCTGAGGCTGGATCTGTCCACAGGCACCGCTGCCGTTTCCAGCACCACCGGTAGGAGGCTGTGTCTGCGTTGGCGTCGTGCTCGTCGGGGTCGAGTTCGTCGGAGTCCCAGGCGGGGCTTGTGGCCGCGCCAACGCCGCAGCGGCGTACGCCACCGTCCACCAGATAAATCTCATGTTGTCGGCGACCGATCTCTATGTTCGTATGCGTATGTACGTGTGTGAATCTTTCCTCCCGTCTAAAATGACGAATGTGATGTCTCCGCTTCTTTGTTCTTGTTGAAAATCGAAACAACTTCGAGAAAAGAGGGAGAGTAAAGGAAAGAATAGCACAGCTATCCGCGAGGCCAGCTCAAGAAGTCTCGGGAACGAGAGAAATCAAAGAGGAAAGGAAAGTATATGGGGCCTTTGACGGACAATTCGCCGAAACCTGGGAGGGGGAAAGAATTCTAAAAGAGCGCTCTGTCATGTGCCCTGACAGCAGTAGATGGGGTTTTAATGACCTGCATTGTCCCTCCTTCATACTTTCCCGTCTGGTTCGAAGCCGACACGGAAGTGTCCAAACTCCAGCCCAAAAACACCATGTCGGACCCGCTCGCTCTCGTTCTTCTTGGCGGCTGTATGGTGTGCTTGCTACCGCCAAGGGGGGGCGTGGTCGTCTGTCGGGCAGCCGATAACCTCAGCTACGGCCAGAGTTGCTTGCTCCCAAATCATGAAGCCATCATGAAACACGACAACCCTCACATCTTCAGATAAGCATCCGCGCATCCTTGGGCGGCGCCGGCTGCAGATTTAAACTCGGACGCTCAGCCGGGAAGACCCCTGTCGCATAAAAAGGCCGCCCTGTCCCCTAGCGTCTTATCCTCCCTCGACTAAACTACCGGCAGGACAGTTTAGGGTGCAGAGACTCATGGCTTGCATTGAGTGCTAGGTAATCGAGGCTGGATGACCCTACACACGGCACTGTCAATAGCCTAGCCTCCGCCCCTAGTGCACACTCTGTACGGTGGACTCTGCCCTCTTGGTGGTCTCTTGATCTGGGGACCGAGAGACCCGTCGAGATGGCCTTGGCGGTTGATTGGGTTGATGTTTCGGTGCAATCGGGGGATTGTGTCTGAAGAATGTGATTTTGAAGAGGGCTCATCCCACGACATTCCCCAGACACGACTTATCTAATTGTGATACTTCCGCCGGCCATCTACCGGCTGGGCGAGAGGCCCCAGAGTCAGAGCCACCGTACCGTAGCATCCTCTCCGTGTCGAGTCGCCCATTTGTCCCCGCACTCTGGCCCCAAGCCATCACCTCATGAACACTTTCGTCCCACTCTCCAGTCATGTTTCTCTTCTGGTCTGTTCTCTCTTGTCACTCACTCTCTCTCCGCAGTCTATCAGATCACACAGCCAGCAGACGGCCGGTGAAGCTTTCTCGCTGCCTCCCCCTTGACTCTGCCTTGGCAGCCTTTCCCTGCTGTAGCAGATCTGCCGGAGGAAACGCATTCCGCACCAGTAACGCAGAGACTGACTCTGGGCTGCCAGATCTTGTGTAGCATGCTACAAGGAACGACTCGCGTGTCTCTGGCTTCTAGCCCCCTGTGTCGGACTCTCCCGGCGCTAGAGTTGGCTATGTCTTGGGTCCCTGTTTGACTTGGCCCAGCATCGCCTGACTCCATCTCACAGCCCTATCGCACGCTGATCAACAGCGATGAGCAGCGAGCGAGAAGATCATTTTGAGCTTGACGAGAATCTCCCGACCGAGACTCTCGCGACCACTGCGTGCACGGATGATGGTGTCAAATTTCAGTCGAGTCTCATGAAGCGCAGCCCAGGCCAGTAAAACCCCAAGACCAGTAAACAAACTCCGCGGCAGCTGTCTGTTTCCGCGCGCCCTCTGGACACTCTGCGCGCGCTGCTCCCTCACCTCCAACCCTTTGCCCCGCCCCCGGCGGGAGAAGCCTTACTTTGCATCTGCGTGAATCTCCCTCACCAAGCCGCCAGAGTTCGAAGAAGGGGGCTATTGGTGCGAAACTCTAGTCGCGTCGTACGATAAGGCGCAGAATTCGATTGGCGATGCCAAGTAAGATGTTTGCTGATCGTTCGTCACTTTTTAAGTCTATCTCCCATACGCAACAGAATGGGGGAGAGAAGCAGAAGCCGAACCACACCCAACATCAGCAAACGCAGAAGCGAACACGAAAGAGGGCTGCAGATCATGGAGATCAAATGGGTAAAGAAACCAACAGTCGACAAAACTAAACAAGGCTACCATCGAAGCCAGCTCTCAAATCATGCACGGGTATCTCAGCTTCCGTCCGCTCTCGGTCCCTTCCCGCGGCACAGCGGCACACGCACAACGCAGAAACACAGTCCGCCCTCGCCCCCCCGCCCTCCTTTTTGCATCTGTCAGCACCACCACCACCACCACCAGCAATCGATCAGCCATGTGAGCAGCATAGTCGACTTGAGCCTCTCGCCCGAACTATCCCATGAACCATCTCGACATTACATCTTTCTTCCCTGCCCCCGATGTTACCCCGTCCGCCTCAGACGACGACACCCATCCCCAACACACCCACAGCCAACCCCAACCCCACGCCTGCAGCGGCAAGGCCACCAGTGCATCGCGCCGCGGCCACACCTCCGGTGCTCGAGCTGGGACTGACTCCTCCAGTCACCGTCCCTCCGGCCCCACCCCTGGCGCTGCCCGTGACGGGACAGTCCGTGGTGCACGGGAGGGCGGAGACGAATGGCGTCGGTGCCGCGGTGCCTGTTTCCGCGCTGCCTGTGACGGTGAAGACGGGCGCTTGTGTCACCGCGGTCACGTTGGGCGTCGTGTTGTTGGAGTTGACGTTGAGCACCGCGTCAAGAATCTGGATGACGCCGTTGGCGATGAGGATGTCCGTCTGAATGACGCGCGCCGAGTCGACGAAGATGTCGTTGTTGTACAGCGTCACGCTGAGGTTCCTCCCATTGACCCCCGTCTGAAGTTTCGCTCCACTCACCAGGGCTGATTTGCCGTACACTGTCGAAGGCACAATGTGATATTGCAGCACCCGGCGGAGATCTTCCTTGCTCATCGCGGACACGGTGCCCGCAATCTGCTGAAAGGCGGCATTCCGCGGCGCAAAGATGGTGACATTCTGCGTCTCGGCGAACTCAGTCACCAGGTCGGTCGCGTACAGCGCCCCCAGGAACGACGTCAGATCAGTATACGCATCGCGCGCAGTCTTTTCAATGCGAGCCGGCGGGACCATCAAGCTGTCGATAATCTGAACATATCCGCCATCGAATTCGATGTCCGTCTCGACGGCCGTCGTGCGCTGGGCCACCCCCGACGTCACGACCACCTCGCCATTGGGCCCTTTGGTCACCAGCACACTCTGCCCGCCCGTGACATTGGAGTACCGCGTGTCCGTGAGCAGGGTGGATTCGATGGACGAGTTGCCCGGGAACAAGGCGTCGAAGGCGATTTTGGCGTTGATGATGCCGTACTGGAGCGCGACGGGGATGCCGTCCTTGTCGGAGTCCCAGCCCTGACCCTTGGTGTAGGCCTGGTCGCTCGGCGCGAGGATCTGGCGTTCGTCAGAAGATGTGTCCCGAGAAAATAAAAAAATAGGGATGTTTGGTTCGCGCTGCATGAAGGGCTTGCACGATGAGGCCCCATCGGTTCGTCTAAGCGTGACAGGGCGAAGGGAGAGAGGGTAATGCCGCTGCCGCTAGGTGCATCGCCAAAGCTCTTCGTGCAGGTTTGACAGCTGAAGGGGTCTGATTGGAATGCAAAATAACGTACCGTGACGCCGGATTTGGGCACCTTCGAGAAGATTTCGCTGTTTCCCTGTTGCCTCGAGTCAGTCACCCAGGCTGTTTTTGGCCCTTCTCGAGGCTTGAGACATCGTGGTGGAGTGGATTTGGGGATCTGAGTGTCGCCTGCGCATGCGCATTATGCGACCCTCAAGCCTCTGTATATATCAAAGAGCGCTCCCGCACTGTCTAGTGATGATGCAGCAGGCTCTGAGAGCCCGCTGGCTGTGCTTTCTTGCTTTCTTCTCACCTTGACAAGATCGCGAAAAGTTGTGAGATTGGCCTGCTTCGCGAGGACGTCCTCCAATTTTTGGCCCGCGACGGCGGACGCGCCAAGCGTGACTGACAGCGTCGTAGCCCACAGGGCCCAAGATGACGGCCTGATCATCATCGTCGTCCTTTTTGCTCCTTCGTCCCAGCGGTTGAATGATTAGAGTTGTGTTCTCGAACGCGGAAACGCACAATGTTGCGCAGGACTGGCAGATGCAGCCCACTTCAACGGGGGCGAGCGAGCGGGTTTTGACGGTCACAACGTCCGTCAATGATGCTATTCCGTATAACGTGAAGCAAACACGGTCCAAATGGAGACTCGACCGTCAGCGTTGGAAGGCCCGATCAGGAGGCAAGGGGGGCAAAACAACCCGAAGAGGAATAAGGACGAGAAGTTTCTCTGTCAAAACGGCGAGGCCATGGGCGCGTGAGGCAGGGCAGGGCGCCATTATGAAGCTGCGCGATTGTTCTTTCACCCTTCCATTCCATTCCCGTCTGACGGCGATTTCGGGCCTGGAACTCGGACGCGGTGGTGTGTGGGCACCTAGCACCGTGGCGTCCTACGAGAGGACCTGCAGGCGTGGGTTGCATTGGGATCGCGGACAATTCAGCCCGCCTGTTTGCACCATGTTCTCGAGGAGCGGGCAGCTTCGTGGCGTTTAGTAGTTGCAACCCCCCATGCTGTTTTTGGGCGAGGAAATTGCAGTCAGGGGGCGTTCATGAAAGGCTTTGACCTCGTGCGCCGACGATTAGAAGTGGTGGCGTTGGGGAGTTCGTGGATTCAACCAATCTGGGTCGTTTCACACGTGCGCGCGATCTTTTGGTCTTCAGCTTTAAAGGCAGCCATAGGGACACTTGGAACATCGCGAGCAGCTCCATCGCAAGACATCGCCGACGAACAAGGTAAACGCGACAGACCAGAGATTGCAACGTTTGGGGGTGGCGTGTGTTGGTCATCTTTTAGCACCATCTTCTGTGCCTGGCGCTAGAACCAACATAGCACCTCGTTCTGTCCCGCATGCGCCGAGACGAGCCAGGGTCCAGCAGACGGTTTCTTCATTTGGTCCTTTTTAGCCGACTGCGATGCAAAGGTGCCTGGATGATTTTCCGTCGGCCTGCGGGAGATCATCTGGGGTCCGGAGTCAGCGCCTTGAGTCTTTGCTCTGCAAATATGGGTGGTACGGCGACTTAATTGCGTCTTAGGAGTTCCAGAATCGCCGAAGAATAAAGTCTCGGTCCCCATCCCCCAGCCGTTCGAGCTGTCAACCGGGATGTCCTGAGTAAGCCCCAGGCGGATTTCCCATGTGCAGGGCCATTCCCCCACTGCAGCAAGCCCTGGCTGTTCGAGGTATTTTCGGGCTTCGAAACTGGCGACGGCAGGGGCGCATGTCGGTGGCACCGGTAAGCTGCCAAGCCAATATCCCCTGCAGGCTATCGATGATTCCATTCCAGGCATCAGCGATGCGACCCAACGGCGAAGAGTCTTGGGGAAGGCTTTCCCAGCGTCGGCACTCAATGTCTCGGCCGCCATTCCGGCCAAGGTGGGGCTCCGTTGACGACCCACCTCTCCGTACACTCCGTGACTGGCCCACTCTTCGGCCCGGCATTGCAAGCGGTGACCGGCAAATGATCCTTCCACCGTTCTCAAGCCGTGTAAACGAATAACATTGCTCCAAAGCAGCACCGACCGTTAGATGCATGAATAATTCGGTCAGCTTACCGTCCGAGCGACTGTTAAAGATAGCAAAATTCTATGCAGCCTACACGAGGAATAGAGTACGCAGGATTAGGTTTCCGAAAAGAATAAAGGCTGGATTGCAAGCCACACTCAGAAATCCTCCATACGAGGAAAAGACCCAATGATAACGCGAGTCGCGGTGTTTCTGCATTATGAGGCTGCCAAAATGTCAAACGACGCTTGCCAAATCAATGCCGGGCCTTCCTTCACAGGAGCCGTCTGCCAGCGTGGCTAGCTGGGCTATATCTAGATGCGGTCTTCAGTCTTCGTGCGATCGTCTTCTGAAGTTGCAATGTCCGGTATACCTTTGATGTGTGTGCTGCCTGTCCGGCTGCCTGTCCGACTCCTGCGAAATTCGAGCCACCCGACGACCTAGTTCCTGAACAGCATGTCGCCGAGGGATCCCATTCTGGTCCCGAGGACCAACCCGGTCAAATGTGAGGTTATTCCAATCGCGTCCATGTCGAGTGGCGGGTCCTACGAGAGCCCTCCGTCCTATCGTTGGACAATGGGTCAGCCAACGGACAAGCTGCTTCCGTCATCACAGCCGCCCCGATACGCGCCCGACAACACTCGCTCCGAATCAGTCTCCGGCAGCTCGACATCGAACGGCGCAATTGCAGATTCCGACACGGTCAAAATGCCACCCGCGCTGCGGACCTGGGGCCCGATTTCGCCATGGCCCGAGTTCCGCATCTTTTCGCCCGACAAGAAACACAGCTATGCCGCTTACCGCGCTGGAACATTTAGCGGGAAGCGGGGGACAATCACGATACGCGATGGTGCCACCGACGGCCATGACACCTTGGTGACAGTCGGCAAGTCACCCGGAATGAGTTTCATGCGATCCATTATCGTCACAGTCGAGGCTCGCCCGGAACTTCACCAGGAGCAGTTCACCACGACCATGAGCAGCGGCAGCATGTTCGTCAGCTCCCGTCAGCGGTGGATCTTTGAGATCCCCATCGTGACCAACGGCGAGCTCACTTGGGAGCGGTTCAGGTGGAACTTCACGGGCGGCAAGACGATCAAGGACACTGTCGGATGCACTTGGGGCTACCAGCTGGTTTGGCTGCCCCGGCCGACGACGCTGCCTGGAATCCGGACCGGTGATGGGGCACCCCTTAAGCCTCAAGGGGCGGGTCCTCAGAGGCCGGCGCAGGCTACCGGTAGAGGGGAGATCGTGGCTGTCATCTCCATGTGTCTTGCATGTTGCTCGGCGGAGCCTTACAGGTTCAAGTTCTTCGGGACGGGTCTTCGAGGGACTCTAGGTGAGAAGTTCGAAGTTGTAGCGGTCGCAACGGGGTTCTGGCTTTGCACTCGTTGAGAGGCTTTGGGTGAGGACATCACGTACAACGGTGGCGCCGGCGCTCGTTTCATTGGTAAATAATGTTTTATTTACAGGCCTTTGAGATACCAGCGAACTTTTGCAGAGGTCCTGCAATGCTTCTCTCGCTTCCGTTTATCATACATGTAGCAAGTAATCTTTCTTTACCCTAAGCTTGCTTTAGGCAACACGGTAATCCAACCCCGCAGGTAGTTCTTGCCGCTCATATGTCATCGATTGTTCGCACAGGCCAAGAAGTGTTTGATGTACGGCTCAGGATCGAGGGGATCTTCACGACCATATATCCACAATGGTTGCAGTCTTCCCACCCAATCAGTCAGAAAGCCTGTGTGAATTTCAATGATGTCGAGCAGCGCGCAAAGCAATGAAACACGTTTTGAATACCAGGCTTCTCGAGCGACTGTGTCGAGCTGGGACGTTTGTCCGTGGTGATACTCGTGCTCCATCCACAAGACGTAATCGCAAACAGACGTCTTGACGGTCGGCTCTGGGTTTTGGGCCCGGTCTGTATCAATAGATACATGGAAATTGAAGCGATCGTTCTTGTAGTCGATTTCGTGCATTTTCTGTATCTTGAATTGAATTAGCCTCAGTGTGTACGATTTCAAGTATGAGCGCTATAACTACTCTTTTTGGACGCTTGTGCGGTTCTGCTTTTGCGGCCTCCTGGCTGGCTTTTCGAATCGAGTCTCGGAGTAGGGTGAACCAGTAGTTGAGGAGAGCTTCGTATTTCTCCTGGTCTCTGTGGTCGATGTCACTATTCAGAATGTCCGTGAATTCCTGCTCCTCGTCCATGATTTCTACAATGTCATCTTCGGACTTCTTTGACTTAAAGATGAATCGAAGGGGGGATTCGTCGAGTTCAAGCTCGCAACAGACATGGGTCATGTCCAGATCTTTGTGTGTCTCTTCTCGGATGAAGGACAGAACAACATCTCTCGCAACTTCGACGCCTCGATATTGTTGGATAAGAATGAGCCACTCCAATGACCATATGGAAAATTGGAAGCCACGTCCAAAACGGTCCCTACGACCCTCCTTCGGTGTGGCAGTGAGACAGCCTGTCGGTGAGCACGGGCATCTGCAACGATCTCTGACGAGAACATTCGCATCGGCAGCAAGCAAGACCCTTACAACGTCCATTATTAACCGTGTTTGATTGAAGTCGCTGATGTGCAGGCCCCTCAGCGCGTGTCCGATTGCTGTGCGATGCTGATTGTCTTCGAGGTTGACATTAGCTCCAAGCTCTAAGAGTCTGGAAGTCAAGGCGACGTCCTTATGTTTGACGGAGTTAATCAGACCGTGTTGGCCGAGACTATTAACATGGTTGATTATGGTGAACCCATTATCAACCAATGCTTCCAATTCGCAAACAGTCCTAATGTCGTGGAGAAGACAGTTGTTCCTCACGTCTCTTCCATTATACGTGAAGTTGACGTCTTCGCACAGAGCCAACAAGTGCCTAAGAGAGATCGGGCTATCGAAAAGGAAATCCGGAACTGCCAGCTGAGCGTTGACTATTGCTGCTCGTACCCAGGACTCTGCGACCTCTTTCTCGACGGATTGTTTGATGACCAACAGAAGGTTGTAAATCAGACACCAGTTGCGTCTTGCCACAGCATATCCAAAGAATGTGCGGTTGTACCGGCTGTCTTCTATTGTGAAGTCGGCATGGGCATTGATGAGAATGTAGAGAGCCTCTTCTTCGTCTGCCGCTGCTGCATACATCAGGGGCGTTATGCCATAATTATCGATGGCATCCACATCGCGACCTGAGTCTATGAGAGCTGACAGATGCTCAGGCTTATAGATTGCGAGGTGAAGCGGAGTTTGTCCAAGAAAGTTCTTCTCATCTCTCTTAGAGCATTGAATCCATTTCTTCACCGATTCTGATGATCCAAACAGCACGGCCTCGTGAAGTGGCGTCATACCGGCGAAACCTGGAGCCAGTTAGCGACCTTTCAATATACTGAGAATTTTCTGCAGCAAACCTTGGTTATCCTTGCAAAGCAGGCTAATGTACTCAACGAAGAAGGGATCGGGCGTGGAACCTTCGGATATCCAGTTTGGCGAGCAGGGTTGTGGCCACGCCTGAGCCTCTACCTCTCCAGCATCGAAATCAAGGTGTATGAGTGTCTCAAGAAGGTCGAGATGCGGACCTTCACCAATCCATTTCGCGCATCTGGTGAGAAATCTGAGGCAATGTTTTGTCAGATGTAGACGTCGGGTGGTGTATAACAGTGTTACACTAAAAGCTACTCCGCTAGGTGCAATACTCAAAGTCTGCTTACCGTGGATGCATGCTACCTTGAATCATCCCTAAGTCACCCATGAGCAGCTGTAGCAGTCCAAACTGCCTTCGAGTGGCACGCCCTCCCCATGGCCAACGTGCAAGTTCCTACCGAAAGGATTAGCGATATTTGATCACCGACAAAGCGCATTGGAAGGCATACTTCGATATAGGACTTCCCAGCCGGATTCACGTGGTACCGAAAGCTTGGATCACTTTGGTAGAGATCTGTCAGACGTTTCCGAGCATCTTCATAGTCGATCATCCCATTTTGGCACCTCCAAATGACCTCAAATCCTGGAAATGTGTAGGGGACGGTGCAATCAGTCTGAAGACTGAATGACGGTGAAAAGGATCCCATTCTGCTGAGATAGTGGACTTTTATCACAACAGATCGATGGATGCCAAGTCGCGTCAAAGCCAATCGAATGTTCGCCCCATACTTCGCTGCATTACATTCTTCCACGTTGCAAGTTTGAAAGATTCCCATGAGGCTGTAGTCGAGTGCCCAGAAGCGCCCGGACGCCCTCTCGGAGTGATGGCATTGACAACAACAAGATCTCGACAAGCAATCTTGGCGGTATTTCAATTTCTGGCGCTTGATTGCTCGGTGTGTGTTCGCGACGTCAATGGCCTGGTTCGACAACGGAGCGGCAGATTCTGTTAGCTCTGGTCCCAGCTCTAAAGACTCATTGGTCGATCCGAGAGCGGCTGTCTGAGTGGAGGATTCCGAAGAGGGGCTTTCTGTGCCTTCCGAACAGGGTCTTTGGAGGCACAGATGTCTGACTTGAACTGATTGAAGCAATCTGTGTCAGGTATCAGCCATCTGGCAGCTGGGGGCATGAAGAGACGGCTCCTACAAACTCAGATTTATCTTGGCTGAATCGATTTCCCTCTGTAGCGCTACGAGATCTTCCTTCAGATGACGAAAGATCCACAGTTTCGACACCGATGTTCCACCCATTTTGGGGCGTTCGAGGATCCTTGTTATCAGCCTTTCAAGACTCTGGTGGACTCGACTGCAGCTTCGCTGGCAATGAGCGTGAGCCTGGTCGTCACGGTATGTGACATCGTCGACCGATTGCATGAGACAAACCATGAATTTCAGTTCACTTAAAAGAAAGTCCACCTCATTGTGAGCTTCCTTTACATTCTGGCGGATGTCGCGAAGCTTATCGATCCCGCTGCTAATTTGTACCAGCAAAGGTGCGAGACCCAGGACGATGCCAACAATTTCAGCCATATCGCCAGGTTGGGATCGTAGGGAATAATGAAAAGGGGATAGAGTGAAGTCTGCTCAGGAAGCCGAGCGGCAGTTGAGCCTCTGCTGTCAGAAAAAGGCAGACTGCAAGTCTCAGGCTCCAACAGGTTGCCTTAGGAGATGGACGGCGGCAGGCTGTGCCTCACGCAGCAGGCTTGACATGGCACCAGAACTCGGGGCTTCTTTTTCAAATGATCAGGCTGCCGGGGGTGGTGGGCCAACCAACCGTCATTAACCGTTGGCGGGCTGCACTTACCCTCCAAGCCTTCAATTAGGCTCATTTCTTCGCAACCCTGAATCTCCGTTTTTTCTGTGGTGTAAACGCTGACTCAAGCTGGAAAATCATGTGCAATCGCTCGATTCATTGCAGCTGATGCTCACAAGGGGAGTTTGAGCATCCCGTTCAGACACACTGGATACCAAAAGTCCCGCTCATGCACATGCAACCTTGGCGCCCAAGCAGAACGCGGCCCTTGAAGCTTCGCTTCTTCAGCGTGTTGGTTCCAGGGGAACAATTGAGTGCGATCGACCACAGATGGATTGATGCTCATGAATGCATCTACACGCCGGGCCACGCTTGCCACATTTGTGACGTTCGAAATTTGCTGCGTGAGCCCGGGAATTTGAACGGGGAACGAGCTTCTCAACTGGCTGACATGCCTCCATTCCGCAGGCTCAGTGTGTGCCCCACAGCACGAGCTAACATTCAACCCACCTGATAACCAGCCATGTCAGCAAGTGGGAGCCGGAATGTAAACATGGTGTCGGCAGGCAGTGTTGTTGGCCAATTATCACAACGTGCTCTTCTTTGTGCAGCCATAGTCAGGGCAAGGTCCACCCTCAGGCGGCACCCATCCCCTCTTCCTTCCGAATTGCGCAGAGTGAGGCGTATTTTGAAGAAGGCCACCAATGAGACACAGATTGAGTCGGCGCAGCTCTCTTGGTGCGACCTTGGCTTCTGCACGCCAGCGTGTAAACCATGCGGGTGTTTCCTGCGCCTTTGAGTACCCAGAGAAATGCTGGAGGTGACCATCCGAATCCCCCATCCCCTGAGCAAGTGTGCCATGACCCCCCCTTCTCTCTCTTTCTCTCAGAGATCGAGCGTCGTAGTCCGTTCTTCGTGGCCTAGAACCTCAGCCAAACATCGCGGAATTCATGCGCCGAAACACACCAGCCATTCTCGAGGTGCTTCCAAGACTCCAATCTACGTCACGAATTGTGCTAATTCTCTCTAGAAACACCGTTCCGCATTCCTACCAGCGCTGCGAGTCATCGAGTTCCGCCGCCAGGGTTGACCCGTTGAGCATCTCTGCAAGCATCGCGGGCCTTGTCTCTCTCGCGGATATAGTCTTTCTCCGCTTGACAAAATACATCAAAGAAGTCAAAAATGCCGATACAGAAATCCATGAACTCCGCAATGAGGTCAACTTGCTTGGTGGTGCCTTCAACATGCTATCGAGATTAGCAAGGGGCCACGAGATGGAAGACGAACCATTTAATAAGGACTTCCGAATGTACCACATCGAAGGCTGCTCTTTCATTCTCACCGAAATCTCCCAGAAGACTAAATAGTACGACGCAAACCCCAAAAGCAAGGTTCTGAAGCTCATGTGGCCGTACACATCCTCGAAGACGAAAGAATTGCTTGCCAACCTCTCCCGTCACAAGGAAAACATCAATCTAGCCTTAACAGCCAATTCCATGGAACTAATGCTGCGCCACTTGGCAAAGGAGGAAGACAGAGAAAAGACAACAGCTGAGATTCGAGCCGATGTTCAAAGGACTCGAGAAATTGTGGTACGGATCAAAGAAGATTCCAAGCGGAAAATGGTCCTGAGATTCTTTCTCGGCTACAATCCGCAGCCCAACTACGAAATGAGCGTCAAGCTACGGCACCCGATGACTGGCATGTGGCTTGAACGTCTTCTCTCTTTTCAGACATGGCTTTCGAGCCCCAGCTCGCGGCTCTGGCTGAGCGGTATTCCCGGTGCAGGTAAAACGGTTCTTGCTGGCTCTATCATCGGACAAGCTCTTGGGCGAAGCTCAGACACCGTGGCGACCGGCTTCTTCTTCTGTGACTACAAGAACGAGATAACACAGACACCATCAAGCGTTCTTGGGGCTTTGGCCCATCAGCTTGCCCTCCAGAACGAAGAGGCGTACTCGATTCTCGAAGAATATTACTCCGAACTTCACCCCGAGAAGGGTCTAACACGATCTCCTAACAAAGAATATCTAATTAGAATCATCGTGTTAATGGCGGAAAGCTTTGAGCAGGTGTACATGGTGATTGACGGTCTAGATGAGTGTCAAGACAACATAGAAGAGGTTGTAGACGCTCTATGTGAGATTGCACGGAGCTCTGATGAGATCTCCATGGCATTATTGAGCCGAAATGAGGATAATATTCGAGTTCGCCTTCAACACCCGGAAGCTGATTTCGCCAATGAAGAAATTGCAGCTCATAAAGAAGACATCACCGAGTACGTTACTTCAGAGGTTCAACAACGAATCGACAGCAAGAGATTACGTATTCAAGACCTGTCGTTGAAAGGTGAAATTGTCGATGGCTTAGTGGATGGAGCGAATGGAATGTATGCAATAGAAAACCCAAGCGAAAATCACCTGGTTGTTCTACTGACATAACTTCAAAACAGGTTTCGCTGGGTCGCTTGTCAACTTGACCATCTTGGAGACTGTATGTCAGATCAGCAGTGTCGAGAGGCTCTACGCAGTCTCCCGCCCAACCTTCCAGAGACTTACTTGCGCATATTGAAACGAATTCCCGAAGCACAGCAAGTCTATGTACAGCTTACACTGGATTTCATTGCATTCGCCAATCCCAAGCTCAGCATCTCACAGTTACGGGAAGTTCTGTCGGTGCCATCGGATGATTCGTTGTTAGAGGCATCTGGGCTAGTCCGCGAGGATGCCATTACTAGGCATTGCGGTAGCCTGATTCGAAAGTCCAACGACGGAGAGTTTTTCGAATTCGCCCACTTTTCGGTCCAAGAGTTCTTAATAAGCCGCGCATTGCATTCATCGAGGTTCCAGATGTTTAGCATTTCAGAATCTAGATGCAACAGGCTCTTGGCTACACGATGCGTGCAGTATCTCCAGCTACAGAATTTCAGTCATGAACCAGCCCCAACGCAAGAGGGGCTTTCGAAGATGGATCAAGACAATCAGAATTATCCCTTGTACAGTTATGCCGCAAGCAACTGGATATACTACGCAAGAGAGCAGTGGGATGACCCTTCTTTGCTAGCCAGTGCCAAACGGTTGTTTGATCCGTGCAAATCTGCATGCTTCACGCATTGGGAGGTTTTTCTTGTTTTGCAACTCAGAGGATGGGCTGAGAAGCTGGAAATAGAGGAC